GCCGCCTGCTCCTGAAGCGCCTTTGATACCTTTCTGACGGGCGTCCTCGGGCTTGGATGGGTTGCGGCCCGCCCCCCCGCAGTTGCCGCAGTTCGGGGCTAACTTGAGCTGCGCCGGTGCGAGTCGGCGCCTGCGCTTCCAATAGCCGCGATCTTTTTGGACAGCACTCGTCAGGTACTTGTTTCCTTCCAGGTATTCTGGCGACCCTTTCCCATCTTAGCCAGCGTCTCGTTGACCTCTTGTTCGCTAAGGTCCCGTCCGCTGAGCTCCACTAGGATGCCGAGATCGCCATCGGAGTCCAGCTCGTCGGCCCGCCAGGACCGCGCCAACTCTAGAGGTCCGATCTCGTCGTCGCCGATCTCGTTGCTGGACTTGGCGCTGCTGAACTCGAGAAGGTTGCTGTGAGACTTGGGATCGTCTCCCTAGGCAAGGCCGCCCGTGTCCACTCGAGGAAGAGCCCGCGTGATGTCGGGCCCCAGCAGAGAACCCCTGGTGAGACTCCGAACGTTCTGCTCACCCTGAGCGGACAGCCGAGCACCCTGCAGGAGCAACGTGCCCTGTACCTTGAGCGGAAGCTCCATGCCGATCTCTCTGGCGCGCTCGAACTGCCTGCGTCGGCGTGTCACAAATGCTAGCGTGTCCTCATCCTTCTTCCGCTCGGTGTCTCTAGTTGCCTCGTTGCCCGCCCTGAAGACTTCGTCGTCCTCTCTGTCTCTCTCCAGCTTCCTGTCCAAGGTGATGCACGATCCGGTCCACTCAGGAATGTATTGCAGTCTGGCTCGTAGGTCCCAGGGCAGCTCTTCCAGTAGTCGGTCGGTGCACTGGGTCTCCGAAAGCCAAGACATGCGCCTCCATCTGATCACGTACTGCTTCCACAGCATGAATTTGTAGCAGCCTGGCCAGGACGGTGGAGGTCGGATTTTCCGCTTCTCGTTCCAGCCTCCGCTCCAGCAGGCCCATCCACCGGTCTGCCAAGAGCTGCCCGACCATCGGCTCCACGGTGGAACGTCGGTCTGCTCAACGCCTTTGTCTCGACACTGGGCTCTCATCGAGGGAGGCGTGCAGCTGTCGTCTCTCACCGGTGCTGGATCATGGTCGCGTGCATCCAACGTCCTGAGTTCCTGTGCGTCGTGAAGTTGTCTAGTCCACACCTGCCCTGTCCAGCCGCCCGCTGACCACGTCGAGGCCCACGGGCCATCCTGCCACAGTAAATCTTGTCCGTGCTCGTACCACGTGTAAGATGGCGCTGGAAGTTTTGCACTCTGATCGCTCCGGTCTGGTGCAGCTTGTGCTGGAGGAGGGCACCACGGTATTGATCACGCTGCTGTTGCTGCTGTAGCTGCTGCTGCTGTAGCTGCTGCTGCTGCTGCCGGGCTGCTCTGATCGCCCCATAGCAGCTCAACCACTCGAGTTGCTATCGAATCGAGGTCTTGCCTCGAGAGTCCTGACATGAGCGTCTGCCGTCAGTGTCACGCTTCGCACCCCTGTCGTCCGTCCAATCCCTGTAGGTCCGTGGATCGCCTGGCCCGCTACCTGCGCCCTGCAGCACCTGGTGGTGCGGCAGCCTGCGGCCCTGAACCCCGCTCCGCTGCCACTGTTGGCACGCGGGAGTCGGGCGGACAATCGCGAAGCTCGGCACTATCTGCTTTTCACTCTGAATCAGAAAGCCTTGACCTTGAGCCAGATCAGCAATGGTATGACAAGACGCATACGCAAGTATACCAGATAATATCGCAAGTGCAAGCAACACAGACAGACAGAGGGTGCAGGAACGTGTGTCAACATTAGTTCGTGGAGCGTCCAAATGCCCTTGGAAACTCGCACAGCCCCTCACCCCATGACCGCCTCGACACCCTCCTCCTCTTCCTCCTCCTCCTCCTCCTCCTCTTCCTTCTCCGCCTCCCCTCCACTTTTTCCGCCACTCCTCGTCTTCGCATTTGTATTATGAGCGTTGCTCGTATGGTTCTCCCTATTCATGATTATCCCCATGTGTCTGACTCTGATATGCTTATCCCATTAGCGGATCGTGGCTCCGCTAATTGGTTTGTAAGAGGAGACTGCAAACGCCTCACTTTCATTATAGAAACGTCGCTCCGCTAATTGGCCTCAAGCCAGAATTGCTTCGCTCACATAAGCGGAGCGCCGCTCAACTAATTGGCCTCGAACCAGGGGATGGGCAGATCGCCTCGCACCCAGTAGCGGAGCGCCAATCCGCGAATTGGCGAAAAACTGGGGGACTAAAATTGCTTTGCTCCCATTAGCGGAAGGCTGCTCCGCTAATTGGCCTCGAACCAGAGATTACCATTGCTTCGATACCATTAGCGGAGCGCCGCTCCGCGAATTGGCCTCGAACGAAAAGATTACAGTCGCCTCACTCTCATTAGCGGAGTGCCGCTCCGCTCGCTGGCATCAAAACAGCGCTGCTCCACTCATTGACATTAAACGACGAGATTACGATCCTCAATCCGGAGAAGTCTTCAAGGGGCCCGGAGCCCAAATTGCCAAATCTTTCGGTGCTTGTCACAGCTTGTCGGGGGCTTCCCGCGGCTTGTCGCATGAATGTTTCAGAGCCACGAGGGCCCCAAGACGGACCAAGAGACTCCCAAGGGCCCCCCAAGACGGTCCAAGAGGCCCCAGAACTGCCTCCAAGAGGCCCCCGAGAGCGCTACGAAGAGACTCCAAGAAGCATCCCTGACCACTGACCCACAACCCAGGCACGGTGGCGGGATGGGCCGAAGGCCGTTCGATCCGCCGCCGCCTGTGCTTGTCACAGGGGTGCCCGGCGTGCTAGACGCTACCTTCTTTGGTTTTGGTGTGTTTTCCAGAAGAACTCCCCCTGGGGCTCCGGCCCAGCCCGCCGGCCACCCAGAAGGGCGCACAAGGCCAGGAAAACTACCTCAATGTCCACAAGATAACATCGGGTCAATGCCTTTCCCGCCCCAAGATGGCCCTAGACGGCCTCCAAGACGGCTCAGATAACTCGAGATGGCCTCCAAGTTCGCCCAATTTGGTCCAAGATGGCCTTCACGACAATCCAGGAGGGTCCAAGATGCCTCCAAAGTCGGCCCAAGAAGCGTCCAAGACGGCCCAAGAGGCCCCCAAGAGGCCTCCAAGACAGCCTAAGAGGCCTCCCTGAAGTCCTCCAGGGAGGCCGAAGAGGCCAAAATCATTGATTGCCCATCGGTTTTCGAAGGTTTTCTGTCCTTCCTCATTTTCGGCTTTCCGACGGCCCTGGACGACCCCAGAGGCCCCAAGATCGTCTCAAGATGGCCCTTACGGCCTCCGAGACGGTCCCAGGACGGCCCCCGAGGTCCAGTCCAAAGAAGACTCTAAGACGGCCCCAAATGCCTCCAAGACGCCCAAGATGGCCTCCAAGACTGCCCTGGAGAACCCCAAGAGAGCCCCAAGTCGGCCCAAAGAGGCCCTCAAGACGTCGTTCGACGGCGTCAGACGGGCCAGGAGCCCACCAAGACTGCCAAAGAGGCCCTGAGAAGCCCCCAAAGGCCCCCAAGAGGCCCAAGGAGGAGGCCCCAAGAGTGTCCCCAGAGGCTCCCAAAATGCCCCCCCCCTCCACCTCCGCCTCTTCTTCCGCCTCCTCCTCCTCCTCCTCCTCCACCGCCTGATCTTCCCCGCCATCCTCCCCCCAGTGTTCCTCGAAGGGTTTCCACAACGGTTGGGGCAACGCATGGTCCGACAGCTTGGCAGAGCTATTGCCACAACGCTCGGCCACGTGGGCGATTCTAGAAGGCAGGGGCCAGCGGTGATTCGCTGTAGTCGTCTTCGATTGAACTAAGATGTGTCTTCTTGTTGGTCATGTTCTGATTCGTATTGTGGATCAGATTCATCCTCCTCTTCGCCTACCTATCACTATGCGTCTCATCACTACGAACATGATGAATAAAACTTCTTGGCCCGGCAGCCATTACTTCGACTGTTCGTCTTCTTCCCCCCACCGTGCTTGCATCCGGGGCTTCTCACCAGGATGACTCACGAAGTGGATGGGCATGCCCGGGGGCTCGGCTGGGCGGGTGTGCCGAGGTGTTCGCCCGGTGCCCGCCCGTCGGTGCCGTCGGTGCCCCCCTCCCTGCCCGTCGCTCCGCTCTGCGCTCTGCTGTGCTTTTTGCTGTCGCAGGCGACTGCCAGCGCATCACTCGTGGGAGAGGGAAGCGGGGCTGGCCGTCCCTCCAGTGATCGGCCAGGGCAGAGGCGTGGCGCGCAGAGGCGTGGCGCCAGCCCAGTGCCCCTTGAGCGCCGGATGCCCTCCCAGTCTGCACCCTTTCCTTCGACGCCCAGCCTCCATATCCTCCCCGTGCGCATGGTTCCTCTACCCCGCGGGGTTTCCCCCTCCCCCCCCCATTCCTCTCCACCCATCCTTCTCCCTTCCCCCCAGAATGATGAGAGGGTTCGCAAGAGGACGACACCGAAGCGGACGAAGCAGATAAGCAGGACAAAGTTGATGGAGGCGATGGAAGCGATGAAGAAACGGATGAGGACGCCGAATAGGTGTCGTAAGCTGATGTGGAAGAGCCGGATCTCCAGCAACCCCAAGCCCGTGACCAGGCTTGGCCTTAGCTGGCGCTGTTCCAGAGCTATTCAAATCCAAGTCCCAAAGTGGTACACTGCGATCCCCAAGGCCCCCACTGGGTGCGGTTCTGTGCAGTCCAGTCGAGATCACTGTACGAGGGAGGATAATACGAGGGAGGATGGACGGCGAACAGGCAGATTTTTGAGGGGGAGTGATAGCGGGGACCGGCACAGGGAAGGAAACATCGATCTGGAATAGGCGATACATCGACGGTAGATCGGCGATGGGCTCACGATAGCACAACCCAGCGTTTCTGGGCGGGGTGGGCTGTCAAGCCTTTATCGGCGATGAATGGGTGAATGGGCGAAAGGGGGTCGATGCTACCCGCCCCTGGGGCAGTCCCCCCCTGACAAGGCCCCGGAGATTTGCCACGCGTGCGTGTCGCTTCGCTGACCCAGCGCCGGCCCCGCTCCGCCTTCTCGAGCGCGGCGGGGATGGCGAACGCCGGGCCGATCCCCATGACGAGGGGGTCCTCACGGCGCCGGGAGGGGAGGAAAGCGATGATGAGGAACATCTTTTTGTGGACTTGCGCTTCGCGGTATGCTCCAGGAGAAGGAGGGACCGAAGCGGCCAGCAACTGTCCTTCCAACTCCGTCCGAAGCGCTGCGCGACGACGTGGCAATGGAGGAGGAGGAGGACGAAGAGGACGAGGGCGCGGGGCAAAGGGCAAAGGGCGAGGATCACTCGTCATCGAATCGTGATTGGATCAAATCAGAGCTTGCGCGCCTGATCTGGCCGCACTGGGACGGAGCCGGAATCAAATCGGATCGGCCGCGCCAGGAGGCACAACAACGCCATGCGGGCATCGGGCCACCCCGGATCGTCGGGATCTCGGAATCGAATCCGATCCAGCAGCCCCGAATCGATATCGAATCCGATCGTTCGGATCGAAGTGGATCCCGCACGGGCGAGGGTAGGGGACGAGAACCTGGGCGAGGAGAACGGCGACGGCGACAGCGAGGGCAAGGACCACGAGGACAGGGAGGTGGCCGAGGATGAGGGCGAGGAGAAGGACGACGAGGAGAACGATGACAACAAGGATGAGGACGAGGACAAGGATGAGTAAGCGAGCGAGCGACCTCGACAGCGGCTCGGCTTCGGCGCTTGGAGCACGGGCCTGGAACAATGGCACCAATCGGCGTCCCAAATTGCTGCTGGTACTGTTCAAGGCGAGGCGGAAGAAGCGCCCGAGGGAACCCGTGATGGCCAGGACAAGAATGAGGAGGAAGAGGACGACAAAGACGACGACTCGTCGTGGCGAGGAAGACGGGGCCGTGGTCTAGGAGACAGGACGCTCAGGACGAGGCTGGGAATGGGATTGACTACTGAAGGAGAGCTCCGTGGCCCACCTGCCAAGACCGCCCCACGGCGGCCCAAGGCCATCCCACGGCCCAGGACGGCTTCAAGACCCCCCCCTTCCATCCTCCATCCTCCTCTTCGGCTCCTCCTCCTCCTGCTCCAGTTGGAATGTGGCGTTGCGTCTGGAGCCCGTTTCTTTATTGCTTGGGGCATGACGGGCGTCATGGCCCCCTTCCCCCCTTTCCCCCCTATGACGTAACGAGCCCCCGCGTCGGTTTTTTCCCTCGTCCCCACCTGCGCCAGACGCGGAGTCGGAGTTTCCTCGGTCAAGATCAGTCTTTCTTGGGGGTAGGGGACCGGACTATCTGGACCCGCTCCCTTTTGAGTCGCCAGATGTCCTTCGCAGGATCTCCAGGTCATACCCCAAGGGGGCATCAATCAGCGTGGATGGATTCCACATGCGCCACTACGCCGCGATGTCGGATGGAGCCCTCTTTGTCCTTTTGTCCATGTCACCTGGGAGAATGACTTGGCTCGACCTTACCTCGCGGCAGGCGCTTTCACTGGTGCTGCAGACGTGGTCTGGCGCCAGTCAGTCAAGTCAGAGTTCGCCACTGGCTCCCGAGGGTCAGGCATTGCGTGCTCGGTGCTCTGGGATCTGTATAAGTTCTACGAGCTGCTAGTAACCTGTTACAAAGACGTTGTGACTTCCTCGGATTCCCAGGGCAGATCTCGAGGCTCGCCATCACGAGGTATCTAGGCCCTCCATGGGTCAGCATTGGGGGTATGACTGAGGGGCCCTTCTCCGCCAAGCACAGAGTGGATGCCGGGGGCTCGTTCGCGACTTCGTCCGTTCGGGCGTATATTATGCCCAGCATCGACCTCCACGCTCCCTCAGTCATAGACTCCCTCGACATATATATCGACGGTTATGGGTTGCAGGCCACGGGCAGCGAGCGCACAGTAGTTGCAGATATTCTCAATGGCGCCACGCAGCTGCGTGCCGTGCTCACCGACGATATGAAATGTGTCGTGCCCATCGACAAAGCCTCCGTGGTGTGTTCATCGCATGCCGTGGGGGCCAAGGTTCGGGATCTTCTTGGAGGTTTGGGCGGTTCTACCTCTGGGACGAGTACGGCAGTGAACCTAGGTGTGGGCGACGCGGCAGGACGGCCTCGGCGTCAAGCGGGCCGCAGTGTCAAGGCCAAGCAGCGCCTCAAGTCTTTCAAGATTCGCGTCTCCAAGCTGAAGCGCGTTCGCGCCGTCTTGGGCCAGCGGCGCTCCAAGAGGGTCTTTTCAGCTGGGCCTCTTACTGGGGCCACGCACGCTTCCGAGGTCCACGGCGTTTCGGACTACGTACGAATTGGCTGGGCTTCGTCGAGGCCTCGGGCGAGTCTTGAAACCGTCCGCGGGCATGAAGGGCCTCGCCTCCCTCCTCATCCTGGAGGGGGGCCCTTGCTGGCATGCCGCTGTTCTTCCTGCTGTTCCGTATTCTAAGGAGGCGTGGGCAAATCAAATTCGGATGCTCAAACATCCCCTGTCTTTCTCTGCCCTCCCGGTCGTCGTGGGAGGCCATTTTTTTGTTTCAGCCGACGGGCCCAGATCAAGTTCGAGGGGGTAAACTTACTTGGCGCGCGGTTCGAGGCCCCATCGGGGCCATGAAGCTGCCTTTGGAACGCATCGGTTAGTCTATGCGTTATTTCACGGAGTTTGTCAACGATTTCGGCGAGGTCCTGAGTCTTACCATGCGCCCCACTGCCCTCGTCAAATAGGCACTTCAGGATGTAGTGCTGCGGCAGCTGCAGCGAGAATCTGGGTGCTCGTTGGGAACGCAGTATGGAGCTTGCTACGGTGTGGTTGAGGCCGCTCTCCGCTCGTCTAAGTTCACGGCCCTCGAGAAGGGGCGCGTCCGCGGTATGTGCTGCGGGGTCACCTGGTCTTGTGATCGAGCCATCTCGCGCGGTTACCAGTTGACTTCTGGCTTGCGCCCTCTGCGCAGAGCCGCCCCCGACTCCATCACGCATCGGACGTGGCTCTGCCCCAGCGCCCAAGAGCTGAGAGACGAGCTGGTCAAAAGAGACATCCAGGAGGCAGCCCGCCCCCTCGAAGCTGCGAGTGCCGACAGCGTGGCTCTTTTCACCAAGGGCATCTTCCCGCACCCTGGCGACCTGCGGCCCCGACCCCGAGCCACTGGTGTTGTTGCATCCTGGGAAGGCGACCCCACTAGAGTAGATGCCGAAGTTTCTGGCGATATGTTCACAGATGGCAGTTGTCGAAAGTACACAATTAAGGAGTTGTGCCGAACGAGCTGGGGGGTTCCAGCCCTGTCAGAGTCTGGTGCCCTCCTAATTTCGGTCTATGGCCCCATGTGGCCCCCCTCCCCCAAACCAGCCAGGCGGGGGAGTTTGGGGTCTTTGAGGCGGCCTCCCAGTGTATCGCGGGCCCTTCGAGAGGGCACTCGGACTGCCTCAAGGTTGTCCGAGCTTGTGGGGGACCCAGGGAGTGGATGCTCTCTTATAGGCGCCCGTACTCAGGTATGATGTTCACCTCCCTCGCCGCCCCGTGGGAGTCTGTTGTCAAGGTCGAAACTCACGGCGGAGACTCAGGCGATCTCACACCTAGGCAGGTTTTCAACAAGCGCGGCAACGACGCTGCCGACGCTGCCGCGAAGGCAGGCCTCTCCAGCCACCCCCTGCCCCCAACGAGTTCCAGGATGACCTCGCATGGTGGTCAAGGCGGTGATTCGACTTGGTGCCAAACTCTTGCCGTCGCAGCCTCGTCTTGATCTCAGCGGCGTCGAGCTGGCCAGACCCCCTAAGTTAGAGCAGTCGGCCGCGACTGCCAGTTCCCGGCATGATTGGAAATGGAGTCGCTCCTACTGGCGATGCAAAAATTGCCTTCGATTTCGGAGGCAGGCAGATTTCAAGTTTGGAACTTCACCCTGCCCCGGACCCTCTGGTTGCTCTGGCAAGGTCCCCGACAGCCTTAACAATGTCGGGGCTTTAGGTCACAGGCTGCTCTCATTTCAATCTAGTGATGATTCCCCGCTCCTTCTTTGCGTTTCCTGCAAGGCCGCTTCCACCCTGGGGCCCCTCGCGCTGTTGAGGAAAGAGTGCACCCACCCCACGAGAAACAATGTTCAGCGGTGGAAGTACCGCGTTTGTGGGGGTAAGCACCCGCGTGAAGGGGTCTACTTGGGCTTCTCCCCTGAAGAAGACCCTGAGTCGATCGACCCCGCCCAGAGCCAGCAGCAGGAAGAAGTCGTTGACCCGTCGACATCGTCGCCTGCTACCGTCGTGGTCGCTGCTGAGCCTGGGCCGTCTCACCCTTCGAGCTCCTCCTCGGCCCCCCCTCTTGTCCCAGGAGGTCAGGTGAGGCCTGCGCGAGGAGCCTTTCAGGCCTCAGAGGCTGAGGAGGAAGCGGCGGCTTCCCTCTTCGGCCCATCTGTTGCTGCCTCGAACGTCCAACAGGCGCCCGCGCCGCCGCCCGTCGTTCCGCCGTGTCGTCGTTTGCAGTGGCAGGAAGAGGGACGGGCTGGGCATCATGGTGGACAGCCCCTTTTTGTTTCAGCCTCCTCTCCCCCCCTGCGCGACGGGGGAGGTGGCGTCCGCTGGCTGCCCCCTTCCCAACGCGCAGGGGGGTAGCCACCTCGAGCAGCTGCGATCGGTCAGGGCCCGCCCAGCCATCATAGCTGCTCGCGCAAAGTCAGCGGGGTCTAGTGATTCCGAGTGAGCCGTTCGGTCCTGGGGGTGCCGCCCGTCGCGTCGGCCACCGCCTTGGTCCCTTTTTTCCTTCAGTGCCATCAGCTGGCACTGGTTCAGCCCTGGCGTGCACTCTCCAGGGGAAGGTTCATGTCATCCTCCTATGATCCACGGCCCCAATGCCCTCCGGGGTAGTCCTGGAACAACACACACACGCACACACGCAAACATACGCGCACACACATACATATATATATATATATATACATATACACATATACGTATATATATATATATATATATATATATATATATGCTTGTCTACACCTGTTTTTGTGCACTCCGCCAGGGAGCTTGTCAGGCCAGGACCTCTGGGGGCTACTCAGGGGTCAACCCAGGAGTTGGGAGAGGTCCCGTCCCGTCAGCGGCATCCAAGGGCCTCCCAACCCGCCTGGCACAGCCGTGGCGCTTAAGCACCCGCGCTGCATCCCAGACGAGCTGACACACTTGCACCGCCGGGAGGTTAACGTCACCAACCCCTGAACCCCCTAGCTCTCGTCCTGGCAATCACTCGCGCGGAGGCAGGCACGGCCACGCGCGAGACGGTAGCTATGCTGCCCCCTGTCTGTGGGTGGGCCAACACAGCTACGGAAGATGGATGAAACTCAACCGTTCCCCATCAACGGCGTCGCGCACGCTCAGGTGGACTCCGCATAGGCTTCCTTGGAAGGTTACTATATGCTTGTCTACACCTGTTTTTGTGCACTCCGCCAGGGAGCTTGTCAGGCCAGGACCTCTGGGGGCTACTCAGGGGTCAACCCAGGAGTTGGGAGAGGTCCCGTCCCGTCAGCGGCATCCAAGGGCCTCCCAACCCGCCTGGCACAGCCGTGGCGCTTAAGCACCCGCGCTGCATCCCAGACGAGCTGACACACTTGCACCGCCGGGAGGTTAACGTCACCAACCCCTGACCCCCCTAGCTCTCTCCACGGTCCCTACCCTGGCAATAGCCGCTCCCTCCTGCTCTTACCTATTTCCTCCACCCTGCTGTAATGAAATGAGGGAGGAAAGGTGGAGGATGGGCGGGACAGACAGACAGGCAGCACAAAGCAAGAAACAGTTCATCTCGCTTCTGCTCGCAGTCGGGACGCGAGCAGGCCGCAGCGCCTCCGCTGCGTGGGCGAGAGATTTAATTGAGTGGCCTCGGCGACGGCATCCTGGACATACAAGCGGGCCGTGCGCGCCGAGGCCCACCTGCCTCGGAGCAGCGTCTGCTCCATGGAGCCGTGGCTGCGGAAGTCGGCGGACGCGCCGCCCCGACGCCAGCTGTAGAGGGTGAGCTTCGCATCTTGCAGCTCCAGCAGCTCACGCACGCGGCCAAAGGTGCACATGAAACTGCTTGGCTCCATCCCGAGGCACAAGTCCTGCTTGTGCGCCTGAGCCTTTGCCCTGGCGAGGAGGGCGACCGCTACGCCGCTCCGCGCGAGCACGAACTCTCGGGCACCAGTCTGATGCTGGCTTTTGGTGTTGCGCAGCTGCAGCACGGCCATTTGGCGGAGTGGATACAGCTGCACGTCGGACCACACGAGCGAGGTCATCTCACCCGTCCGGAGGAATGCGTCGTAGCCTGCTGCCAGCACCGCCGCAGCGCCCAGCTGGCCCACGGCCGCAAATGCCCCTGCGAACGCTGCCGCAATCAGCGGCCCGATCGGCAGCGCCCGCCCAGCTGGCTCCAGGCGTTGCCACGTCTTGGCCAAGCGCCAGCTGTCCCGCAGGTGCCCTCGCACGGGCGGGAATGCGTGCGTGATGCCTGCGATTGCATTATTAATCTCAAATAAAGATCCTCCGCTCAGCCAACGGCTCTCGATGAAGGCGGCCACGCCAGCGTCGACCTGAGCGGGCGTCTGCGGCTGCCGGTGCTCCTGGATCCAGAAATCAACGACATCATCGACCGCCGCACGGTACCGCTGCAGGGTGAGCGGCGTGACCATCGCCTCCCTCAGCGGTTGGGACCTCGCTGCAGATCGTCGCGCCATCGCCTGGGCCGTGACCTGGCTCACCTTTGCTGCTGCTTGCGCTGCACGCTTGCCGGGGGCGGCCCTCCTGGCCCTCGCCGGCGGCAGCACTGGGAGCGTGGCAGCGGCGGCCGAAGCTCCAGCGGGACGGCGTGTCGGCGGGCATGTCGTCGGTGTCGCAGTAGCCGTACAGCGGGTACCCTGCCGTCGCGAGGAGCAGGGAGTTGAGCCGGCGGAGCGCTGGCTGCAAAGCCCTCGCGCTCGATCTGCCCTTGGTGCCGACTGCCGCGATCGCTTGGGCATCCAGAATGTGCAGGTAGCGGCAGCGGTGGTTCTCAACTGCCCGGCACCTCCAGCGCGCTCCAGCCACCGCAGCCTCCAGCTCCAGCGCCGAGATGTGCCCAGGCCGCTGCCAGCGAAAGCCTTTGGCGATCCGCCAGGCCCAGAGGTGCGTACGGAGTGCTGCCCGCGGCCACGCGCGGGCGCGGTAGGGCGCCCCGGTGTCAAGCCGGACGTCCGTGCCCCCGCGGTCCGCGACCCGCAGGAACTCTACGATCAGGCTGCGTTCCAACTGCGGGTCGTGATGTCCCGGCTGCTGGAAGTCGGGGACCACGTTCCAGTTCGCCTCGCACGTGCCCACAGCGAGGCAGCTGCTGCCTGGGATGGCGGCCGCTAGCGCCCCCACTTGAGCGAGCCACGAGCCGAGAAGATACATGACAGCCTGGACGCAGAACGTATTCCCGATCAGGGACTCAATGACGCTGTCTCGCTCGGCGGCGGGGGCACTATCTTTTACAGCGGCCTGGAAATAGAGACGGTCGAACCCCATCAGAGCAGCACGCTCCTCAGGCACGGGCAGCCGGCCCCGCTCACGCCTCGCGTCCCAGATGAGGCTGCCGTCCTCGTAGTTGTTGACCTGGTAGCGGTAGCTGTCGGCAGCCCAGCGCTCCGCGGCCAGCACCGAGGCGCGGTCGAGGCCCACGGGCCGGAACGGCGGGTGGCTTCGCGGGATTGGCCTCGTGAAGCACGGGAGGTCTGCCTCAGGGTCCAGCGTCGACCAGCCCTCCAGGAGCGAGGCACTCAGTGGGAGCCTCTCCACCGCTAACGAGACCTTGAAGTACGCGGCTTCTCCCACACCCTTGGTCTCGACGGTGGCGTCGGACGCCAGGAACGCCGTGACCGGCCACGAGCACCAGTACAGGCGGGGCCGCCTGACGTGAGTGAGACACCTGGCATCGAGGAACACGGGCGTGACTCCAAGCGCCCTGGTGAACTCCGCCCTCGACTCTAGGGTCATGCTGAACACGTTCTCGACGAACCACATGGTGCGCTTGGGAAAGGCAGCCTCCGCTGCCTGGATCAGCTCGGGGACCCGGAAAGGAGCCTCGACCTCGACCCCTCTAGGCCGGTCCCCACGACATTGATGCTCGCGAGGTCTTGGCACGGGCTCCCCGCGGTCAAGACGACCCAGTCGGCGTCCCGCGCGTAGCCCTTCAGCATCTCAGTAAACCGCGCCGCGTCGACGGCCTCGATGTTGCCAAGCTCAATCACGCCCGCCCAGCGGCGACGCACCAGTCGCCGGGCAGCGGGCTCGACCTCGCAGCTGACGTGGGCCATCACGTCGATCGGGAGTCTGGAGGCCGCCACCGCGGCCCCAGCAGCGCCAGCGAAGAGCTCGATGAGAACTATGCGAGGGCGCCACCGCACACCACGCACAGGAGCCGCAACTGCACCAGGCCGCAAAGTCACTGCTGATGCTCCCCCTCTCGCGCAGGCAACGCCCTGCGCCGAGAGCCCGGCCGTGTGGCAAATGCCCCCGGCGCGCTCGCTGGCATCGGTCGCAATGACACAAGTGTCGATCCTTGCGCGCAGGTCGGTGTATGCCAGCGGCAGCGCCATCGCGAAGCCCAAGAGCTCGTCGCACATGCCAAGGGGAACAGCCTGCGGGCGCGTCCAGCGCCCAGCAGCCCACACGCTGTTGAGGAACCCCATGAAAGGCCTCCTGAACTCCGCTGCCCTGACGCACCTGCCTAGGATCATGAGCATGCCCTGCGACGAGAGGCCCTGTCTGCCCATGCCCCACAGGATGAACGCCAGCAGCTGGTGAAGCTTCTCGGTCGTGACCCCGACCCGGCCGACGGCCCCGTCAAGACCCGCGCCCATCCGCTCCAGGACCAGCGCGCGGTGCTTGGCCTTGCCGGGGGCGACGCTGACCCCCGAGCGGCCGTAGGCGGCCCTCTGCTCCTCCTGCGCGCAGCTCATCGTGCCGAGGAGCTCCGCGACCATCGCGTTGGGCACCACCTCGCCATGGTCCCAGTCGTCGATGTAGTACTGGATCCACTGCTGCTCGAGCTCCTTCGACTTGAACGGAAGTGGCCGGTCCTTGCGCCACTCGAGCTCCGCGGGAAACCCCGCAGCGAGGGGGCGAGAGCCGAGCCCGAGGCGCCTGTGGCAGTGCTGAAACACCGTGACCGCGTTGATCCAGCCCATCGGGATGACGCGCAGCGCGAGGTGTGTCTTCCCAGGACCCGGCACGCCGATGAGCTCGTTCGGGATCGCCTCCGCGAGGGTCATGTACGGCTGCCAAGCCTCGGGCAGCTCGTAGCAGTAGAAAGCGGAGGCTTGGTCATCTGACGACCAAAGCAGCATGTGGCCCTCTGGGAGCGGGATGGCGACCCACGAGGGCGACGCGCTAAGGGTCCCGATGTCGTCCCTCATGATGCGCTGGTAGCTGTTGGCCGGGACCATGTTGATGATCAGGCGCTGGACGCACGCCTGGCCAGGTGACGGCGTGCCACCCTTGGCGACACCAAACGCCCCGGCGAGCACCTTGCGGTTCCCGACCTTGAAGATGCGGTCGTCGGCGATCGGCGCAGCCAGCCCCAGCTCGACGAGCTTGGTCCCGATACTGTACCACTCCTGCTTGGACGTGACCTGGATCGCCGCCCGCGGGACCTCTGCAGGCCACTCATCTCGAGGGAGCAAGGCCAGCGTGGGGTCGGCAAGCCAGGCGCCCACCTGAGCGTCCGCGATGTCGAGCGCCTTGACAGAGGCGGCGACGCCCCGCGCGGGGAGGCCTGGCATGATCCCCGCAAGCGAGAGTGGCAGGGCGCGGGACGTCTCCTCGCCCCCGTAGGAGACGGTCCTCGACGCGATGACCTGGTCCCAGTCCGGGAGCTCGAAAGATGTGGCGGCATCCTGAACGAAATACTCACAGGCCTCCTGCACAATGCCGAGCGCACTGATCTGACTTGCCGTGGGCCGCCTCGCGGCGACGGTTGGACAACGCATGTGCCCCGTGTACTGGTAGTTCAGGCTGAAGACCACGAGCTGGGCCCACCCCTGCGCCGTGGCGGCGTCCACCTCGCAGGTCTCCGGCAGCTGCTGGTGTAGGTGCCAGGCGGCGCGGTACCTCTCGAAGAGCGGGGCGTCGGGCAACGGTAACGGCAACACCTCGCGCAGCCGCGCGAAGCTGGCCGCGGGGTCTGGCGAAGTGCACATCCTACGAACGTACCGCCCGATCGCCCCTGGCGAACCGTGCACCGCTTCGTGGGCCGCGAGGGCGAGCCTGAACTTGGAGCTGACGCCCGTGCCCACCTCGGCTAGCATCTGGCGCCACCGCCGAGCCTGCGAGCTGCCGCGTAGCTGCCGCTCAGGCGGGCGGAGGGCAGGCAGGGGCGTGCTCGGGGCCGCGGCCTTAGCCGCGTCGGCCCTCACGCCCGAACCCAGGCCGTCCTGCGAGCAGCGCTCGAGCCGCGGCTCTTCCCCGTCTTGCCTTTGCCGCGGCTCTTGGCAGCCAGCGGCCTCCCGATGCGCGCCTTCCATGCTGCCTGGGTCTCGCCCTCGCGCCTCGGGTGGGCCGCCTTGTGCTGCGCGAAGCTCCGGCCTGCTGCCGCGTCCGCTGGTGGCACGCGGGCGGCGGCTGCTGCGTCGAGGTCCCCCTCGGAGTCGCTCAGGAGCTGGACCGACCGCGTGGGACTGCGGCTGGTCCTCCGCGCTGCTGGCTGCTTCCCCCCGGCGGGGGGAACTGCGGGACCGTCGCCTGGAACTCGTCCGGCAAGGATCCTCATCGCCTCGGGCGATCCCGAGACTGGCGTCCCGGGAGCAGGGGGCGGGGGGCGCGCCTCCGCGCGCCCATGGCCTGCAGGTGCCGTCCCCCCCTGCAACGGAGACGGCTCCCGGCCGACCCCTAGCCCGGCCTGCGGTCTGCAAGTCGCTGGCGGAGCTCGGCGACCTTCAGCTCCCGGGCCTCGACCTTCTCGGCAGCGTTCTCCTCGTCCAGAGAGGCGCCTGATGGAAGCTGTTCCTGCGCGACCAGCGTGAGCCACCGTGCCGACCGCCAGTTCCCGTCGCGGATGGCCATCGTCCGCGCCTTGAACTCCTGCATGAGCAGATCCGCAGTCTCGACGACCTCTCCGCGCAGGATGCCGTCGAGCGCCAGTCCCAGCGCGCGGAGGACCCGCACCTCGTCCGTCCCCAGCGTCCGCGGCGGGTGAGCAACGAAGAACACCGTGTTCAAGAACTGCGTGACACACGGGGCCAGAGGGTCGGCCTCGCCTGCGGACAACTGCTGGGCGAACTGGCTGCGCAGGTGGCCGAGCCCGTTCTCGAGGAGAGCGCCGGGCCGCTGCCGAGCGATCCTGCGGAACAAGTCCCGCTTGATGCCCACGCCCTGGTAGCGGTCGCGGCCCCCAAGGCGCTCCGTGTCGCTCTCCGCGCCGTCCTCCGCGTCGTCGTCGTCGCGGCCCAGGAGCGCCGCGGTCAAGGCTGATGCCAGCCTGGTCCTCGACCCAGCGGCGCCTGCGCGCGCAGGGGCAGCAGCGGCGGCTCGGCCGGCCACCACCTGCGCCAGGCGCTCGCCTACCGCACCTGCTGGGCGCGCAGCGTTCTTGGGCGTGCCCTGCCTCGGCACACCACGAGCTGCCCTGCCCCCGAGCCGCGCCAGCCGCGCCTCGAGCTCTGGGTCCTCGGCAGTCTCCTCGAGCCCTGCAATCTCCTGGTCGAGAGGGCTCGCCTCTCCTGGTCCGCCTGGGGTCGGGGTGCCCTCCACCTCGCGGGCCCGCTTGCGCGGCGGCCCTCGAGGCTCCTCCTCGTCCTCGTTGCCCCCATCCCCGAGCGGCCAGCCGCCGAGCTCTCCAGGCAATGGCTCGGCCGCGGGCGCATCGGTCATCACAAGCGCTCCAGGATCCGCGGCCGGGCAGATGAGCTTCGCCTGCTCGCGGGCCACGTCGCGGGGGTCCACCACCTGCCACACGTCCAAGTGCTCGACCACTGCGCCCACAGGAGCGACCGCCCCGCACTCGTCGGCGCTGCACTTGCAGAGGTGGAAGACCGTGGCCAGGGACCGCGCGCCCCGCTGCCCGCAGGAGGCTGCATACCACGAGTAGTACGGGTCGCTGGCGCCCACATGCCGGCCCTTGAAGTACCGGCCGAATGCGTCTGCCTGGTAGGCGACCTCCACCTCGAGCATCTCGACGCCCTGTGGCGCCCCGTAGTCGTCCTTGACCCGCGCCAGGACCCGAGCTCCAGCCGCCAGCGGCAGCCCCGGCACCAGCTCGCCGTTCAGCGCTGCGTCGAGCCAGGCCCCCCGCGGGAAGGGCCACCCGACCGCTGTCGGGGCTGCCCGCTCCATCGGGCTCCTCGCCAGCAGCTCCGCGGGAGAGGGGCGACCCGCGCCCGGGATCCTCGTCTCCCAGCCAGGTCTTCGCTCCCCTCAACCCAGTAAGGCTGCCAGCGAGGCTGATCAGAATCAGTCGGCCGAGCGTGGCCCTCCAAGCGGCCGCGCTCGGCGCGGCAACCTTCAGTAGACAGAGTGGCTCGGCAGCGGCCACAGACGGGCGGGACCGCCCGGTGACTCCGCTGCCTGTCTCCACCCAACACAGCTACGGAAGATGGATGAAACTCAACCGTTCCCCATCAACGGCGTCGCGCACGCTCAGGTGGACTCCGCATAGGCTTCCTTGGAAGGTTACTATATATAAGTATGTGCATGCATGCATGCATACATACAAGCATACATACATACATACGGACATATATGAACTCATACATACATAAACGCGTGCATACATACATACATGCAAGCATGCATACGTACACACATACATGCATGCATGCATCATGCATGCATGCGCGCACGCATACATACACACAACCATCTACACACATGCATGCATGCATACATACATGAATACATGCAGACCTACATGCATACATCCGTATGCGTACACACATAGTCGTGCATAATACATACATACATACATACATACATACATACATACATGCATACACACATACATACAACTTACACATATGTAAACGTACATACACACATACACACATACGCACATACATACACACATACATACATACACATATACATATAGATGCATGCATACATGCATACATACATACACACACATATATATATATGCATACATACATATATACATACATACATACATGTATACATACATACAAGTATGCATGCATGCATGCATACCTACATACACACATACACACATACAAACATACATACAACCACATATACATACACATAAGCATACACATGCCTACATACATATTCATGCCTACATACATACCGACATACATACAGTTATATGTACATACACACATGCACACATACACACATACATACACGCATACATATGCATACACATACATACACATGCATACATACATACATACATACAGACAGACAGACAGACAGACAGACAAACATGCATACACACAGATGTGTGCGGCTGGGGCCGAAAAGCCGCTCGGATGTTCGGAAATCACGCCTGGCGGAGCGAACCAACGCTGGGCTAAGCAAAACACCCAGGGACGCCCCGGGAGCCGGGAGGTGAAAGCGTGGGTCCGAATAATATACGCCACCACCATCACCTCCATCCTCCTTTCCTTCTCTATCCTCCCCCTCCTCTCATCTGTCTTGGGGGAAGGAGGGTATGAGGGAAGTGGTGGTGGTGTATATTTTTGGGCCCCGCAAAAGGGCGGGGGCGAGGCACCAACCCCGCGCGGGAAACTGGCAGGGCGGGGCAGCACGGCGGCGGAGGCAACGGGGGGCGCCGGCAAAAAAGGCCCGGCGGCGAGTGGGAACCGACCAGGGGGAAAGCAGACAGCGAGGGGGCGGCAGGTGGCATGCAGCGGCGGGCGAAGCCAAAGGGAGAGGGCGGACCTGCGGTGAGCCAGCGCGCCAGCGAACGAATGCATCAGCGCACGGTCTGCGCCCCGCAGAGCGCGTGGCCATTTTTTGGGCAGCGAATGGCGGGTAGCTGCGCACCGCTGTCACGGCGGCGCGTCAAAACACGCACGCACACACACACACACACACACACACACACGCACACACACACACACACACACACACACACGCACGCACGCACGCACGCACGCACGCACACACACACACAAACAAACGCGCACGGGCCCCCACGAATTCCTAGGACGGCCCCAAGACCCCGCAACAAAAAAATCAGGAGGCCATTGGGGGCTCAACAAAAAGGCCGCGAATAAGGCCACAACACCCTGGAGAGACCCCCGAGAAACAATTCACCAATCATGCTAGGCTACATCCGTGCCAAATTGCACCGATGCTACGCGTATTCCCCAAGCGCTGAGCAAATATGAGTGGCGGGTGCACAACATTCAGTACGATGTGGGAAGATTCAAATGGAAACGAAATCGGCCAACGATCGCGATTGCGAACTACATTGCGCTCACCCATGAACACCTCATGGAGGCGACCCATCGTACCGTTGTCTTTTCCCCAGGAACGCGATTATTTCTGTTCGGCGGTAACGGGCGTCATGGGGGACGGGGGGCCGGGGGGGGGTATGACGTAACGCCCCCCCCTCCCCCCGTGGGTCTGGCACCACAACCGCGCCCGCGCGCACGACGCGATGAGCGACGAGCGACGAGTGACGAAGACGACGAGCAGCATGTAGGTGGCGATCTGCCCCACTGCGCCTGTGTATACCACAGCGCCTGCGTACACCGCAACAACCGTGTGCACCACAGTGCCTGCGTGCACCAGAGTGTGCTTGCGTACACTACAGCGCCTGGGTACATGTGTACACCGCAGCAAACACGTGCATCACAACGCTTGTGTACACCACAATGCTTGCGTGCACCGCAGCGCCTGTGCACGCCACAGCGCCTGTCTACACCACAACACCCGCGTGCAACGCAGCGGTGGTGTACACCACAGTGCCCCGTGCATAGGACAGGTAGAACGAGGATGTACGTGAGAATCTGCTGCCGTCAACTAAACGCCACGCCGAGAAAATGCGGATAATTGAACGCGACGTTCTCCCATCCTCCCTCCTCCTCCACTTCCACTTCCTCCCCCTCCTCTTCCTCCTTACCCCCTGTCGTGAAGGTTGGCGTTGCAGCGCACGTGCGCATCTCAGCGTGCACCGCAGAATTGTCGATTGAATCGTTCCACTTGGATCTCGGACGGCCAATTTAGGTGGAGCCTCCTGGACGCAAATGGGGGGAATTAAGGTGATGCGGGCGGACTCGGGAGGACTCGTAAATTCCAACGGCGCTTCTTCGTCCATAAGGATTAGTTTCTATTGTTTGTTGGTCCGTTTTGTCATACGGATTCTTTCCAACATTCTATATACAACAGTGGTGCCGTGCTGCGCACGGTTGCTGTGGTGCATATAGGCACGACAATGCACGCAGGCATTGTGGTGTAGTGCGCACGGCTGATGTGGTGCACGCAGGCGCTGTGGTGTACACAAGAGCTGTTGTGCCCGCGGGCACGGTGGCACAAACTGACGCTGTGTTGCACGCGGCCGCTGTGGTGTACATAGGCGGCGTGGTGCACACAGGGGCTGTGGTGCACGCGGGCCCTGTGGTGTACACAAGCGTTGTGGTGCATATCGCCACCACACGCTGGTGCTACCCGTCTTCCGTCATTCCTATGCATTCCCAAACGCTGCCGGCGCGAACCGTGACGTCATCACCCCCCCACATGATTGCCGTCGTCGGCCCGGAATCATAAACAGGCTCCAGCCGCGTCCGCGCGCGCGACGACGATCAGTGACGAGCGACGAGCCACGAGCGACGACGATGAGTGACGACGACGATGACGAAAACTGCGGACCTGACTCCTATGCGGATTCCTAAGCGAACACCTGCGCGGATCCCAGTGCGCCCGGCGGCAGCGCGCGGAGCGCACTGGGGGGGGGGAGCGCTGCGTCATATGAGGGGGAAGGGCCATGACGCCCGTCATGCCCCAAACAATAAAGAAGCGGGCTCCAGACGCAACGCCACATTCCAACTGCATCCCGATGATGGGTGCTCACTCTGTTGAGTTTGGTGACGCGTGGGCAAAGCTTCGGTATCACATATCCAATGCAATACGTGGAAGAGCCATTGAACATAAAAACTGTAATTTTTAAACAAGGCCGTCAACGATCTGGAAGCTTTCGTGCGTCTTACCTGATGGAAGCGCTCTGCATCTCCCCCTCCGATCTGAAGAGGACAAAAAAGTGGGTTGCATGATAAACCACCGCGCTCACGCTGACAAGTGCGATGCGAAGGCTGCGCCCATCTTCTGCCTCAGCTGAGGCGTTCTGACATAGTTGGGCTGCGGGCGGCCAATCACAGCGCCAGTGCTCCCACTCGGATTCTGACTGTTGGCGGTCCTGACGGTTGAGAGGTTTCGCCCATGGACCCTGAATGCTGGGACGGACGGCTTTCCAACGCAGCTCTGAATGCTTGCGGGGCCAGCAGCCGAGAACTGGGCTGGGATGCGGACGGGGCAAAGCAGCCCCGCAAATAGGCATCTAATTGCGCGGGTGCAGCGGGTGGGCGCTGGAAGCCGGCACGAAATGGGAATATCTGCGGGAAGGCTGGTGGTTCAGTACTTGGAGTCGGTGCTGCGGGGCGCCGCTGACAAGGTGGGCATGTAGTAGAAAACGGCTGGCAACAAGGACTGGAGTCGGCGAAGAGGCTGGATATGGCTTGAAGCCAGAGTCGGAAAGATGCGAGCAGGAGTCGGAGAGATAAGAACGGGAGACGAAATGTCCACCGATGCAGGGTGGGAAACATCGGACTAACACACGTCCTGAGGATCAAGGATCACCGACTGTCTCTGTGCCCCCTCCCACCTCGCTGGGCCCCACCACCTTCCCCGCTCCTTGCCCGCGCACGCCCCCCCCCCCCGAACAAAAGGAGAAAGCACCTCTGCCGAGCTAGGCCGAATCCCCAGCAAGATCGGGGGTGACAACACGTTGGGCCAAGACACGTCCAGACGATCATCGACAGAAGCACGGCGCGCGATGAGTCGCCTGCGCCACAGCTCTGGACTTAGGTCGGGCATGTCCTCTACAGGCGGATTTGGGAGGACAAATTAGAGATCCTCGAAACATATGTAAAGGGTAATCGAAAATAATCAAAAATCGCCCCCAGACTACTTGTGGACAATTTTTGAATATTCCTCCTGTAGAGGGACGTGCCCGACTAAACTCTGGACTCGCCGCCGCGGCCGGAGCATCGGGCAGGACGCCGCGGGGAGGGCGTCGCAGTCTTCCCGATGGCGGAGCGGCGCACGAGCGAGACGGGCAGGACGCGCGGCGCACGCTCGCGGCCGACAAGCAAAAACTTTCAGAGGTCCGCACGGATTTCTTGGATCCGCGCTGGGCTGTTCATGCCGTGTTCTGCGAGGGTACCCTGGATTCTCCTGGGCCCTCCTTTTGGGAGACGCAAGACTCGCGATTGGGGGATTCGGGGCCACCAGAAAAAAAAAAAACGCGACCAAGTCTGCAACTTGACGCGAGCCTGCTGCCCCCACCCTCTGCAAACAGCTTTATAAAAACTGCACCGTTAAAGCCCATGCCCGGACCGCCAAAGACCGCCGCGAAACTTTGGAGGCCTGGAAATGAGCGCCAACACCAACACACGGGGTTGCCTCCACAGGGGGAAGATGATCCTAGATTTCGGTGTTGGTGGTAATGTTTCGGTCACCTTGGAAGCCAGAATTTTGCCACATCGCATAGATCGGGATCTTCTTGCCTTGGTGGAGGCACACCGCCGATATTGGTGTTGGTGTCGACCTCTAGGCCTGCGAAAACTAGCAAGAACATGGAAACACACGTGACCGACGATCAAAAACGGGTTTTACGCGAGGCGGCGTAGCGACTGTACGCCGCAGCTTAAGCGAGCCGCCCGCCCGGCACGCTGCACTGGAAACGAGGGCGCTCACGCGAGACCTTACGCGGGCAGCTTACGCGCCAATGCCGGCGTAGACGACCCCGTTTTTCTGCGACGCGCCTCGTGGCTGGGTTCACCTGCGAGACACGCGTGGAAGCCGCTCGCTGGGTACCAACATGGGAGGCTGGCGCACCCCCGGCCACACGGGGGCCAGGCGCTGGAAAGACGTGCGGCCACATGTGTATCCAACTCTCGCCTAAGCCAGCGGCACCATTCGGCGGTGCGCAGAGGGAGTAGGGTCAGGTCGGGCATGTCCTCATACAGGCGAGCTTGTGGCGGAAATTACAAAGTAGTCAACAAAAATATGCAACAATTTGCAAACATTGTCGAGAATTCATCCCCTGACGATTTTTGGTAATTTTTCGATATTCCTCCTGTAGAGGGACGTGCCCAAGAGGGTGCGCCGCTGGATCTCCCCAAGGGGGGGGGGCGGGGGAGGGAGGGGGGTTAGGACCCCCCCCCCCTTCCCCGATCCGTCGTCGGGGACCCCCCCCCCTTCCCCGATCCGTCGTCGGGGACCCCCCCCCTTTCCCCGACCCGTCGTCGGGGACCCCCCCACCCCTCCCATCCTTTCGAAAGGGGGGGGGGTCCAAACCCCCTCCTCCTCCCCCCCTTTCGCCACGCCGCCCCCTGATTCCGGAACCCGACCCCCGCCACCCCTACCCCTAGTCCTCACCCTAACCCATACCCCTAATCCTAACCCCAACCACTAACCCCAGCCCCAAAGAGCACTCACTACTCATTTCTCGCTACCTACTACTGACTACTCGCTATTCGCTACTCACTACTTACTACCCCCTACTCACTACTCACGACTCACTACTCACTATCCACTACTCACTACTACTCACTACCCACCACCCACTACTCGCTACTCACTACTCCCTACTCACTACCCCCTCCTCCCTACTCACTACTCACTACTCACTCCTCACTACCCACTACTCAATACTCACTACTCACTAATAGCACGACTCACTACTCCCTACTCACCATTCACTAATCACTACTCATTACCCACTACCCACTATCCACTACTCACTACTCGCTACTAACTACTCGTTGCCCACAAATCACTACTCACTATCCACTACTCGCTACTCGCTACCCACTACTCCCTACTCAATACTGACTACACAGTACTCACTACTCACTACTCGCTACTCCCATACTCGCTAATCAATACTTACTACTCACTCCCCGCTTACTTACTATTCACTACTCACTACTTACTACTCCCTACTCACTAGTCACTACATAGTCTCAAGCCACTAGTCACAATTCACGTGTCACTAGTCACTACTCACTACCGACTACCCACGACTCACCAATCGCTACTCACTACCCACTATTCGCTACCCGCTTCTTACTATTCACTGCTCATTACTCCCTACTCCCTACTCCCTATTCCCTACTCACTACTCGCTACTCCCTACTCGTTACTCACTAATCACTACCCACTACTCACTACTGACTACTCTCTACTCATTATTCACTACTCACTACGCCCTACTCGCTCCTCACTACTCAATACTCGCTACTCCCTACTCGCTACTCACTACCCACTGCCACCACCCACTACTCTTTATTCCTCACTACTCACTACTCACTACGCACTACGTACTACTCAATACTCACTACTCACTACTCACTACTCGCTACTCACTACTTACTACTCACTATACCCTACTCACTACTCACGACTCACGATTCACTACTCACTACTCACTACGCACTACCCACTACTGACTACTTACTAATCACTACTCGCCACCCACTACTCACTACGCACTAACTCAGTACCCACTACTCATTACTCCCTACTCCCTACTCAGTACTCACTACTCGCTACTCGCTACTCACTACTCACTACTCACCACTCGCCACTCACTACTCACTTATCAGTACACGCGACTCACTATTCACTACTCACTACTCCCTACTCCCTACTTCCTACTCGCTCACTGCTCACTACACACTAACTCACTACTCACTACTCACCCCTCCTACTCCCAACTCCGTACTCCCTACACGGGGACGGGGTCCGACCCCCCCCTTTCCAACGCCAAGGGGGGGAGGAGGGGGGGGGGTCCGGACCCCCCCCCCCTTGAAGGGGGGGAGGGGGGGGGGATTCTGGAACCCCCCCACACCCTTTAGTGTATTCAGGGAGATCCACTGGCGCACTTTCCAACTGAAGGGTAGGGGGAGGGGGGAAGGCTTCTCAGAAGGAGGCTGCTTCTTAAGAAGGCGCCAGCCATGCATCTATGGATGAGGCCTGTGCCTTTTAAGAAGCCGGGGTGCTTCTAAGAAGCTTTCCTGCCTCCCCCTGCCCCCTCTGCACCTTGCTGGACTATTTGTATCCTTCGAGGGTGCTAAAAGGAGCCCCTGGCCCAAGGTGCCCCCAGCTTTTCGCTATAATTATCTATGAAGCCCTTGGGTCCTCTGGGCCTCGCGAGGGTTCCTTTGGAGACAGTGGGGGCCTCCTTAGAAATCCTGGGGGGACCCCGGGCCAGGGGCACTTCTGGCACCACCCGAATCCAGCTTCCTGTAGGCGGCGCGCCCGGGGGGAAGAGAGAAGCGGCGGGCCTTCTCAGAAGGCTCGGAAGCCCCCCCGGACTTTTGAGAAGCTTTCTAAGCCTTCCCCGAAGATACAGCAAAACCTCTCAGAAGGCGCGAGGGCTTCTGAGAAGTTCCGCCCGCCTTCTGAGAAGGCCTTCTCCTTCTCACTGCCCCCCCCTCGCTCGCCGCCGATCCTGGCCAGGGAACCCTGGCAAACTCGAGAGCCTTGCGCTTCCCTGAGGCCCGCGCCCGCAGCCGCGGCGGCGGCGCGCACGGCGCCCGCCCGCAGGGGCCTCTCCGGAAGGGGCACCTCCGGGAGCCCCGAGGGTCGCAGAGGCCTCCCCCCGGAAGGACCCACGGAAGACGGACGACGACGACGCCGACGACGCCGACGCCGACGGGCCCCTGCGCATCTGAACGGCACAGCCCCCAAGGCCGCGCTAACGGCGATGTTGGTTGACGGCGATGTTGGGAATCTGGTTTTCGTGACACCGAGCTCGCGCAGAACAAAATGTAGGAAATCGCGACGCACCGTTTCTTACATATCGAATATGCGAACGTATCGAGCGAAAACGACGCAACGAATTGCAGGAAAACGCGAACCACGCGTTCCTAGAGTTGGTTTGGCCACGAACCACGCCTTTGGTTTTCCTACTTCGCCGTCAGCTAACAGTCTACGGAGGCAGCCCCCCGCCCCCCGCAGGCGGCCAGCGCCCCGGGCGCGCGGCCCGTCCACGCCGACGACGGCGAAGCTGCGCATCCGCGCCACGATGGGCCTCGGCAGTGGAGCCGGCGCGGAGCGCGCGCGGAGGCGCGGCCAGGCAGCGAGGCCCTCGACCCACGCCGCACGGCAGCGCAGGGGCGCAGGACGCCCCCCCGTGTTTGGGTCGCAGGGGCGAGGAGCTCGTCACGGTCACAGCTGCGGCGGGTTACCTTCACCGGCCGAACGGTAAATGAGGAACCAAGCCCCTTTGTTCCAAGTAAGTCTACGAAGTCCGAAGAAACGGCCTAGCGGGACGCATGCAAACCCAAGGAACGACCGAGCCCCTTTTTGAAAAGTAAGTGCTCCTTATTCAACCCGCTCGCTGCACAATGGGGACGCCCATCAAGAAACCAACTGTTTTTCGTTTGGGTGCCATGGGTTTCTTCGCTCCGCGCGCTGCGCGGTGACGTCCCGCGGCCGTTGAAAAAACCGGTGCGTCCAGGGCGCTCTGGGTTCCATCCCGTGTGCATCTCGCGCCTGCGGGTTTCAGGGCTGGGTTTCTTGCAAGGGTTTCTTGCGGCCGCACCCGCACCGTACGCGGTAGCACACTGCGCCTGCGAGACACGGGCACACACACACACACACACACACACACACACGCGAGAGAGAGAGAGAGATGGGGGGGAAGGGGGGGCAGGAGTGCTGCCATTGAACGGGCAAGAAGCGAGCACGAACACGAGCACCGGAACACCAGTGAAAGCGGCCCAGCAGCGACGGCGAATAGAGGAAGAAGCATCGGTATAAACAGAAACTGTCGGAGGTCCGCGTGAATCCCACCAGCCCTCTGGGCGTCGGTGGTCTAGAGAGTTTCCTCTTCCGACCCCCTTCTTCCCCTTCGCGGAGGGGTTTACCCCTCCCCCTACCCCCTCCCCTGGACCTGGACGGGGGGTTCCGCGGGTCGTTGGGGCGTCCAAGATGGCCCAAGACGGCTCCAAGAGCGAAAAGGTGGGAAAGCAGAAAAACATTGATTTTCCTAGGTTTTGGAACGATTTTGGCCTCTTTCGGGGCCGAAGAGGCGATTCGAGGCACTCTAGAGGGGCAACGCTAATTCCCCCCCCTTCTTTGATAGATCTCCTCCAACATGGCCCGAAGAGCGCCCCGAAGGCTCCCAAGAGCGCCCCATGAGCGCCCCAAGAGGGCACCAAGAGGTCTCAAGAGGCGCCCAAGAGGCGTCAAAAAGGCCTCCAAGAGACCCCCAAGAAGCCCCAAGAGGCCCCCCGAGATACGGAAGAGGCCCCCAGGACCGCCAAGAGGCCCCAAAGACGGCCCAAGAGGCCCCCAAGCTCGCCATTGTCTTCCTCCTCTTTTCTTCCTCCTCCCTCCTCCCCCTCCCTCTCCTCCTCCTCCTCCTCCTCCTCCTCCTCCTCCTCCTCCTCCTCCTCCTCCTCTTCCTCCGTTTCCTTCTCCTCCTTTTCGTCCTCCACGTCCTCGCCCTCCTCCACCTCCTCCTCCTCATATTCCTCCTCCTCCTCCTCCTATTCCTCCCCGTCCTCCTCCTGCTCCTCCTCCTGCTCCTCCTCTTCCTCCTCCTACTCCGACGACGACGACTCCTACATCCTCCCCCTCTTGGGGTATATGGCGGCTTACCCCGCCCTTTGTTTTTCTGCATGCTCCCCCGCTTCCCTCATCACCTCCCCCCCCCTGGGACTCGTTTCTGGACGGGCTGGTGGGGATACGCGAAGCGTTTAGAATTCCTTGGATCGGCGCTGGACCTCCCCTCCTTGACGCACGGACCTCACGGACATCCGAAACATTTTTGTATTGTATCAAGCGCCTTCCTTTCTACTGAAGAGCCGCCCTGCGCGTGCTCGCGGGGAGCCGAAAGAGTTGACTGGACTCAAAATCGACGGCATATCGCCGATATATCGGCGATCAGCACCCTATGGGGAATCCCACCAGCCCTTAGGGCGGAGGTGGTACAACGAGTTCGTGGTTTCCCTCTTCCAGAATCCCTCATTCCACTTCTCGCGGGAAGGGTTTACCCCTCCACCCCCTCCCATGGGCCTGGACGGGGGAGCCCGAGGCGTTACTACCGCGTCCAAGATAGCTCCAAAAAGGCCCCGCGTGCGGCAAAATGATGTCCATTAATTGCCCAAGCTGCTTCAAGATGGCTTAAGATAGCCTCCGACAGCCTCCAAGAGGCCCCCGGGTTTCCCTCGCGACTTGAGTCATAGCTTCTTCTTGCCTTTTTTGACCGGTTCTCCTCCGCCTGCTTCGCCTCCTCATCGCCTCCTCGGCAATCGTCCTCCTCATGCTCCTCTCCTTTTTTTTCGTAACCCCCCTCCCGACGGTGTCCCAGATGGTCCGGAACCAGGGCGCCCATGACTGCCGATGGGCAGCGACCACGAGACCGACAGCGCTGGGGTTTTCAGGCCCCGGCGGGGGAGACGCGCGAGCGGAAGCAGACGGCCCCGCGCCACTCCCACACATTCAAAGTGGAAAAGACTCGCCGGGCTCTCGAACCGGCGACGATGGAACAAGATGAAGAGAAGTGGGAGGGGAAAGCCGCGTGCGCTTCAAAGTCCTTGATGCGCAGTCTGGGCAAATCCTGCCGCGCCGAGGCCTGCGCCTCAAATTCACGAGAGCGGGCGTCGTCAAGCAGCCCGATGGTCCAATACCTGACCTCTGCCTGGTCGCCTGGACGTTCGCGCCATATGGCCCTGATCTTTTAACTCGACCGCGTTCTTGGCGAGGCCCACCACGGCGCCCAGGCTCTCCAGCCAGCAGACCGGCAGGAGGAGGGGCACTTCCTCCGCCACTATCCTGAAGAAGATGAGGCACTTGACTCCGCCCTTCGCCACGGGCGCCGTCGCCTCGCCGACCGCCGATGCCTCGAGCCGGCGCCGCCGCAATCGCTGCGCGAGTGGGGATGTCCCAGCTGCGCTCCTGGCATGTCCCCTTCGATTTCTTCGACTGGCTCTCGCCCGCGAGCGCCTGGCTGGCAGCCGCGCCGACCGCGCCCCCCAGCCCCTGGCTGCTGAACAAAGCGGTGTAGACCTCGGCCCGGGGTTCGGCCCTCGACGATCAGCGTGTACTTTTCGTTGATCTTCGCGCGGCCCACGAGGTAGGCTTCGTTGTCGCTGTCTGGAATGGCTGCCACGTGCGCGCATGGATCCTGGCCCGCCCTTGTCACAATGGTTGTTCTGTCGATGCTGCTGCGCATGTCCTGGGGTCGCCCTGGTCGGCGCATTCCTTTCGCCAGCGGCTCGTCTGCCCATAGTTGGCGCGCCTCGTTCTTTCCTTTTCAGGCGACTGGTATTCAGCCGCTGACGACCTACTCCTGGACGAGATAGGCTCGTTCCCGAGCGCGCGCGGAAACGAGGAAAGCCCTGTCCCGGGCGATAACCCTCTTGTCGTGGGCGCTCGAGCCCAAGTAAGTTACGGCGCCCGAACAGGAGCCCGAATGGCTCCCAAATTCGAAGCAGGAGTTGTTCAACGTTCGTCTGGTGCAGCGTTGTGTTCTCGCGCCCGTGCTTCAGACTGCAAGAGCGGCATCGCGCGCGAATCGCGCGCGCAGCAAGTCGCCGGACAAACGTGCGCTCATGTTTTCGCGCGTTGCCTGGGCAGCCAAACGCGGCCCTGGCGCGCGCGCGCCTGACGGGGCCGCGCGAGGTAGACGCGGCGGCAGGCTCCCTGAAGGCCCACAGGAAGCCCCCAATGAGGCCCCCGTCGGGGGGGGGGCCCTGCGCACCCAGAACGCACCCAATTGGCCACCGTTGGATGTCCCGTTGGGCTTCACTGTCGGTGGCCTTGCCGCGAGCCCCAACGGTGCCCCGACCATGGGCCCCCCAACGGTGACCCCCAACGGCGAAACCCCAGGGCGGCGCCCCCCCCCCCCCCCCCCCCCCCCGCGTCATCGACCTCGGGAAACCCTGTGGAATCGGCAGCGACACACGATCGGCGCCTAAATCATGCGCCCGAATCGATGCCCGACCGAAATCGATAATGCGCCCGAATGGAACCGAGAATGTGCCCGAATGGCAGTGCAATGGAAACGATTACGCGCCGAGTACGAACGATAATGTGCCTGGATGGGACTGCGACGATAACGATCCTGTGGCCGAATCGGCAAGCGAGCGCCCGAAGGGAAACCATTATGTGATCGAATGGAAACCATTATGTGCCCGAATGGAAAACGGCAAACCGCGTGGAACATCCTCCGAATCGCGAGCACGCCAAGACGACCGCGTTGATTCGAGCATCGATTCGGGCACCAATTCAAGCGCCGAGTTGGGCGCAGATTCGGGCACCGATCGGGGGCGGCCCCGTGCGCTCTTGGATTATCTGTTCGAGCGCCATTCGGGCGTGGCTGCGCGCGACGCAGGCTGACGGCGAGCGCGTCAGGGAGTCGGTCGCGCGAGCGCCCAACTCGGGCGCGCCATGGCGGTGGGCGGCGGGGGTCGGGGCAGCGGCGGCGGCGCTGGAAGCTCTCGCGCTTCTCCCGCGACGCGCGTTCTGTCAATATTGGAGACCGAGCCAGGCGCGTCGGCGAACGGGGCGCGCCAGGTGCCATGCGCGCCGCACGCGCCAGATACACCGACTGCACGAAGCACGCCATTTGCTGCTCCAGCCACGCCAGGGGCGCCAATTGCGCCATGCTCGCCGCTGGCCCCAGGACCCAAGAATCGCAGGCGGGCCATGCGCACAAGCGCGCAAGGCGCGGGAAAAAGCAAACAAATCGGACGCGCAACAAACGCCCCACAAATAACTGGCCAAATCATGACACACTCTCGCGGCCCCGAAGGCCACCACGAACTATCTGTGAATACCTAGCGATGTCATTGCACGTCAGTGTATCACCTCTTCATTTCCAGCGCTGGAAGCGGTTCACAACAACCTATCGTTACGAACGACGACCAGCGGGGCACTGCAACCCTGCACCACTCACAGCGCACGCGCTGATCCAGAGACCTCACGCACGCCGCGCCACGCAAAAATATCCAGTGAAGATCGCTTAAACCACGGCGCGAGCAGCGCCAATCATCGACACAAAACGCATTCGGACACGCCCTGTTCGGAACTTGTGCCCGTGTGCCCACGATTCCTGGGCCCCGCGACTCTGCCCACTTCCTGGTGTTGAACCCCGCATCCCGCTTCTCGTCCAGCATTGCCGCCAGGAGCGCCACGTAGAGTCCGTGCGCGTCGGCATCGTCCATGATGAGGTCCTCTTATGAGGTCCTCTTCCAGCTCGACGTACACTATGCCCACGCAAGGGTTGTCGTCACTATGTCCGTCACTACCGGCTGCGTGGACTCTCTGCTTCGGGGCCTTGCCTTGAATCTTCTTTCGAACGTCCATCCTCATGAACCCTTGCTTGATGGATTGTAGGTCCTCCTTGCCCTGGGTGATGGACAATAAGTTGATGGCGTCCTTCCCTGACAACCTGGCGCCCTCTCTTGAAGTACTGAACCTAGACAACTTCTGGAATGTCCAACCCGTCGTGATTAGCGCTCCTGCTCTGAAAGTCGCGAACTTGTCACAGATCGCGCGTGGGTTTTTCCTGATCGCAGCTCGGTGTCCTCCAGGGCCAGCCTGAAAGCCTCCACAGCTTCATCTTCGTCGTGGTCGCCTCGCGCTCGCTGCATGAACGCATAATTACGTAGGCTGCCCCCCTGCCGTCTGGCCCGTCCAACTCGCGCTGATAGTGGAGCAAGCGCTCCTGTAGCTCTGTAGCTCTCCTGGCAATCCGTCGATGGCCTTCCCCGCCTGCTGCTCTCCCGGTAAGCCCGTTCGACTGCTCCACCTTCTCCGCTGGACCAGCCACGTGTCCGGCCTCTCGAAGCCCGGCCGCGGCTGGGGCCCGGTGCGTCCGACGGCCTCCAGCATGAGCCCCCGAGCCATCCGTAGCAACGTACCCGAAGGGCTTGGAAAGGCCTGGCGAAACCCGCTGGAAGGACCTCGAAGGGGCTTCCGAAAGACCTTCTGGGGAGAGTTTCCGGGCACGCGATATGGGGAAACGCTTACAACAAGACCTTCGCGGGGATCGGACAACTGGAGGCTGAGGCCACGCCCCGGCGGCGGCTGCGGCCGCGGCGGCGCTGGCCACCGCCAGCGCCTCTGCCCAGCCGGCGGAGCCCCTCGGCTCGGCGGCCGGCGCTGCGCCAGCCGTCCTTTCGGCGGCAGAAGCCTGCCTGGCGCTGGCCGTTGGGGTCGGCATCGCTGCCGTGGCTCCCGTCCGCGCCGCCGACGCCTGCATCAGGGTCGTCGGGAGGGGGGGCTGCTCTGGGATCTGGAGGGTGGCCCAGCTCGAAGTCGAAGATGTCCAGCTCCACTGATTCGGCCGACTTCCCCAGCTCAACCAGGTCCGGTGTTTCCGTATTTCCACCAGCTCTTGCTTTTTCTGGCTGTCGTGCCCAGGGATACGGATCCCTGGCACGGATGCCATTTTGCTGCTGCCGTCCGGGCTCCTGCTGAAGCCCCTGCTGTGGGCCGGGTTCCTGCTGAAGCCCCTCCGTCCGCGTCCTCCACGGCTGACGAGTCCTTGTTTTCGTCGGCGCTGCACCTGGCGGGTCGAGGAATTCGCCCTCCCTGGTGTCCTCAGGTACCTCACCGTCCTGCGCAACCATCACGCTCCAGCTACCATTGTGACTGCACGATCGGATCGAGAGGGGACGAGAAAGGCGGTAGACAGGGGACTGGGAGAGCGATGGGCCCTCTCCGTCTTGATGCTTTGCAGACTTGCGCTACAAGGCATACAGAGTACTCAGCACACGCATGCCCTGGGTAACACTGGGATCTCACAGGATAGGAATAACAGAAAGTATATGGCAACTGCCCATCACCAGGGTTGCATTGTAGGCATCCAGAAAACTTGCCAAACTGCACGTTTTGGGCCACATACCGGCGTATAGGACAGAGATGGCGCAGGAGGGGGAAGCGAAGGCGGCCGACGACGAGGAGCAAGCGAACGACAACGACGACGACAACGACGACGACGACGACCACAACGACGACGACGACGGCGACGACAGACGCCGACGATGAAGACGACCGCGGCTGACGGACGCCGACAGACGACGACGACGACGGACGGCGGACGGACGGACGGACGGACAGTCAGACTGACGAACGACGGACGACGACGATGACGACGACGAAAAAGACGACGACGAACACGACGACGACGAACACGACGACGACGATGAAGACAACGACGACGAAGACGACGACGACGGCGACCACGGCTACGACCACGACCACGACCACGAGCACGAGGACGACGACGACGACGACGACAACGACCACGACGACGACGACCACGACGACGACAACGACGACGACCACGACGAACACGACGACGACAACGACGACGACCACGAACGACCACCACGACGACGACGACGACCACGACCACGACGACGACGACCACAACCACGACGACGACGACGATGACGACGACGGCGACGACGACGACGACGACTGTGCCGTTGCCTGAGCCACCGAGGGTTTCAGATGGGCCGCCGAGGGCCTCAGATGGGACGACGGACGGACGGACGGACGGACAGACGGACAGTCAGACTGACGAACGACGAACGACGACGACGATGACGACGAGGACGACGACGACGACGACGACGACAACAACGACATACACGACCACGACGACGACGACGACCACGACCACGACGACGACGGCGACGACGACTGCGCCGCTGCTGAGCCACCGAAGGCCTCAGATGGGCCGCCGAGGGCGTCCCATGGGCCTCCGATGGTCCGCCAAGTCGCCGCCGATGGGCCGATTCTGACGGGCCGCCGATGGGCCTCCGAGCCATCTGGGGCGCGGGCAGGCCCATCTTCTTCGCGGCCGACCGTCGCGCGAGCAGGACAAGGGAGGCGCCGTCGGAGACCTCTCTGCGCGCGCGCCCGCCGCGTACACGACGCCCCCGACCGACACGCTGCCAACGACGACGATGACGACGACGACGACAGGCAACAACAGGCGACGGCGAGGACGACTGCGACAGGCGACGACAGACGGCGACGGCGTCGACGGCGACGGCGGCGGGGAGAGGCGGCAACAAGCGAAAACAGCGACGACGACGACGACGAGATGGCAGGCGGCGGCGATGACAGGCGACGGAATTCGACGGCGACGACGGCGGCGTTGGCGACGTTGTCCCGGCCTCCAGTCCTCTCTGCGCCAAGAAGGAGGAGCATGAGATGGAAGGGCGAGCGGGGGGAGGAAGAGCACCAGCAGCAGGAGCAGGAGGAACAGGAGCAGCAGCGGCAGGACGAGAGGATGAGGTGGATCGATCGATCGATCGATCGAGCTCTCGGGTTTGTCTGGGGTTATACTGGACTAAGACTAATTTATTGAGCCTTCAAAAACTGTAGTGCGGCCTGGCGGTGGTCACTTTCTGGAAAAGAGGGGCGCTGGCGCCACGGGGCGCTCGGGCCCTACCTGCGCCGACCTCCCCGCGGGCAGGGTAACACCCGCGTTTACGGGTGTCCTCTCGCGTTCTCCTCTCTACCCCTTCCCTTCCCCCCATCGGCCCTTGCCTTTCTGTTCGGGTTCGGGGGGAGGGGGGAGGTGCGCTACATAATATTCAGGGAAGCGTGGCCCATGGGGTTGGAAGAGGGAACCTCGGTGGGCGGCAGAGGAGGAAGCCTACCTTCACTGAGTAACTGTCGGAATTGCTCGCGGGTTCGAAAAGCCTGAAGCCCTGCGATGGGGGCGGCGCCAGCTGAGCGCAGCTGCGCTGAATGCTCGCGGTCGCTCTCATGGCCTTCGGCCTCACCCTCACTGCGGCCCTTTCCTTGGCTCCTGTTTTCTGGTCTCCTGCTGCAGGGCGCCCGCTGATGTCGCGCAAAACTGCTATGTACACCGTCGTGCACTATCTGATGCTGATCCAGCTGGCGTCGCACAAAACTGATATGTGTCCAGTCGGTCACCGTTGGGAGCTGCGCCTGCTGGTGTCGCACAAAACTGATCGGCGTCGAGTCCGCCATTCTCTGTCGTACTGCTCACGCCCCGTTGATGAGTCTCCCGATCTCTCTCTCTCGATGGCCCCGCGCGGCGCTGCTCCCACCTTCCTGATCGCCCTTCCTTCTTGAGCTGCCTGACTACCACCGTCTCCAGCTGATGATACGTGTGATTCATCTGGAACTGGAACCTGCAATTCTCTTGCGCCCCGTCGCCGCCCTCCTTCTCCTTGTTGCGCCTGACGCAGAAGACAGGCACTGGCGATGTTACGATCTCCGCGTTGCCATTTAATACGCAATCCGTGTCGCACTTCTCGAGTAGGTCTCGCTCGGCCCCTGCCTCGTGCACGCGGCCCAAGTGGATTGGCACCTCTGTCCAGATCTTGGCGCGCGGGCTGCCCAGCGACGCGGTGTCCACGTTCTCCCCGCTGGTTGCCCTTCTGCGCAAGTCCTGGGCCGCGTCGTTGAGTCCTTGCCTGCTGCCAGCCCGACCTTGGACTCCTCGGCGTTGGCGTCGATCTCCCACGTCTGGACCACCGTGGAGGCGAGTTCTGCTTGTTCTCGCGCCAGTGTGAGGGCCGGCCTGGCTGTGAGATCCGCCGCCTGCGCGTCGGCTGGCTGCCCTCCTCCTGCCGCCCCCGCTGCGCCTTGCGGCCTCGCCTCCTCGGCTGCCGGCTGCGATCTGGTCGCGGCGGGCCTCCTGGCACTGGCGCGGCTGGCGCCCGCTGCGGGCGCTGATCGAATGGCGCCGTCTCTGTCGCGCGGTCGGAGTATCTGTCTCGGGAGGCGCGCCCTCAAGTGCTGAAAGTAAGCCTCCCGATCCAAAGCTGGATGGCTGCAGAGAGGGCAAGTCGTTCCAGGAGGTGTCGCTTCGCATTGGTGATGTGTTCTGCCGCGGTTGCAGCTTCCACTCAACGCGCCCCTGGCCAGGCGTTCCCATGCGGTTCCTCGCCGCGCGAACGCGAACGCCTGAAGGCACGCGATGCACTGGCTGTTCGTAGTGAGGAGGGCGGCGAGGTTATGCACGTGGTGCGGTCTTATGACGCGGCTGTGCGTCGCTTCCTTGCTGGCGAGCCATAAACCGCATTCGCCTCCGTGTTATCGTAGTTCGCATTTCCAAGGCTGGAGGTCTCGTAGTTCCATTTCTTCTCGCTCTTCGTCGCTTTGGGCCTGTCCAGGAGGTACTGAAACGGTGAGTTTCGCTGCTCGCACTTCTCTAGCGTCCAGTAGGTGTAGTTGCTCCCTGGTTTCAAGCGTGAACATTTTTCCGATCGCGACGTCATCACCGAAGATGTTTCGGAAGGTCTCCGAGATCCGGCAAACCCGCTGGGCACCCTCTACGAATCGTCGGGCCCAGGGGGTCGTGTCCGCCGTCAGGGGGCTCTCGGTCTCAGCGTGTTCTTCTCGAATCAAATAAGACGACATGCGGCCCCGTTCGGCCTCGGCGCTCTCGAAACCGAGGCACCCGAACATGGCGACAATGAGTTGGCGGCGGTTGTTCGGGAAACGGAGGATGTTTTTCGCCCGGCCAAGTCTGCGGACCAGCGTTTCTTCCGCTGGCGGCGAGATTTGCCAGGAACGAAAGACCTCAAACGTCGTCATGCTGCGGGTGGATCCATCCAGCCTGGAAGTCGTCGCTCGCCCCATCATGGCTCGGCGCAATAGCACGCCCGTTGCACTCCGCAGCGCGGCGCACTCGTTGGGCGTCGGCAGGAAGCACTCGATGCAAGACAGTCGCGTGTTGATGACCCTGCAGATCAGTACTGCCCGCCTCCATCGGTTGGGGATGTTCTTCTTCGTCCAGAAACCGCCGCACTCGTAGTAGTTCTTCGTCATCGCCTGGGCTCTCTTCTGCAGCTCGCGGCGGCAGCTCTGCGTCGCCGTCGCGCGTGGCCCCAGGAGCCTCGCCGCGTCCTTCACCGTGCCCGGCATCTTGTGGTGCTTGTTCTTCTTTACGGTCAGGTTTGCTCGCCTCCCCTGCGCCCTGGAAGTGGACGATGGCCCCCTGCTTGCTCTGGTTCTGGCGTAGCCCGATTTCCCTCAGCCCGTCGCTCATCGTCGCGTCTAATGCGCGCGCTTGGCGGGCGAGGTCGGCCGCGTCCGCCTCCTTGCTGCCCGGGGTGAGCTTTCTCAGGTCGTAGGCGTACTTGAGGCCCACGTAGTCAGGGTGCTGGAAAAGCTCGCTGCTGCCGCGCATCTTCTCGTCGCGGTCGAGCTCGGCGCTGCAGTCACCGATGCAGCGCTTGATGCACGGGCTGAAGCTGGCCGTGCAGTTCTTCGCCATGCAAGGGTCCCCGATGAGCCCTCCGCAGTGCGCTTCGATGCAAAACCCGTTCTCGTCGCCCCTGCACGGAATGCTGACGGTCGCCCTGCGGTGCCGATGCTCGCCTATGCCCCACAGGTCCTCTGGCATGATCTTGCTGTTGGCTGCGCCCGCCGCCATCCAGTTGGAGCTCGCGAGCGCGTTCGACATGTACTTCATCCTGGAGGCGCAGTTGCATCCTGCTTGTCGAGCCCTGTACTCGGTCCCCGCCATGGCCAGGATGGCTCCTTCGCGTCGACGTCCTCTGACGAAGCCGCAGTCCTGGCCCGCGTGGGCGACGGCGCCTCGCCTGCGAAGTCCCGCCAGGTAGTGGGCCTTGCCGATCGGGCCCTTGATGCGGTGATCATTTTTTCCCGCGGTGCCTTTCTTCATGTTCTTGCGGACTGCCGTCGCTGTGCTCTGTCTGATGCCATCTCGCTGGAGTATAGCTGCTGATTCTGATGGCCGCCAACGCCGCCTTGATGAGTGCGTCGAAATTGCGTGCCTCCTCCCGCTGTCTTGTCATTCCGAATCCTAGTCGCGCTGCCGGTGGTCCTGCCTCGTCTGGCGGGTTGAATAGCATCCCCCATAATTCCGTCGATGCTGTCGTCGGTGGCGCCGCCCTCCTCAGTCTCGCCCTCTTGAGGCGCTTAGCGTTGTCGTCGTAGTCCTGCTCGACTTTCCCGACTGGGCCCTCCTCGTCGTAGTCGTTTTCTTCCGCGTAATGCGGTGTGTCCTCGATCGCGTTGATGTCCTGCTCGGTGCCGTCCATGCCTCCTTCGCTTCCTGGCCGCTTTCAGAATTCGAGCTATTCTTCTCGCGTCGGTTGCGCCGTCGTCGCCAGTCAGTAGTCGCGCTTCCTGGGCCCGCGGCGGCCGCCCGCGATGAGGCGCAAGAGTCGCCCTGCTCGTGCCAGGTCACGGTGTTCCCATGCCTCGCGCAATTCCTCGACCCTGCTATCGTCGCGCTGCTGGAACTCTGTCTTTCGCATCCCCTCGCACAGTGTCGTGATTTCTCGCAATCTAGATTCGATTTCGCGCAGCTGTCGTTCCAGCGGCGTGATCAACTGACTAGTATCTTCGGCGTGCGGGCTGTTGCGTTGGGTCTGCCCCTGGTCCTGACTCACCTTCCCTGGAGCGTTCCGATCCGTTTCAAGGCCATCCGCGCCCTGGGGGCCGTGGCGACGAGTCGGAGTCAATAGGGCGGTTAGCCTCGATAGTGGTATCCTCGCTGGTCTCGTGGCTCGTGGCGGTAGCTGCAATTCCGTGAAGCCGTTCGCTGCCGTCCCTGCGTTCCTGTAGTAGTTGCATGCGCTGTCGTCGTAGTTCGGCGCATGGTTACGTAGACGGTGGGGTTGCGCCGTAGTACTACTGCGCGGACTGGATGATCATCTGATTCAGCTCCAGGAGCAATCGGTCGACTCCTTTGCCCACTGGGTTGTATTCTTCCAATTGTGCCTCCAAGTCTCTGGTGGAATCGTTGCGGTGTAGTCCTCGCCGTGCTCCTTGCGCCAGTCGGTCCTTGTCCCAACGAAATGGTGCTTCCTGTCGTCGGCGTCGGCGCTGCACTGGGAGTCGGAATGTGATATGCACTGGCACGTGGTCGCGTCTCGCTCTGCACGGGATGCGTTGGAGTCGTTTCTCAGTCGTAGAAGGGGTCTTTGTGAGATCATGGTCGGGACGAGCTCCTGCGGGATCATAATGTAGTCGATGCAGCTTGCCGTGTCCTCGCCGAAGTAGGTGGGTCGCCACGTACCCGCTGTGTTGGTGATGACCAGCGCGTGTTTCTCGGCGAAGTTGCGTGTTCGCTGCCCTGCTCCTCCTGGTAGTCACTCGACCGAGCGTCCTGGTCCTACTGCATGTGATTATGGTCTGTGTCCCCGTTGTGTGATGCCGATCCCGTCGTTCAAGTCCCAAGCCGTGATCACGAGGCTGCTGCGCGCGCGGTTGGTGACCGTCTCGTCCAGCCATTGATATTGCGGTGAGAAGTAGTAGCCGATCGCCAGAATGAGCTAGTGGTGGTGTTGGATCGTGAGGGCCAGCCCGCGTCCTCGTAGTGGCGGTGGCGGTTCGGTGATGTCCACGATCACCGCGCCGCGCAGCCTGCCCTGCATCGCGAAGGTGACCCCCGTGCTCTTGTTGGTGAGTTCGCCTAGTTGCTATCCCGCGTCATCGTATATGGCGTCGCCTTCCTCATGTTGTGTGATCGCCTCGTCTCGGCGTCGTCTCCCCGTGCCTGGCAGGATGGGTATGTCGAAGTTGGAAGTCGCCTGAAATATCTCCGCCAACCGATCTGTCTTGGCCGAAAATAGGTTGAAGAGAAGACCCGCGAGAGAAGCCGTCAGTGTTACCATCATGGGGGTCGTCGCCCTTCCTCGTATCAACACGATTTGAGTAATGGCATGGTCGCTTCCTGGGCTGCCCTGATAATTTCTTAAGCCCAGATGGCACCTAGGAGGAGGAGGCGGAGGAGGAGGAGGGGGGGCAGGAGGAGGCGGAGGAGCCCGCAGCCGTGGGTGCGAAAGACGGCGCACATTGTCTGTGACGCTGTGCCCTGGAAAACGTGGCTGGAGAGCGGAGGTCGGCTCCGGGCGGCCGCTGGAAGACCAGCGCCAAAGGCCGACTCCAACCGAGCAGAGGACCGGGTGCTGACAGAGGTGCCGCTGGCCCGAAGTGCCCCTGCCCTCCGCCCACTCTGGGCCTTCCTTGGGGTGAGGGGGGGCTCTGGACTCCAGGCTTCTGGCGGCCATCCGCCCACTCTGAGCCCTACCCGCCAGGGTCAGCATCGAATCGGGACGTCGAGTCGACTCGAAACGCACGTCGGATCGGGCCGGGTCGGCACGGAATCGATATCGATTCGGACCACCTGCGCCAGGATGCGCAACAGCGCCGTGCAAACATCGGCCGCATCGGCTAGCCAGAAGATCGAAGCCGATGCGGATCGATCCCGGCGACCTCGACTTCGAATCGGATCGATCGCACCGGCAGGGGCCCTGCCTGCTGCTGGAGGCACCAGCTGGGAGCTTCTGGCGGCCAGGCGGGCACCCCAGGCAGCGCCCGAGACGTCCTGCTGGGCAGAGGCCCTAGGCTCCGGGCCGCTCCTCCTCCTCCTCCTCCTCCTCCTCCTCCTCCTCCTCCTCCTCCTCCTCCTCCTCCTCCTCCTCCTCCTCCTCTTTGTCTCCTCCTCCTCCTCCTTGCCTCCTCCTCCTGCTCCTTGCCTCCTCCTTGCCTCCTCCTTGCCTCCTCCTTGCCTCCTCCTCCTCCTCCTCCTCCTCCTCCTCCTCCTCCTCCTCCTCCTCCTCCTCCGCCCCCTTCCTCCTCTCTTCCTCCTCCCCCTCCCCCTCCCTCCCCCTCCCCCTCCCCCTCCCCCTCCTCCTCCTCCTCCTCCTCCTCCTCCTCCTCCTCCTCCTCCTCCTCCTCCTCCTCCTCCTCCTCCTCCTCCATTCCTTTTCCTTATGAATAACTTCTCCCTGTCGCACTCCGAGGCCAATTTTTAGGGCGGGCCAGGCGTTTCGCCTGAGACTTCCTCACCGGTTATGAGCCTGAGGCTTAAAAATGGCAATAGTTTCACGGATTGAGGGCGGGGGGGTTTCAAAATGTGGTTATTGCCTCAGCGCCGCGCACATGCGTTTTAAACATTTGCAAGAGTTTCGCGGATTGGAAGCAACCCGTTTTCAAAATGTGGCTCTTGCCTCAGCGCCGCGCACTTTCGTTTTACACATTTGCAACAGAAAAAGCTTCACGGATTGAGGGCGGCCTCTTTTCAAAATGATGTTCTCGCCTCAGCGCCGCGCACATTCGTTTCTTTTTTAATTTGCAAGAATTTCGCAGATTCCCATGATCAGCGTAATTACCAGAAATGGTGTTTTGGAAGGATTCAGGATTATGAGGGTGCAGCTGTTACATTGATTCGCAGTATTGAAGTCCCAAGAATAGCTTTCTGGCACGATTCAGAATCGTCAAGACGCAACACTCAAGTTGATCCGCAGCGTTGGAATCCCGAGAACAATGTTTTGACATGCTTCAGGGTCTTCGAACGATTGTCTTCCAACGAGACAGTTCCCTCGGTGGAAATTACCCGTTATAGGGGCCTATGTCTTTTCCAACATCGTTGATGACTTGATGACTCTTGGGTTGCGCTGGTCCTCCTGCTCCTCCTCCTCCTCCTCCTCCTCCTCCTCCTCCTCCTCCTCCTCCTCCTCCTCCTCATCATCATCATCATCATCATCATCATCATCATCATCATCATCCTCATCCTCATCCTCATCCTCATCCTCATCCTCATCCTCCTCCTCGTCCTCCTCCTCCTCGTCCTCATCATCATGCCTACTCCTCCTCCTCCTCCTCCTCCTTGCAGCCTGCTCCGAGGGGCGCGCGCCAGTGCAGAGGCGCGCAGGGCTCCTCTGCCTCGGGGCCCCTCTGGCCGAGGACCGCGGGGAGGACGGAGAGCGCACAGCAGCTGCTTGAGGGCGGGGAGGCGCAAGACTCGAGCCTGCGGGACTGAAGGGACCCTGGGACACACAAATAAATACACACAAATAGTTTAACACAAATCCCCATATTTTCCTATATGTTCTAGGGTTTTCGTCTCCCCCCCCCCCACTTCCCATATTTTCCCGTATTTTCTGGGGGATCGCCGCCCCGAGACAAGGCAGGGCCTGTTCCGTCTGGGACATGATGCGCAGCTCCAGCTGCAAACGTCTGACGAAAAGCGGACCGTCAAGATCAACGCCGGGGCCGTCAGAAAAGCGGCGGCAGGCTCGAGCCTCACGCTTCCCCGGCACGAGGGCGGGGGGAGGGTTCCCGACCGCCGCTGGGTGCCAAGCCCTCCATTAGATGGCGACGGCGACATCCGAACCCTACCCCCACCAACCATCGATTCTCCTGAGCCGATGGGAGGCGGGGGGGTAGGATTCGGACCTCGCCGCGTGCCCTGCGAACTCCGAAGCCCACCCCCGGCGCCCACCCCGTTGCCCGAACCGTGGATCGGCGGGAGCAGGGCTCGGACTTCGCCGCCGCTCCCCGCTCTGGCGGAGGGGGCGAGCGGAGGGCCCCCGCCCGCCCACGAAGACGCCGCCCCGGCCCGAGGGCGCACGCAGGGCTCCCCCGACCGCCGCTGGGTGCTCGGCGGAGGGGGCCCGCCCGCCACGGAGGGGCCGCCGGGCCCCGGGGGTGCGCCGCCCGCCGCGGCCGCAGCGGCCGCCCGGCCCGCCGCGGCCGCGGCCGCGGCCACGACGAGGGTGCCCCGGCCGCCGCGGGTCACGGGCCCACGGCGTGCGCCGCCGCGGCCGCCTCGTCCGCCGCGGCCACGGCCGCGGGGTCGCCGAGGCCCCGGGGCGGCCGGAGCTCCCGGGGCAGCATCTCGTCGGGGAGCTCCACGGGCACGTCCTGCCCCTTCAGCTTCATGTTGATGAGGTGCATCGCGAGGGCGTACTCCGGCAGGGTGAGCGCGCCGTCCTTGTCGATGTCGGACAGCGCCCATATCCTGTGCAGCACGTTGGAGGGCAGGTGGCTCTCGACCATCTTCGCCTTGGCCTGCTGCCCTGTCAGCCGGCCGTCCTGCGGCTTCAGCGACTCGAACTCTGCCTTGTAGTCGGCGGTCTTCGGCGGCACGGTGTAGTACTTGGCGTACGCCGACTGCTCGCTGGCGCCCCCCACCTTCATTACCGCGAACGGGGACGCCTGCCCCGCGACCTGCGGCACGGCCGCTACGTTGACACCGGTGCGGCTCTGCTCCTCAGGTATGAGCTGCAGCAGCTCGGGCAGGTCCACGTTCAGCAGCGTCTCCAGGAGCTCCAGCATCTCGGGGTTGAGGGGCCTGAAGGCCGACCAGTCCGCCGGCTGCAGGATCTGCTGCATCGTCCTGGGGTCTGGGAAGTCGCCCAGCGGCAGGCCCCTCTGCGTGGCGATCTGCTGGTAGATGCTGGGCAGGCTTCGGAGCATCCTCTCCTTCTCCTGCGCGTGCCCGAAAAAGGTCGGCATATTGCTGTACAGGTGGTCCTGCAGGAAGGCGTGCACCTTGGCGAGCCGGGCCCTCTTGATGAGGTCGTTGACCTTCCGCACCGCCGACGTCCGGGGCAGCTGAGCGATCTGCGTGTACAGGTCGTTCTCCTCCTGCTCAAACAGCTCGCGCAAGTGCTCGTTCTTCAGCGGCTCGTCCCAAAAGGAGCCCACGTACACCCGCGAGACCTCCGGATTGTCGACCACCTTACCAAGAGACCACATGAGAGCACCGTACACGCGCATCAGCTGCTGGGTCGTCACACCGTCCGCCTTGTTGAGCACAATGTTGACCTTGTGATCGTTTCCGCGAGCCGCCAAGATAACGCGGCGGAACTCGTCGGATATGTCCAACTTGGACACGTCGAAAAGAAGCAGGATCATGTCCACCCGGTCGGCGAACCACTTCACGACGGCCTCGAAGTCATAGTCGCGCTGGATGCGCTGCTTCTCGCCCGAGAGGACCCCTGGCGTGTCGATGAGGGCGATACCCTCGAGCACGGGGCTGTCCAGCTTGGCGCCCTCCAGTCGGCTCAGGAAGGCGTTGCCGAAGTGGCTGAGCTGCGTGAAGGGAAGCGTCTTGTCCACCACCAGGGCGTGACCCGGGGTTGCACAGTCGGTGTCCCCGTGGAGCACGCAGACGAACTTGTCGGTCGTGGGCTCTGGCCCGATGCGGAGGCCCGGGTAGTCTCGCTGCAGGAGGTGGCGTATAAAGGTGCTCTTCCCTGTGGAGTACTGTCCCATGAGGAGCACCATGGATTGGCGGCGTGGACAAGAGGTAACGCAGAGGACGGGCGTTTTCTATGTGAGGAGGCGTGGGATCTTCAAAGAAATGTTGGCAGAGGGGGCTTCTTAGAAGCCCTCCTGGCTTCTTAGAAGCCCTCCCCTCCAAGTCCCACTAAGAGAGCACCTGCCTCCTCGGAAGCCCCCGCCCCCTCGCCTTCTCACGAGGCCGCCCCCTCTCCCGCCGGCCACCTCGTGCGCGCCGCCAGGCTGGGGGTGGCGGAGAAGTCCGCGTCGGTGAGCTCAGGGGAATAGAACTTGTGGAACTGGTGCTCCTGCTCGATGGGCAGCAGCTTGTCCCGGTACAGCTCCTGCAGGCCCTCTGTCACGGTCGCGAACGCCGAGCCGTCGCATCGGCTGTGCGCGTCCGAGCCCTTCAGCCACGAGAGCATATCGCCGCAGCCCCCGCCGCGGGCCGCTCAAGAGCGCCGTAAGCCCAGGCGCGCGCGCCCGACGAGGCCGGGCCTGGCGGCGTCACCGGGCCGCTCTGCATCCCCCTGGCTCGAGCATAGCTCGAGGACAAACGACTACGAAAAGGTGACGAGTGATCAGATGGGGGATGGGTGGTGATGATGCTGATGATCCTCCTGGCTATGGTCAGAGCACGAAACTGTCATCCGCCGACCAAGCCAGCAAGCGAGACCCCGGAGGCTTTCCAGGGTTACTGGGAAAATGATCAGGGCAGCCACATCGACAGCCGACCCACAACGGATGATGATGAGAAGGGTATTGCTGTTGACTACGTGTGCTGTTGAGTTGCTTGCCGGCATCATAGAGCAGCGCTCCAAACGGCCATTCGCCTTAATGATATCTGAGAGTCCGGTGAATTCATGCCACGAGCTCGCCTGATGATGGTGGTGGTGAGTGATGACGATGATGTCGGTGATGATTGCTGGTGATGGTGATGCTGCTGCTGCTGATGATGATGATGATGATGATGGTGATGGTGGTGATGATGATGGTGGTTATGATGATGAGGATAGTGTTAATGACGGTGATGATGATGATGATGATGATGATGATGATGATGATGATGATGATGATGATGATGATGATGATGATGATGGTGATGGTGATGGTGATGGTGATGATGATGGTGGTGGTGCATCGGGGAACATACTATAGTTCAGGTGTCCTGCTTGACCCTGGCAGCGCAGACACTACAACCTCGGAAAAGGTTGTCTCATAGCGCCGCCGCACACGCCTATGCCGACCCGCTGCGTGTTGGGAATGTCCACACCCATGCCGCCCGAAATGTTGCAGCTCAGTCGTGTTGCCTCTCATGACGCACACCGTCCCATCACTTTGGTCTGTACACGCCCACCGCGACGTGCGTTGGTTAACCATCTAACCACACAGTATCGGAGAAAACGTGACACATCCCACTGTGTGTTGCGACCGCATGGCGACCATGTCGGACAATACCCACAGCCGTACAAACATTCGCTGATGTTTCGCTCCGCGAGCCTCGTGAAGGCTTCTTGGAGCCAGCCAGACTAAGCAACTTGTGAGGACGTCTCAAGCGAAACACGGCCTATCCCAGGCAAAAGCATGGCGAAATCGGACAAATGTTGAGGACATCTCCGGCGAAACTGGGCCCAAGCCAAGCCAAACCAGGGTCGAACCGAGCAAATTCTGAAGACGTCTGAAGCGAAACCAGGCCCAAACCAGGGGCCAAGCGCGGCAGATGTTGAGGATGTTTCAGGCGGGGCGCGCGGCCAAACCAGGCCAAACCATGGGCCAAACCAGGCAGATTTTGAGGACGTCACAAGCAGAATCGCCCGAACCAGGCTGTATCCACTCCCCTTGATGAAATTCGAATTAGAAGAGTGGATCACCCCAGAGCCCCACCCCCCGCAGGCGGAAGCCCGTTTCGAATTTTATTGGGGGTGCGTTTGGACCGCGCGCCCGCTACGCGACGGGGTTGGACACAGAAGCCTTCATCTGTCTTTCGGGTGTTGGTGGGGCCTTGGTGGGGCGTTCGGAGACATAAATCCGAGCCTGTAGCTAGTGAGAGATGGAATAGCTCAGTATCGGCGCCAAGCGCTGGCGCTCATGACTGCACGCCCACGCCGCGGAGAGGCCTCGTAACTCGTGATGGTAGTGACGATGAGGACCACCACCGTCGTCATCACATCGCGGCATGGACTGCACCACTCCGCTGCACGGCATCACAACTCGTCTGCCCAGTTCGCGGCCAGACTGGCATCGCTCGGCAGTGCTGCCCTGCACTCCCAGAGCTCCCGCCCCGAGGGCTCCAGACAGAGACCACATGCAAAGCCCTTCGAATTCTGCAGCCCTCCAGACTTGGCCCCGCCGTGCCCCCCCGGGTGGGCCCCGGGTGGGGGATGGATGCCGTCTCCGTCGGGCATCCGTCCCCGCTGAATGCACTTTCGCAGGTCCGCGCCAGGGCCCTCCGAAGCGGGCGGGCGGGGCCCCTGGAACGCCGAACGGCCAGGCTCGCGGGCGGGCGGGGCCGCGCCGCGAGCCCCCAGCCGCACGCGCAGAAGGGTGCGGCCCCCAGGCCACGGCTAGCGCAGGGGGGGTAGGCGGGGGCCGTCTCTCCAGGCGGGCCAGCGGGCGTTGGCGGCGCGCAGAAGGGGGTATGGGGTAGGGGGGGAAGGCTTCGTAGAAGGAGACAGCTTCTGAGAAGGCGCCGGCCTTGCACCTGCACAGAAGGCCCGCGCCTTCCAAGAAGCAGGGGTGCTTCTAAGAAGCCTTCCCCCCCTCCCCCATACCACCCACTGCGCGTGGCCGAGGGCGGGCGGGCCCTCCGCCTCCTGTGGCGGGCGGGCCCCTCGTCAGGCCCGCGTCGCTGGAGATCTGGGGTCCCTGGGTCTCGGGCTCGCGCTCTCGCTCCTGCCGTGCCGCCGAGGAGCTGGTCCTGGACCATACGCCTCCTCGTCGCCCTCCCACTCCTCCTCCTCCTCCTCCTCCTCCTCGGCCGCACCTCCACGAACTGCCACCCACCCACTCGTCTTCCTCGTCATCTGCGGCCTTCTCCGCCTCGTCGTCATTTCCCCCCTCTTGCATGATTCGTCATCCACGTCTTCGCGAGCCTCGTCCTCCTCATCACTGTCCTTGTCCGTCCTCCTCCGCATCCTCCTGCTGCTGTTCCACATCCTGCCAAACCTCCCAGGCGCACGATTCTTTATCTCCGCACCCTCCTTCCGCTCCTCCATCTCCTCACTTCCTCCTCACCGTCCTCTTGTCGTTCTCATGCTCCCCCTCCTCGTCGTCATCCTCGTACTCCTCTTCCAGGATGTTGCATAAATCCTCCGTCTCATCGTCCTACTCGCTTTTGGCCAGAGTCCAAGAAGCGTCACTCGGTCTCCTCCTCGTCGTCTTCGTCAGCGTCGTCCTCCTCCTCCTCCTCCTCCAACTCCAACTCCAACTCATCCTCCTTGTCAGATGTCGTCCTCCCCCTCTTCCTCCTCCTCCTCCTCCTCCACCACCTCTTCCTCCTCCTCCTCCTCAACCTACACCTCCTCCTCGTCCACCTCCTCCTCCTCGTCCCCCACCTTCTCCCCTCCTCCTTGTCGCCCTCTTCATCCTCCACCTCCTCGTCCTCGTCCTCCTCCTCCTCCTCCACCTCCTCCTTCTCCTTCTCTTCCTAGTCTTTCCCTTCCTCTTCGCCCTCGTCGTCGTCGACGCCCTCAAACTCCTCCTCGCCTTCGTCCTCGTGCTCAGCCCCCGCTTCGGCGAGGCAACGCGCCGAGTGGGAGCAGTTGCCTCGCCAGCCCCGTCGGGTCGCGAGCGCGGAAGCGAAGCTATCTTTGAAGGCAGATCTGCCTCCCAAAAGGGCCTTTACACTGTTCGCCCTCTTGCAAGGGGGGCACTGGACATCCAGCTACACCGACCCCCGCCAAGCCGAGGTGAAATCACTGCGAGGGTGAGCATAGCCTAGGACTAAGGGTGAAGTCACCTTCGCGGGCTGAGCAAACTGCCCTCGCGAGGATTTTGTTCACCCGGCGTCGTTTTATCCACATTCTGGTTGATGTGTTCACCCTCGGGTTGTCCACCGTGGGCTCAGCCTCGGTGTGTACACCCAAGGCTTCCCTCCCTTCCCATGTTTCTGCTCTCTCTCGTTCTCAACGTTTGTTGTTCCTCTCCCCGTCCCGCTCAACAACTGCAACATCCACAACCGTCCCTCTTCCCCTTCTGGTCAGGCCGGGAGGGCTCCCAGGAAAAATCTTGCCAGAAGGGACGTCGATCAGGGAAAGGAGGACCTCCTTGGGCCCGAACCCCGGGCCGGCTTCTCCTCCTGGGCAATTCTTGACGGTTCCAGCAGAGCACGGCGAGGGTCCGGGGAGGCCGAAAACTCCCCAGAGAGCCTCCCGTCGTGATTCCTCTACGACGCGAGGACGTCCTGGCACGAGGGCGTCCACCAGTCACGGGCGCTGGGCCGGCCTGACCAGCACTCGGCACCGTGGGCGCGTCTGCACCCCGACCTGGTTGGGGGGGCTTCGCGGGAGGGCGTGCCCGCCAGTCCGAGGCCCAGGACCAGCCTGGCCAGGATCGGCACCTCCTCCACACCAGAGGCAGTGAGAGAAACGGGGCGGTGGTTGGCGGCGCGGGCCGGGGGGGTGGGGAAGGCTTCATAGAAGCAGACGTGCTTCTAAGAAGCCTTCTCCCGTCCCCCTGCCCCCATCTCCGCGTGGCGGAGGTGGGGGCTTTTGTGGAGGGTCCCAGCATGTTGCGAATCCTTTCCGAAGGCCGTGCAGGTCGATGATGATCTGATGCGCGCATCGCTTCCAGGCCAGACCGCAGGAGGGCGCGTCCACCATTTCCATGCTCTGGGTCGGGCCGGCCAGGGATGGGGGCCTGGCTGGGAGGGGTGGCGAGGAGGCCAAGCCGCGGTGGTGGCAAGAGCGTGGGACGGGGCCAGCGGGATCGCGACGCATTCCTGGCGTGGTCAGACTCCCTCCTCCCGCCCTGTCGCTTCGCCATTCTTCGTTCTGGCCCTTCTCGTCTCCCTCCGAATCTTCCTCATCCTCCAATTCTTTCCCCTCCTCGCCCTCTTCCACATGATCCTCCTCGCCCTCCCCTCTATCGCTCCTCCTCCTCCTCCTCCTCTTCGTGTTCCTCGTCCTCCTCGAATTCAATATCCTCCAAAACACCTACTGGTCTTCCTCGTCCTTCTCGTCCTCCTCTTCATCCTCATCGTGTTTCCTCGACTCTGCGCAACTTGAGGCGCTGCTGCACCAGCCGGACCATTTCAGTCAGGCTGTCGGACTGTGATCGAGCAATGGCTTCAAGAACAACTTCTGGACAGCCGTGGCTTCAGCAGTGAATGACGAGAAAGGCTGGTGCATGAAAATGCCTCCCATGCAGAGTGCGAACGAGCACCACCCGCCTTGCGACAGCATATGCGCCTCTACGCGCCACGCTGCCGCCGAACGTGACGCAGCACGAGTGCCGCCATCAACTTGCCCGGGATCAAACTCGCACGCTGCATCTTGCAATGCGCAGGTGGGGTGCACTCCTGGCGCCACGATTCTGGGCATCTATGGTCACTACATGGACGGCCCGCTGATTGTATCGCATGCGCCTCCAGACCACGGGGTTCTGATCGGGATCGGTGGGCTCCCGCCCCCGCTCCACGAGGCCGAACATTCGGTCGGCCACCCCAAAACACATTGGGAAAAGTCCGATCTGCTGCAAGAGCGACGTCCCGACTGACGATCCACAATCAGAAAGCATGGAAAACCTGTTTTCGGAATGCTGCTAGTCAGTCAGTGGATCGTCATCGCCGTGGCTGGGGTGTAGTTTCTCCAAATGCTAATGCTCCAGTCGCGGGCGCTTCGCAAATAGCGGCTCGCCAAACTCGATTGGCTCAGCCCGCTGTGGGTTGGCTGGGCGATACAACTTCCACTTCGCACGAGAAGGTCGTTCTCTAAATCCGCGTACACCCCATCCGCGTCTGCATGCTTCCCATGCTGGCCCCCTTTAGCTGTTCGCCCATATTCGCCCCAACTTTCGACGAAGACACCTTCTCATTCGCCCTGGTACCCCATTCCGTTGCGTACATCATGACAGTCCCATTGCCCTGTGCAGATCGAAAGCACTGCCTGGCCAATTTCCCGCCACATGCGGCTGCGAGCAAGTCCTGAATTGACTAAACGAATGCTTGGGAGATGGTCCGGTATGCATGAAGACTTTCCGCCACGCATGAGTGTTCCCTCTGCTCCTCCTCCTCCTCCTCCTCCTTCTGCTCCTCCTCCTCTTCCTCCACATCCTTCTCCTCCTCCTCCTCCTCCTCCTCTTCCTCCTCCTCCTCCCCCTTCTCCTCCTCCTCCTCCTCCTCCTCTTCATCCTCCTCCTCCTGCTCCCCCTTCCCCTTTCTCCTCCTCCTCCTCCTCCTCCTCCCTCCCTCTCATCTCTCCTCCTCCTCCGCCTCCTCCTCCTCCTCGACCGACTCGTGCTGTACTCCCTGCCTCAAAATTGCAAAGGACCTGGCTGGAATTTCCCGCAGTCGTGGTACCGCCAACCTCGGGAGGCAGCGAGCAGTACACGTTGCTACTTCTGGGCGGGAGGACGAGGCGAATAATGATAAAAGCAAGAACAGGAATCAATCGAAGTTGACATATATTGCTAGTGGAACAGGGAAGCGTGAACAAAACGTAAGTACGAAAAGTACGTAGAATCCACAGTGGCAACGCGAGTAGTATTCATAGCTGAAGTACGAGCAGGACGAAAAGAACGATTAATACCAGGAGTCGGAACAAAGTCAAGCTAACCAACTTGAGCAAAATCACTCGGTGCCGCCCACCCGCACAGTCACACCCCCCCTCCCGGGATGGATGCACACATTATCGTGTGGACACGGACGGAAAATAGGGATTGGCGTCTGCCCCCGCCTGGCGAATGGAAGGCGTTCGCTCGCGCGCGGCCAAGCGCCGCGCGACTAGATGAGGGAAAGCATGACAACGAGGCAACGCATGCTTTGAAAGAAACCAGCGCGGCGCGACACAAATATTAGCGCTCTCGAGCGCGGCCCAGACCCAAGAAGGAGAGGATGTGTCGTGCCCGAGAGGAAACTCAACTCCAAAGAAAAATCTGCTCTTCGCTGGGGTGCAGTCTGTTGCTCTCTCGGGCGCCGCCAGTTTCCCCCGACTCCAGGTCAAAGCGGCGCTACATACTACAACGCTCAGGAAACAAGGGCGCGGCGCTTGGGAGAGAGCGACATGCTATTGTTTCGCGCGCGATGAGCGTTGCGCCCCATGTGTGCTACGAATTGCGCAACGTCGACAACGAAACGTCAAACATGCAAGGACAAGCACCGGAACTGTCTGAGTTGTTCAAAGGAGAGAATGGAGCGCCCCACGTGTGGCCAATACTGGGGCGACCCGGCGGGTGGGATTACACATCAACAACGTGAACAACAATTGAAGCAATGCGGGTAGGGCCAAGGGACCGGCAGGAGGTTGCGCTTGCAGTGCTCAAAACCAGTCCCTGGCGCATGAATAAACCGACCAGCCCACGCGGGCAACACACCAAGCAATACAAAGCTGTGCAAAGCCAGGCAAAGCAATTTAAAGCAATACAAAGCAAGACAAAACAACGCACAACGATGCAAAGCATTGCAAAACAACGCAAAACAAAACAACGCGATGTAACGCAATGCGATTGCGATGCAAAGCTCTGCAACGCAGTGCAAATCAATGTAACGCAATGCCAAGACATGCAAAGCAATGCAAAGCAACGTAAAGGAATGCAACGCCATGCAACGCGATACAACGCAATGCAAAACAAAACGACGCAATGCGGTTGCAATGCAAAGCGATACAAAGAAATGCAAAGCACTGCACAGCAACATACAATGATGCAAAGCAACGCAAAGCAAAGCAATGCAACGCGATGCAATGCAATGCGACTGCACTGCAAAGCCCTGCAACGCGATGCAAAGCAATGCAAACGCAGCGCAAAGCAATGCAGCGCAATGCGATTGCAACGCAATGCGATTGCAACACAATGCGATTGCAATGCAACAGGGTGGGGATGCGATGGGGCGGCGGCGGCGGGCAGGAGCGGGGCCGCCGGGGCGGCAGACAGACGGGCCTGCCGCCGGGAAAAACGGTGCGGCGACGGACGGGAACGGGGCTGCCAGGGCGGCAGACGGGACCAGCTCCTAGAATCGGGACGACCGGCATGGGTACGGAAAGGATGGGTACAAAGACCGACAGCAGTTCCTGTTCATTTTGAACAGGATTCGCTGTCGGCGTCGCCGCGGATCGTGTCCATTTGAGACAGAAGTCTGCCTGCCAAACAGCGGGACAGCATTTGCTGTTGGGCATTGTGCCCATTGTTTCCGTGCCCATTTCGGGCGTCCAAATAGAAAGCAAGAAAACCCTTCAAACGCAAACACCGTGTGACCGTGTGGGGAATAAAAGACGTGCTCCCCAGAAGCGGAAGAACAAATTGCTGCGGCATGGGAACTGCAGCCGGAAACGGAAAAAGACAGCGACGGAAGCGGGAAAAGAACGGCGCCGAAACCGGTAACAGACGAAGGCGCCGGAACCAGGACAAACACGGCGCCAGAACCAGCAAAACAACTACCAAACGAAAACAAACAAAAAAACAGCTGCCCGTCGTTTTCAGGGCCCACTACGAGAGAAACTATACGGGTAAGGCCATGAGCATGGCGCATGAATCAATGGAGCAGGTCGACCAACGGGCAATAAGATGAAGGCGCTGTAGGTATGGGTGGTGTGAACCCCGATGGGGGGCTCCCGTTCGAGCGGGGGCCCCCATCCGACAGTACACACCCATCGCCCCCCCCCGCGGAAGTCCACCCCGAGAAATCAGCGGTCGCATTGGTATGTGTGCGAGCTGTGAGCTCGTGGAGACGGACCAGTGCTAGCGCAACTTGACGTTGAGATTGGCGTGCGCTCCCCCTTAGAGAAGAAAGGCGATCACGTGCGGTCCCGCTACCGACGAACTGTCGAGGGGGTGACATTGAGATTGGCGCGCGTTCCCCCTCACAAAAGAAAAGCGATCACGTGCGGTCCCGCTACCGACGATCTGTCGAGGGGGGAAACAGAAAACGGGCCACGCACGAGCGGGAGCGTAACTTCCGGAAAATCATCACTGCGCCGCGCTGCGGCGAGCGCGAGAGCTCGAGCGGGCAAATTTTCCCGATGAATGGCACAGGAAAAATCATATGCCCGCGCCGAGACAGCACTGCCACTCTCACGCGAACTCTGCGCGGCACCTTGGCGAGAACAACACTTCGCATGCTCGTGCTCGGCGCCGCTATCCGCCTTGGGAGAGGCTCTCCCTGGAGGCCTCGGAAAAACGCCGCACACCCAAAGAAGCGCCCGAAGCCTCTCGATCCTCGCCCCCGCGCTCCCTCCTCGGGCGAGGCCTCGCCTCAGGGAGAAAGGGCAGCCGCCCTTTCTCCCTGACCGCGCCGCGAGAAGAACGCCCGTTTTCGTGCCCACGCGGGCGACCCATCGCCTGACCGACCCCTTCCACGACGAGCCCCCTTCCATTCACGAGCCCCTCGCCCTCGAGGCTCCGCCCCCGGAGCGAGGCGAGGCGAGGCGAGGTCCTCGCGGGGGGGGCCTGGTCTGGCGGGGGCTCGGGCCCTCCTGGGGCGCGGCCATGCCGACCTCCTTCCGTGACGAGCCCCGTGGGAGGCTCTTCCGGCGGCCTGCCCGCGCCCTCGAGGGGCAACGACAGGGAGGGGACCGGCACAGGGGGGATGCATCGACATGGAATCGGCGACACGTCGCCGATAGATCGGCGATGGGCCCCCGATAGCGAATCCGCACCCCGCTGTGCAGGTTGGGGCCATCGGGCCCCTATCGGCGATCGATGGGCGATCGGGGGTCGATGCATCCCCCCCCCCCCCATGCCCACTCCCCCCCTATCGTTGCCCCCGAGTCCTGGAGCGAGGCGAGAAGGTCGCTACGGGAGGCGTCGGTCTGCCAGGGGGCCAGCTAGGCCGAGCCCCATGGACCCCCCCTGCGCCCCGAGCGCCCAGCGGGGCCTTCTAGAGGGCAGAAGATCCACGCCTATAGCAATCACCCCGACAAGCGAAGCCGTTTAAGGAACGCACCCGAAGGCGGAATCGAACCAGGCAGGGCTGCGTCGCAAACGCCGAGTACCGTTTAATAAACGCCACTTGTCGGGTCCGGGTGGCTTTTCCTCCCTTGACCTTGAACGCCGGCTTCAGGCTGCTGAGCCCCTCGAAGGTGGTGCCGGCGCGGGGGCCCTCGTCCGCCTGGTCGCCGCCGCGAGGGGAGGCGAGGGGCAGATCGGGCGAGGGGCACGAGGCTCGGGTCGCCTGCGGTGGTTGGGGGGGGGCCGGAGCAAGAGCTGGAGGAGCTGCAAGGGCGAGGGGGAGCAGGAGCCAGAGGTGGTGCAGCATGAGCCCGGGTGACAGGGGGAGACGCGGGGGCTGCAGCAGCAGGGGCGGAAACAGGGGAGGGCGACAGGAGAGGTGGAGCAGCATGAGCAGGATAGGGAGGACGAAGAGAAAGAGAAAGATGAGGGGGAGGAGGAGGAGGAGCAGGAGGAGGAGGAGACGGAGAAGAGAGGAACGATATGATATGAAGAGCGAGTAGGAGAGTAATTAGGAGGGGGATGGGGAGAAATCGCAGGAGGAAGATGCAGAAGAGGGGAAAAGGAGGAGGATAATGACGATGAGGAGACGGAGGAGAAGGAAGAATAATAGGACAGGGGAATCGTAGAACAGAGGAGTCATAGGGAGGGAGAACGTATCGTTCATTTGATTTGATCTGATCTGGGCTCGGGTAAGAACGCGCCCCTACTCCAATCGCTGGATTAGCCTGGAGCAAACTGGCAGCAGAGTCAGCATTCTGCGCCTTCAGCGGTGGCAGTCCCTGCGTTGCTGCTGAACTCGTGCAGTTGCCAACGCATATTGGTAAGGCCAGCTGTCAGCACAATACGTTGCAGTTGCCAACTGTCAGTTGCGCGACTCCAGAAACTTGAATCCACAAATGTTGACGCATCGCTTTTGCTTCCGCCGTCTGGCTCCTCGCGCGCCGCCACCTGCACTTCTTTTCACTTCGCTACCGGCGCGGCCCGTCCTAGCACGCTCGGCGCTCGACTCGTTTCGCGCGCCCGCTAACCCAAAAGTTGACTTCCGCCGCTTTCCGCTGACCGTCCGCCGGCGGAGCCGCCGCCGCTTCACTTCTGCTGGCTTCCGCGGGCCTTCCGCCGGCCTCCCCGAAGGGATCAGGCGCGCCGAGGGCGCGGCCGCCTCCTCGAGCGCGCCAGCTCGTTGCAGCTGACCGCTGCCTGCGGAGTCCCACCTCAGGACGCTGCCAGCCCGTGCTGCTCGTCCTGCCCTCTGGCTCGGGAGGAGGCTGGCGGCCTCCTCGTCATGCTCCTTGGGTGCTCTGGGTGCGAAGTGCCTGCGGCCAGGCGGCCCCACGGGACCGAGAACCAGAGCGGTGAGGGCCGAGCCAGGGGAGGAGGTAAAGAGAGAAGGCAGGAGAAAACAGGAAGTGAGGGAGGAGCAGGAGGGGAGGGGGATGGAGTAGTGACAGGGAGAAGGAAGGGGGGAAGGGGGAGGAGGGAAGAGGGGGATGGGAGGAGGGGCAAATGAGGAAGTGAGGAAGGAGGGGAGGCTCGAAACGGCTGTGGCCCAAGTGCGTTTCGGGGATCTACTGACCCCGGTCAATCCAAACCCGGATTAATCAGGCCTTGCAGGATCCTGCGAGATCCTGCAGGATCCTGCACCCAAGCCCAGGTCGATGCGCCCCTGGCCCTGCAAGATCCTGCAAGATCCGGCGCTCTGACTGACCCTCGCTTGCACGGACACCCGTCTCTGGAGCCCCGAGCGTTCAAGAGCACCGTGCTCCCGTCGGTGGGAGGCATGGGGGAGCCCCCCACGCAAGCATGTGCTATCAGCAGTCTGACGAGAGAGAGAGAGAGAGAGAGAGAGAGAGCAGGAGGAGGAGGATCGGCGCGGCATAGAGCGGTCCAGTCGAGCCAGGACCGCCCCGAGCGCGACCTCGCGCCCCACGCGAGGCCGCAGTGGCGACGAGGCCCCCCCGCCGCGTGAGTGCGACCGCCCCTAGCACCCCGCAAGCGGGGTCCTAGACGGCCGCACTCACCCCAGGCCCTCGGGCCTGGCGGCACCCACAGGCACGGGAGCCACGGAGGCCACACGGGGCCCCCCGCCGCCAGGGTCCGAGGCGAGTCCAGCAGCCCCGCCTGGCTTGGCCCCCTGGGGGCCTCCAGTGCGGGGCGCACGCGCAGCAGCGCCGTCGCTCAGCCCCGCCGCGTCACAGCCGCGGCGGTAGGCGGCCAGGAGCGAGGCGACCACGGAGCTCCGCCGCGCTGCCTCCGCCGCCTCCGCAGAGCCCGCGGCCGCTCCCTCTCCCTCCTCGCCCCCGCCAGCAGGGCGGTGAGCCCGCGGCAGGGGCCCCTGGTGGCGCCGCACTGGCGGCTCTTCCACCCCTCTTGGGCCGCTCTCTGCCGCCTCAGCAGAGTCCGCGCCCTCGTCCTCGCCCCCGCCCGCAGGGCGGTGAGCCCGCGGCGGAGGCCCCTGGTGGCGCCGCGCTGGCGGCCCTTCCACCCCTCTTGGGCCGCTGGCGTCCCTTCGGCCTTCCCCATCGGCCTCGCCCTCCCCAGGGGTCGCGGGGGTCGCCGCGGCCTCTGCAGCTGCTCCAGCGGCGCACCAGTCCTCACCTCCAGCGCCGTCGCCGCCTCTGACGCCCTCCGCCGCCTCAGAGCCCCAGTCCTCACCTCTCATAGGTGGCGCGCTCTGGCCACCGTCCTCGCCACGAGCGACGGGGCTCCCACTGATGGGCTCGGCGGGAGGAGGGGCGGGGCCAGCGCCCACCTCCTCTGCTGCTGCCGTCGGCTCGCCACCGCCAAGGCGCCGCAGCGTGACGGCAACCTCGCTCGCGATCCTGGGCGCGAGCCCAGCACGCAGGCGCGCGATAGCCGCGCTGCCCGCGGCCGAGGGCGGCGTCTTGCACTCCAGCCCGAAGCTGCAGGCGCGAGCGGCTCCAGTGAACCCGCACCTGGTGCATGCGACCAACGGCAACCTCCGCTCCAGCTCGCTGTCCAGCACAGGAGCGATGGCGACCAGGTCGTGCGCCGCGAGCCCCTTCTGCACCAGCAGCTCGTTGGCCTTCACCGCGTCCTCCAGGATGCTGCCAGGGCACTCGCCAGCGCGGTTGGTCCACCTGCAGACCTCACACCATCTGTCCTTGCCCTTCCCGCGCCAGCTGCAGCTCAGCCACGCGGAGGCTTCGCGGCGCCGCCGAACCGCCCTCTTCGGCCGCTCCTTGCGATGGGTGGTGTCGCTGCCATCCACCCATGTGCCGACCGCAGTGCACCACATGGCCACCAAGTCCACCTGCTGCCGAGCCAGGTGCAGCTTGCGGCGATCGGCGGCCGAGGCACGGCCCTGGGCAGCCGCCGCCTTCGCAGCTGCGTCGGCGTACGAGTTGCCCTTCCAGTCGCGGTAGCTGATGGCGCCGCCCACGACCTGCCTCCTGGCGCGGTGGGCAGGGACCCATCGGAGGTGCACTGCACGACCAAGCCCTCCTCTGTCGTCCACCAGGGCCCACGCCAGCCGCCACAGGTGCGCCCAGGAGTACGCGTAGGCGGCGGTGTTCGTGCGACCCGCCTTGTAGAAGCCGTCGCACACGTACTTCGAGTCGACCACCAGCGTGACCACGCCCATGCTGAACCGCAGCGCCATGATCACCGCCATGAGCTCGCCCCCGTTGATGTCGACGTAGGCGCCGCACAACTGCCCAGCAACGGAGGCCAGGTAGCAATCGGCATCGGGCTGCAAGGCGACCACGCTCCAGCCGACCGATGCGAACTCGTCGAAGTCGGCCTCGAACGCGGAGCCGTCGAGGAAGAACTCGCCACCAGGGAGGACCCCGCCGTCGTGGTCGCCGCGCCAGCACACCAGGTCACTGGCCCGTGGCTTGCGTAGCCCAGGCGGCGTCGGCCACAGGCACCGCTCCAACAGCAGGGTGACCTCGGGCAGGTGGCTCCGCTTCCTGAGGTCCGCGATCTCCTTCGGAAGCGTCAGCACCTCTCTCCAGCATTCGCAATCGCAGTGGCGATGCAGGAGCGCCCCTCTGCCCCCGCACCGCAGGCACTCAGCACACTCGGCAAGGCCCTTCTCCTCCTTGCGCGCCTGGGGCCACTGCCCATTGACCACCAGGGAGTGGAGGTACGCCCGCTCCTTGAGGGTGAGCCGCACCTTGGTGCCCGCGGCGATACCGTCCCTCCTGTCCGCCACGCTCGTGACACAGCCAGTGGAGGTGAGCCTGATGAGCGGCTCCAGCGTCCCGCCCTCCGCCAGGTGAGCGCACCCAGGCGCCAGGCTGGCTTGTCTCCACTGCCACTTCACGATGGCCCGCTGCACCAGCTTGATCACGATCCACGGGGAGATGTCAAACGGCGCAAGGAGGCCACCATCGTCCATCCTCCAGCAATTGGCCGTGACGACCTCCCAGTCAATCCTCCGCAGCGAGAGAAGCGTCGCCGCGCAAGGGCCCTGGACGTGGGCCCACGTGACCGTGCGCGCGTCCTGCAGGCATAAGACCACCATGTGGCGTGGCACCCAGCCCTCCCACACCGCGCGCAGTAGCATCTGCACGGGCTTGCACGTGGCGTCGACTATCGGGTCGAGCCCTGGCTGGAGCATCATCGTGAGGGTCCTTGACTTCTCCGCCGTGGTGTTCGACACCGCCACGAACGTCAGGGACCTGGCACGATCGAGCTCGGTCGTGGTGCAGCCTGTGATGGCCGTGCCGTACCCGATGCTGGGGTGCAGGGCGGTCTTCGCGAGCCTCCTCGTCGCGGGCTTCCTGCCTTTCGTCATCTTGACGATCTTCACCCTCCGAAGGCGCTGCTGGGCCTGCTGCATCCTTCCTGCTCGTACTTCACGTCCGAGCCGCTTGCCTCCACTGAAGTCGACGCCCAGGTTGCGCTCCTGCCTCGCCGCAGTGACGCCTGCCGTCCTCTGCAGCCTCCGCTCCAGCTCGTGCCTCGCCTCAGGGTAGTTGGAGAGGGCCCTGGACTTCTTGGTGGCGATGCGAAGGTCGGCCTTCCCCAGGAGCTCCTTGAGGCGCCGTGTCGCCGTCGCCACCTCATCCACCGTGCGCCGCAGGCCTCCGACACGCTTCAGGATGAGATCGTCCACCACCACCGACAGGGAGACGGTGGGCACCAGCGCTTGCAGCTTGTCGAGGGGCTCGTCGAGGATAAAAGTGTTCCGCAGTCTTTGGGTTTCTGGAGGCCTCTTGAGGCTTCCAGGGGCCAGTGGAGACCCCTGAATCCTCGAGAGAACTCAGCGACCCTGCGACACCATCTGCTCCAATCCAATCTGGACCCAGACTTAGCATGAAGGAAACGGGTCCTCAAGTAAACGGGTCCTGGACCCCAAAGGGTCTGGCTGCTTTCGAGACATATCGGGGGTGGACAGAACCCCCTTTAGTAAAACGTGGTTTAGTGAAAACGACTTCGGGCCCAAACCTGGCGGGCGCAAGCCTGGAAAATGACGGCCGCGGCGCCCTCTCGAGAACCGAAAACGGACAATTCACCAATCGACGTGTCAGGGTCCGTCTGGGTGCGGTTTTTGTCCACACCCGAACATAGCTCGGGTCTCCAGCGGCAGTCCGGGACGTTTCGGGCATCGCCAGAGCGCTCTCGGCGAGGCGCAGCTGCCGGAGATCATCGCGAAGCTGGAAGAGCTCTGGGAGCTTTCGAGAACGAAACGTCCAGAACCTCGAACTGGCAACCTCGAACAGACGCTTGTTGGAGCCAGGGGGCCGCCGCTGAGGCCCGGCGCGATGCGGCGGGCAGGGCGAGTCAGAGCGGCGGCCTTCACGGTGACCACAGTCTCCACGCCCGACTTGTCCTTCACCTGTCCCCGGGCAGACAGGCGCTCCTCCTTCTCCTCCTCCTCGCACGTCCCTCGTCCCTCATTCTACTCTCTTCTTCACCGTCCCCCTCACCCCTCCCCATCTCCATCCCACTCCCCCCCAGCTCCCCTTCCGAGACCCCTCTACCTCTGCATCCTCCTCCTCCTCCTCCTCGTCATCATCCTCCCCCGCCCCATCCCCTCTCACTGCCCCGCCCCCCCTGCCAGTCCCCGTTCCCATTTCCCTTCCCCCTCCTCGTTGGACTTCTTTGGATTCTTCTTCCTCGTTCGGTACCACCTCCTCCTCTTTAGAGTCTTCCTCCTCCTCCTCCTCCTCCTCCTCCTCCTCCTCCTCCTCCTCCTCCTCCTCCTCCTCCTCCCCCTCCCCTTCTGAGTTCTTCCCTCCTTCGTCGTCGTCCTCCTCCTCCTCCTCCTCCTCCTCCTCTTCCATCTGCATCACCTCTTTCCCCTTCACCTTATCCGCCTCCGACGCCGCTTCGCGAAGTCTTTCGAATCATAAGCAACGAATGTTTCTCAAACGCCGAAGCAGGTGCGCTGGGTCTGAGAACGGAGGAGAGGCGAGGTCGAAGACCAGGGGGACATGAGAGGACACAAGGAAAGACGGAGACAACATGAGGGCTGGACAAGCTAGGTGCGCTCGCGTCACATCTTACATCTGCCCCCCCTCCCATCCATTCCCGTTGCCCTGATGTGTTTTCTCTATCTGCGCACGCGTGTCATAGCAGACCTGGAACTCCAAAGAAGACACCATCGTGTTGCGCAGCGCGGTCGGAGAAGGGGAGCTGCGTACGCAGGAGGAGGAGGAGGAGGAGGAGGAGGAGGTGGCGGATGAGCAGGAGGAAAAGGAGGAGCATCAGGAAGGGGGAGAAGGACGAACAGCAGCAACAAGAGCTGGAGCAGAAGAAGCGGGAGGAGCAGGAGGGCCACGGGAAGGCGGAGGATGGGAGAGGAGAGGGGCGACAACGACGAGGAAGGACTCGGACCCAGAAGATGAGCCCGCGCTGCAGGGAGGGGGGCGACAGCGCCGAGGAGGGACCTGGGTCCAGGAAGTGCGCCCAGCGCTGGGGCGAGCGCGCCACTCCGCACGACGGGGGCAGCGCCGCGATCCGAGAACGAGGCCGCACGCTGCAGCGGGAGCACGACCATTGAAAGGGCCGAGGACGCTCCCAAGGCCACACACGGGCAGCCGCCGGCCACGGGCCGCGCTCCTGCGCCGCGGCCCCGCAGGGAGACTTCGGCTTCGGGCGGTGCCGAGAGGCCGCCCTCCTCCTCCTCCTCCTCCTCCTCCTCCTCCTCCTCCTCCTCCTCCTCCTCCTCCTATGGCCAACCGGACGGACACGCACACGGCGCCTACTCGTCCCACGGGACGGCCCTACGAGGGGCTCGGCGGCGCCTCGGCGCCAACAAGGAGATTCAAGTTCAAGATTGGCTGGGAAAAGAAGCGAGGAAGAGCTGGCCGGTCGATTGACTCGATCAGATGATCCTGTCTATGCCTACAGTATGTGTACAAAACCATGCGCGGAAGGGGGGCGGACACTCTCAGCACAGATTCGGGGGAGACTGCTACTGCTACTGCCACTGCTACTGCTCCCCTTGCGCGGACGCTTCGAAAAGATCGCGCCGTAGCGCGTCTTTGGCGCGCACCCAGTCTCTGCGCCCACTTACAGAATCACACACAGCACCCATGCTTCTCATGTTATCACAGTTCCCGCACTCTCACAAACTATCCTTCCTCAGCCCCGCCCACTTCTCGCACTGCCTTTTAAAACAGTGTCGAACGTGATGGTGTGATCTCTCATGCTCCAAAACACTGTGCAACGCTGCTGCCTTCCACTTGGACCTGTCGTGAGCTCCGTCCTTCCAGAAAGTGTCTGAATTTCGAAGATCATCATTTCATCGAAACCAGTGTGCGCGACGTGGCCGTTTGGGTACGTTGCCAAGCAGATCCGGCAGCACGCACCACTCGGGCGAGTGGGAACGGAGCGACAGAGCGAGCAAAGGGGGGCGAGATGTAGGGGGAGGGGGGGGGGGGAAAGAGGGGGATGACCGGGCAGAGTGGGCGAGGCAGGGCGAGAAAGGGAGCAGTGGAGAGGAGGGAAACGGGGGGAGGGGGGCCGAGGACAAGGACGGGGTGGAGGGGAGGGGGGGCGACGAGGGTAAGACACGAAGGCACAACGCGGAGGAGGAGGAGGAGGAGGCAGAAAAGGTGGACCAAGAAGGGGCAGAGAATAGCCATCAAGCTGGGGTATCGACGAGGACGACAGAAGGCTGCCGAAAGAAAGCCCGCTCCCGCGGGCCTTGGTTGTCACAGGGACGATCTCGCGGTCGAACAGGCCGGCTTTCTGGGCCGCGAGCGCCTCGCGAGCGGCGGGGCGTGCGGAGCGGGAGCGACCCGCGGCTGCCAGGGACTCAAGGCACCAGAAGGGAGGACGGGGCAGGAGGACAAAGCATGAGGAGGAGGAACAGGAGGAGGAGGAGGAACCATGAACAATGAATAATCGGACTAAGGCCCAACTTCCAAAACCGCGACTCGACAACACTCATGGTGGCTTACACTCAGGCTTAATGAATATGCATCCATCCAGCTTCTAGAAACTGTCATCGCAGAAGGAGCGCAGGAGCACAACCACGCAGGCCCAGCATCCCTTGGGCCCTCGCACGAGGGCGGGAGGCTGATCGGCACCTGCCCCAAGTAGGGTGCTCGGCATTTTGCCCGCAGCGGCAAGAGACTCGTCGCGGCGGGATGCGCCGCGGCGCCTTGCTCGGGCCGGGCGAAAGGGGGGGATAGCAAAGGGGGGGGGGGGAGAATCAGCTCACGTAGCTGATTTTCCCGGCGCCTCCCGGCGCCGGAGCCGGCTATGTATCGAGGAATGGGCCCCTCGGTGGGGCCGAAACCAGCTGCACGCAGCAGATTTCGCAACCCTCCCTTTCCCAATCCCCCCCCCTTCGCCCGGCCCGACTTGCGCACGCGCAGATGGACAGAGGACGAGAGGCGGCCGCGGGGGGGGGGGCGGAGGGCAGCTGCCCGCTCTCACGGCGAACGCGAGAGTGCCTCGACGGGCGGCAGGGCTTCGGAGCGTCGGGGCGCCCCCGGAGGCCGCGGCTCTCGCCCCGCCGCGGCGGAGGGACGGCGGCGCACGGGAAGGCAACGCCGAGCGCCGCCGAGGCCGACGGCCGGAGGCACGGCGCGCGGCAGGCCACCGGGGCGCGGCGCGGGAAGGGGCCCCCCAGGGCGACGCCAGGGAGGCGCCGCTGGGGCCGGCGACAAGGACGCCGCCACACTCGACGCCGCGGGCAGGGGCAGTGTGACCTATTGAACAGAGCACGGGTCGTTTTCAACATGTGCCTCTCGCCTCAGCGCCGCGCACATTCGTCTCAAAAGCTTGCAGCGATTACCAGCATGGAGGGGGGGTCGTTTTCAGAATGCCGCTCTCGCCTTAGCGCCGCGTGCGTCCGTTTTCAAATTTCGCAACAGTTTGAGGGATGGAAGGCGGGTCCTTTTTTCAAAGTGGCGTTTTCGCCTTAGCGTCGCGTCGCCTGCATTATTGTCTAACTTGCGAGGGTTCAGCGGAGGCCATTGTTCAAAATGGTGTTCTCGCCTTAGCGCGGGGCGCGTTCGCTTTGCTAACGCAACATTTGAAAATACATACGGCTTCTCTTTTTTTACGATTGGATTTGCACTCGAGACTTCGCTAGTTTGACAGACCTGGACTTCCACCGCAACATTTGAAAGGATGTGTGGCTACCCTTTTTCACGATTGGATTCTCACTCGATGCTTCGCTGATTTGACAGGCCTGGAACTTCGCCGCATGCAGCACTGCTCGGATCCAAGGCGACTCTTCTTCTCAATGGATCCCTCGCTTGAGACTCCCTCGATGTTCTGCTACTTGTGCAACCGTGACACGGCTATGGGGGGTGGGGGACGGTCCATCTTGTAAAGGGGGCGGGGTCTCGCTGGACCCCTCCCTCTTCGAAAGGGGGATCCCGCTGGACGTCTCCCTCGCCTCGGAGGGCGCAATGCAGCATCGCTGATGTATCTGGGGTTTACTCTGCTCCTTCTGCTCCTTCTCCTCCTCCTCCTCCTCCTACTCCTCCTCAAGTCCTTTCCTTATAGATAACTCCTCCCTGTCGTACCCCGAGGCCGGTCGAAAGGGCGGGCCTGGCGTTTCGCCTGAGACTTCATCACGACACATATGACCCTGATGCTTAAAAATGGGCAACAGCTTCAAACATGCAGGGCGGGTGGTATTCAAAATGTGGCTCTCGCATTTGCGCCGCGCACATCCGCTTTAGAAATTTGCAAGAGCTTCACGGATTGAGGGCAGGTGGTTATCAAAATGTGGCTCTCGCCTCTGCGCCGCGCAGATTCGTTTTAATCATTGCAAGAGCTTCACAGATTGAGGGCGGGCCGTTTTCAAATTGTTGCTCTCGCCTTCGCGCCGCGCACATTCATTTTAGACATTTGCAAGAAATTCACGGGTCAAAGGCCGTTCGTTTTCAAGATGTGGCTCTCGCCTTAGCGCCGCGATTCGGTTTTCAAAGTTGCAAAATATTCACAGATTGAGGGCGGGTGGTTTTCAAAATGTAGTTCTCGCCTCAGCGCCTCGCACAATCGTTTTAACCATTACAAGAGCTTCACGGATTGAGGGCGGGTGGTTTTCAAAATGTGGCTCTCGCCCTTGTGCCGCGCGCATTCGCTTTACACATTGCAAGAGTCTTACGGATTGAGGGCGGGTGCTTTCAAACATGTGACTCTTGCTGTAGCGACGCGCAAACTCGTTCTAAACACTTGCAATAGTTTCATTGGTCATCACAATTAACGTACCAGAAATGGTGCTTGGGAACGATTCAAGACAGTCAGGGCGGAACAATTACGTTGATTCGCGGCGTTGAAGTCCCGTGAATGGTGCTCTGGCACGATTCAGGATCGCCAAAACGTAACAGCCAGGTTAGCTCGTGACGTTCACCTCCGGCGTATGGTGTTTTGGCACGCGTCAAGATGTTCACACGGTTGTCCGCTAACGGGGCAATTCTCTCAGTGGAAATGACCCCGTGTAGGGGCCCATGAAGAGGGATCTTGGAGGGAGGGTGTATGCATTTCAACATCGTTGATGAATCTTGGGTTTACAGTGGTCCTCCTCCTCCTCCTCCTCCTCCTCCTGGGCCCTCAAGGGCCTCCCTCGCCGCCACGGCCAGACGCGGCCTGGAGAACGGACACGGGATGAGGCCCCAGGAGCGGGTCTTGGGGGGGGCCGGCGACCACGGGGAGAATGGGCCTTGTTGTGCGACTCCACCGCCAGCATGTTCTGCTTGTCCTTGGAGATGTTCCACTTCTCCGCCACGTTCTCCGAGGTGATGCCCATCGGCACCTCCGGGAGTCGACGGAGGAGGGGGAGGAGGAGGAGGAGGAGGAGGAGGAGGAGGAGGAGGAGGAGGAGGAGGAGAGAGGAGGAGGAGGAGGAGGCGGGTTTGAGGAGGAGGAGGAGGAGAAGAAGCGGAGGAGGAGGAGGAGGAGGAGGAGGAAGGCCGAGGACGCCGGCGAGCTGGGCCAGGAGGAGGAGGAGGAGGAACAGGAGGGGGAGGAGCAGGAGGAGGAGAAGGAGGAGGTGGAGGTGGAAGAGAAGGCCGAAGAGAACGATGAGGCGGGCGAGGAGGAGAGCGAGGAGGACGAGAAACGAGGAAGAGGGGGATCATCAGCAGCAGGCTGGGAAGGCACGGCCAGTCAGCATCGTATCGGGAAATCCGATCGGACCGACACGCGCGTCGAATCTGGCTGCATCGCCACGGAGGCGGAATCGAATCGAGTCGGCCGCGCAGGGATGAACATCAGCGCCATGCCAGCGTCGGGCCGTGTCGGATCGAAATGAACACAGAGAAGACGGAGGAGGAAAAAGCGAAGAGACGGTCAAAGAAGCGGCGCCGATGTTCGGGGGCAGCCGCTGCACGGGTCCACCGCCGAACAACGCCCTCGGCGCGGAGGAGACACCCGCGCGGAGCACTCGTGCAGGCTCTGGGATTGCCCAGGTCAGCAGGGGCGAAGAAAAACAAGCAAAAGGGCCTCGGGCCCAGGTCGCGGGCCTCGGAGGACGCCGGCGGCCTTCCTGCTGGGGCTGGGGCGGGTGGGGTCCGAGGATCACCAGAGACAAAAGCACCACTACCACCAGCTAGGGGGTGGCTGTCCCACCCTCTCGAGCTGGCAGCACCTCGTTCTGGGCATGCCTCCAGAAAGTTCCCGGAAGGAGGTGCCACCAGCTCGAGGTGAGGGAGCGGCCAATATAACCCCCGTTATACCGAGTTTCGTGTACGCTGTGTTGTGTCTTAGCACAACTCAGCAGTTTCAGCATAGCAGGTGTGTTGCAAGCAGTTGTTTCACATATGTCTGTACCATTGCCATTTGATGTTCAGGGGGTCCTGAGTTAGTTAAAAGGTTGCGTATCTTACGAGTTGATACGATTATCAAGATAATCAATTCTATCGAACACATCCCGAGGAGACTTCGTGTGCTACCATCGGTTGATATTGGTAGCGGAGCCGGAGATCCACTCTCTCCGGTTCCTCCGTCGCCGCCATACCAAACGGCGCGCCGCGCGCGCCGCCCCCGGCCAAACCACCGCCTGGCGGCCAGCCGGCAGCCTCGCCCGCCGCCCCCGCCGACACCGGCGCAGAGGGCAGCCACGTCCCGCCGAGCAGCGTGGATGGTGACGAGGCCAACTATGCAGATTGGAACGGCTGGCAAGGCTGGTGGAATCGTCAGGAGAGTTCCACCTGGGACTGAGGAGGACGAGGCCTTGATGCAGGCCTGTCGAAGACGGCGCCGAGCTACGAGCTGCCGAGGACCGACGGCTAGCGAGTATTTCGACGTAAGCTGGAGATCTTCGAGCGTTGCTGCAAGAAGCGCGGCACCACCGCTGTCAGTGAGGGAGCGTTTCTGGTCATGAACTCACTGCAAGTCGAGGCCGCGGAGGCTACGGAGGATATCGACCTGGACTTGCTAGAGACGGAAGAGCCTTTCTATTCATTGTTCCAGGTGCTGGACGAGTGCTACAAGTATGATAACCAGACCGAGCTGCCAGCCCGTGCAGATCTCTTCTTTGGCAAGTCTGATCGCCAGGAGAAGGAGACGATGAAGCTGTACTGCCTACGCCACAAGCGAGAGCTCAGGAAGCTCAAGGAGGTTGGGATGGAGATCCCAGATATGCTGGTGGGCTGGCACCTCCTCACACAAGCGGCTGTACACCCATCGGGCGCCGCCCAGGTTCGCAGTCAATGCGTAGACGGCCTCAGGTGGACTAAGGTGAAGAAAGCCCTGCTCGATACTTATGGAGCCGAACCGATGCCCGACAAGCGAGATGTGAGGCGAGTAGAGAAGATGCTAGTCGGTCAGAGCTTGAAGGACGATGTGAGCTACACGAATAATTACGAGTGGGAGCGAGGCCTGAGCTACGAAGACTCGTGCCTGGAGGAGGAAGAGTACGAGGACGACGAGGAGTACGACTACGCGGAGAACGAGGAGGAGGCCGACGTCGCGGAAGAGTTACCACAGGAGATCGAGGAGGCCCAAGTGGCGTGCGACGAGGCCTACCTCAGCTTCGTGGATGCGAAGAAGCGTGTGGCGGAGATCGCCAAGTCGAGAGGATTCTACCCAATCGTCGCGCTCGCCCCAGAGAACAACTACCAGCGCGACGGCCGCGCAGGACCCACGAAAGCGACGAGGCCCGGCACGGGCAAAGGCAAAGGACGTGGCAAAGGCAAAGGACGCGGCAAAGGATTCGGACCACCACGACGAGAAGCGTTCAGGCCTCAGGAGGGAGCGGTTGGCAAGGGTGCGCCATCATCAGCAGGGTCGACAGGATCGGGTGCGACCCAGCAGCACGGCCCGAGGTTTAAGCGCTTCAGGCACGGAGGCTTCACTAAGCCCGACGATGAGGCACGCATGGTGGAGGATGTTGAGACGCTGGAGTATGCTAACTCGACCGAGGAAGTCTTCCTGCTCACCATCGGCAAGGGTATCAGCGATGGAGGCGCTACACTGCCCGTAATGGGCGAAAAAGTGTGGGCGCAGTGGGAGGAGCTACTACGTGCGAGGCAATTGCTACATGAGGTCGAGTACAGCAAGAGTGATCGACGCTTCCGATTCGGAGATGGCAAGACGCTGGAGGCCAAGCAAGCGGTGACACTGACGGTGTGGCCGTTTGGCGTCAAGAAGTGGATCACGATCCATCTCGTCGACGGCTGGACGCCGCTGCTCATCTCGCGGGCCTGTATGGAGGAGTGGGGTTTGATCCAGGACTACCGAGCTGGAACGTTCGTGATGAAGGATCTCCCCGACAAGGGCTGGATGAAGTCCGTGCATGACGAGAAGGGCCATTTCATCATCGACCTGTTGGGTGGAGCTGGGCGCGACGCCGAGGATGCCATGAACGAGGGGGCCCCCTCCGACGGCGATGGCAGCAGCAGCGACTCGACGGACAAGGACACCGAAGAAGAGTCGGTCAGAGGCGATGATGGTGACGACGGAGACACGTCGACACCTGACCCCGACGCCTTTTACCTTGAGACGCGGATGGAGTACTACGAGATCGGCAGCGACGACGAGACCCTGGCCGCGGAGGAGGTCATGGGCCCGGAGCGCCACCTGATGGATGCGGACACCTACTCGGGCCTGGTCTTGGCGCTGGGGCAGGCGTCCGACATGAAGGACACGCTGTGCGGACCACGCAAGAGGCTGGTCTGGGAGGTCTTCGTGGATCAAGGGGCTTTGTCGCAGGAGCTGCTCGAGTTCCCGCAAATCGAGGTGATCCAGTTCAGAATCGAGGACGGTTGGGACTTCTCCAAGCCTGCCGTGATCCGCGACTTCCTGAACAAGATCGACAACGACAAGCCCGACGATATCTTCTTCGCTCCCCCGTGCAAGCACTGGTGCTCCCGGCAGCACGTGAACGAGAAGATCTGTGAGGAGCGCGCCAAGGAGATCAATGATGCCAGGGAGCGAGAAGAGCGGACGTTTCTGAAGATGATTATGACGGCATTTGTGAAGCAGCATAACGGAAACCGACGCGCGTATGTAGAAGGCCCGTGGCAGGGGCTACACTGGCGGACGAAGACATGGAAGAAGTTGCCAGGATATCACTGCTGGCTCGATCAGTGCAGGCTAGGAGCGAAGTGCACGATCCAGAGCAAAAGTATGCCATACCAGAAGCCCACGAGACTGCAGTCGACCAACAAAATCTTCATTCACCACATGACCCTGGCATGCGCGTGCACGGACGACCGCATGATCCTGCGGGGCAAGCTTGCCCATCAGGCTCAGAACTACCCGAGACCGATGGCGAGGAGAATGGCCTACCTGATAGCCTACCAGGGCATGGCCGACGACATCAGCGACATCAACACGGCCGAGGAGGTCTACAAGGACATCGCCGCCATCGAGTACACCGACATGATGCAGGAGCTGATGAAGCGATTCAACGTGTCGACGATCCGAGCAGTCGAGCGTGCACATGTCAGCTTGGGCCACCCTTCAAACGCAGCGCTGGCGGTCGCCATGCAGCATGCGGGTGTCCCAGCAGAGTGGATCCAGTGCGCCAGGCTCTCCCAGTGCGAGATCTGCCTGGGCAGGCAGAGGCCCCGAGCGGTGCGCGTCGCAGTGCTGCCGAGGGCCAAGAGGTTCAACGAGGTGATCTGCACCGACGTCTACTACATCACGTGGAAGAAGATGAAGGAGAGGAAGATCCTGGCCATTATGGGCGAGTTTACGCGCTACGAGTTTGACTATCCGATCTCGAAGGAGACGTTTCTGAAGGAGTCGAAGCTATAGGAGAAGCGGTGGATCAGCTGGGCCGGCAAGCCTAAGACGATTCGCATGACATGGGAGGCTCGCACACGGCCAAGCGCACGCACGACTGGATGAACAAGCATGGCATCAAGCTCGACCTGATCCCGAAGGGTACGCACCACAGGCTACACGTAGGCCTAGTGGAGCGGAACCACGCGGTCAGCTGGGAGCAGCTCAGCAAATGCCATCTGCAGTTCCCTGACGACTCGCTCAAGACCGCCCTCAGGATGACCGCCCAGCCCGGACACCCTGAGGAACGTGCACGGGCTCTCGCTGGTCTTGGGGACGCAGCCCAAGATCCCTGGCGCCCGCTGCGAAGACCGGACCTTCGAATGAACAAGCATGGCATCAAGCTCGACCTGATCCCGAAGGGTACGCACCACAGGCTACACGTAGGCCTAGTGGAAAGCCAGCTCAGCAAATACCATCTAAACTCCTCAAGACCTCAGGATGACCGCCAGCCAGCGGAACACCCTGAGGAACGTGCACGGGCTCTCGACAGCGGCGCTGGTCTTGGGGACGCAGCCCAAGATCCCTGGCGCCCGCTGCGACGAGGACTTCGGCCTGTCGGACCTTCAAAACCCTAAACCCTAAACCCTAAACCCTAAACCCTAAACCCTAAACCCTAAACCCTAGGGTTTAGGGTTTAGGGTTTAGGGTTTAGGGTGTCCCAGCAGAGTGGATCCAGTGCGCCAGGCTCTCCCAGTGCGAGATCTGCCTGGGCAGGCAGAGGCCCCGAGCGGTGCGCGTCGCAGTGCTGCCGAGGGCCAAGAGGTTCAACGAGGTGATCTGCACCGACGTCTACTACATCACGTGGAAGAAGATGAAGGAGAGGAAGATCCTGGCCATTATGGGCGAGTTTACGCGCTACGAGTTTGACTATCCGATCTCGAAGGAGACGTTTCTGAAGGAGTCGATAGGAGAAGCGGTGGATCAGCTGGGCCGGCAAGCCTAAGACGATTCGCATGACATGGGAGGCTCGCACACGGCCAAGCGCACGCACGACTGGATGAACAAGCATGGCATCAAGCTCGACCTGATCCCGAAGGGTACGCACCACAGGCTACACGTAGGCCTAGTGGAGCGGAACCACGCGGTCAGCTGGGAGCAGCTCAGCAAATACCATCTGCAGTTCCCTGACGACTCGCTCAAGACCGCCCTCAGGATGACCGCCAGCCAGCGGAACACCCTGAGGAACGTGCACGGGCTCTCGACAGCGGCGCTGGTCTTGGGGACGCAGCCCAAGATCCCTGGCGCCCGCTGCGACGAGGACTTCGGCCTGTCGGACCTTCAAAACCCTAAACCCTAAACCCTAAACCCTAAACCCTAAACCCTAAACCCTAAACCCTGGGTTTAGGGTTTAGGGTTTAGGGTTTAGGGTGTCCCAGCAGAGTGGATCCAGTGCGCCAGGCTCCCCCAGTGCGAGATCTGCCTGGGCAGGCAGAGGCCCCGAGCGGTGCGCGTCGCAGTGCTGCCGAGGGCCAAGAGGTTCAACGAGGTGATCTGCACCGACGTCTACTACATCACGTGGAAGAAGATGAAGGAGAGGAAGATCCTGGCCATTATGGGCGAGTTTACGCGCTACGAGTTTGACTATCCGATCTCGAAGGAGACGTTTCTGAAGGAGTCGAAGCTATGGGAGAAGCGGTGGATCAGCTGGGCCGGCAAGCCTAAGACGATTCGCATGACATGGGAGGCTCGCACACGGCCAAGCGCACGCACGACTGGATGAACAAGCATGGCATCAAGCTCGACCTGATCCCGAAGGGTACGCACCACAGGCTACACGTAGGCCTAGTGGAGCGGAACCACGCGGTCAGCTGGGAGCAGCTCAGCAAATACCATCTGCAGTTCCCTGACGACTCGCTCAAGACCGCCCTCAGGATGACCGCCAGCCAGCGGAACACCCTGAGGAACGTGCACGGGCTCTCGACAGCGGCGCTGGTCTTGGGGACGCAGCCCAAGATCCCTGGCGCCCGCTGCGACGAGGACTTCGGCCTGTCGGACCTTCAAAACCCTAAACCCTAAACCCTAAACCCTAAACCCTAAACCCTAAACCCTGGGTTTAGGGTTTAGGGTTTAGGGTTTAGGGTGTCCCAGCAGAGTGGATCCAGTGCGCCAGGCTCTCCCAGTGCGAGATCTGCCTGGGCAGGAGGCAGAGGCCCCGAGCGTGCCTTTTCGCAGTGCTGCCAAGGGCCAAGAGTTCAACGAGGTGATTCTGCACCGACGCTACTACATCACGTGGAAGAAGATGAAGAAAGAATGAACGATCCTGGCCATTATGGGCGAGTTTACGCGCTACGAGTTTGACTATCCGAATCTTCGAAGGAGACGTTTTTCTGAGAGTCGAAGCTATGAGAAGCGGTGAACAGCTTGCCGGCAAGCTAAGACGATTTCGCATGACATGGGAGTGCTCGCACAACGGCCAAGCGCACGCACGACCCAAAAAAAGGCATGGCAATCAGCACGGACTGGCAGGGGATCCCGCAGGTAACGCACCCCAGGCTACACGTAGGCAAGTGGAGGCGGAAACCACTGCGGTCAAGCTGGGAGCAGCTCAGCAAATACCATCTGCAGTTCCCTGACGACTCGCTCAAGACCGCCCTCAGGATGACCGCCAGCCAGCGGAACACCCTGAGGAACGTGCACGGGCTCTCGACAGCGGCGCTGGTCTTGGGGACGCAGCCCAAGATCCCCGGCGCCCGCTGCGACGAGGACTTCGGCCTGTCGGGCCTTCAAAACCCTAAACCCTAAACCCTAAACCCTAAACCCTAAACCCTAAACCCTGGGTTTAGGGTTTAGGGTTTAGGGTTTAGGGTGTCCCAGCAGAGTGGATCCAGTGCGCCAGGCTCTCCCAGTGCGAGATCTGCCTGGGCAGGCAGAGGCCCCGAGCGGTGCGCGTCGCAGTGCTGCCGAGGGCCAAGAGGTTCAACGAGGTGATCTGCACCGACGTCTACTACATCACGTGGAAGAAGATGAAGGAGAGGAAGATCCTGGCCATTATGGGCGAGTTTACGCGCTACGAGTTTGACTATCCGATCTCGAAGGAGACGTTTCTGAAGGAGTCGAAGCTATGGGAGAAGCGGTGGATCAGCTGGGCCGGCAAGCCTAAGACGATTCGCATGACATGGGGGGCTCGCACACGGCCAAGCGCACGCGCGACTGGATGAACAAGCATGGCATCAAGCTCGACCTGATCCCGAAGGGTACGCACCACAGGCTACACGTAGGCCTAGTGGAGCGGAACCACGCGGTCAGCTGGGAGCAGCTCAGCAAATACCATCTGCAGTTCCCTGACGACTCGCTCAAGACCGCCCTCAGGATGACCGCCAGCCAGCGGAACACCCTGAGGAACGTGCACGGGCTCTCGACAGCGGCGCTGGTCTTGGGGACGCAGCCCAAGATCCCTGGCGCCCGCTGCGACGAGGACTTCGGCCTGTCGGACCTTCAAAACCCTAAACCCTAAACCCTAAACCCTAAACCCTAAACCCTAAACCCTAAACCCTAAACCCTAACCCCTGGGTTTAGGGTTTAGGGTTTAGGGTTTAGGGTTTAGGGTGTCCCAGCGGAGTGGATCCAGTGCGCCAGGCTCTCCCAGTGCGAGATCTGCCTGGGCAGGCAGAGGCCCCGAGCGGTGCGCGTCGCAGTGCTGCCGAGGGCCAAGAGGTTCAACGAGGTGATCTGCACCGACGTCTACTACATCACGTGGAAGAAGATGAAGGAGAGGAAGATCCTGGCCATTATGGGCGAGTTTACGCGCTACGAGTTTGACTATCCGATCTCGAAGGAGACGTTTCTGAAGGAGTCGAAGCTATGGGAGAAGCGGTGGATCAGCTGGGCCGGCAAGCCTAAGACGATTCGCATGACATGGGAGGCTCGCACACGGCCAAGCGCACGCACGACTGGATGAACAAGCATGGCATCAAGCTCGACCTGATCCCGAAGGGTACGCACCACAGGCTACACGTAGGCCTAGTGGAGCGGAACCACGCGGTCAGCTGGGAGCAGATCAGCAAATACCATCTGCAGTTCCCTGACGACTCGCTCAAGACCGCCCTCAGGATGACCGCCAGCCAGCGGAACACCCTGAGGAACGTGCACGGGCTCTCGACAGCGGCGCTGGTCTTGGGGACGCAGCCCAAGATCCCTGGCGCCCGCTGCGACGAGAACTTCGGCCTGTCGGACCAGGCCGCGTTGGTCGACCCCAAGAGCGAGGTGCACGAGATGATGATCAGGAGCACGGCTGCCGCGACTGCCTTCGTCGAGGCCAACTGTTCGCGCGCCGTGCGAGCGGCGCTGCTGGCGCGCAGTAGGCCACCGAGGAGGAACTACGAGATCGGCGAGTGGGTCTACTTCTGGCGACCCGAGCAGATGCAGGGGCTGGAGAAGTGCCATTGGCACGGCCCAGCTCTGGTGGTAGGTAGCCGTGGCGGCGAAGGTCAACGAGGACAACGTGATGCATACATCGGTGGTGTGGGTGACTCACGGGCGCGCGATCTACCGCTGCACCGCGGAGCAGCTTCGCCCCGAGCTGCCGGGCGAGGCCCGCGAACGAGAAGGGCGCAGCAAAGATCCCGACAGCCCGCTCAGCACGATCGAGAAGCTCAGGCGCGAGCTCAGACGGACGAAGGAAACCTTCAAGTACTGGGACCTCTCAGAAGGGGCGCTTGCCCCAGTACGACGACCACATGGACGACATGGGCGAGCAGCAGCAGCCGCGCGCCCAGGCGCCCATGGAGACGGACGAGACCGACGGCCCGACAGGAGCAGCTGCCGCGGCGGCTCCTGGAGATCCTCAGCCGACGACGGCCGGCGAGGACGAGGATGACGGACCAGCTGCGGCCAGCGCCGGCGCGTCTGGCAGCGCTGCGCAGGAGCACAGCAGGTTCCACATCGAGGCGATGGCCAAGAGGAGTGTCGAGGAGGCCGAGAAGCTGGACGGCATCCCGCTGGCCAAGCGCGCCCGCCTGTCGCGGGCGAAGCTCGCCCCACAGAGCGAGGAGGCTGCGCTCGCCGACGAGGTGGACGACGAGATGCTGCTGTTGGAGGAGTCCACCGAGACGGTCTACATGCTGGCCTTCAAGAGGAAAGCCCCCACCATCGTGGAGGGTAGGCAGACGCCCGAGGAGAAGGACCAGTTCTACGCGGCGAAGCTGGAGGCCCTCGAGGTTTTCAATCGCAACGACGGCTGGGAGCCCATCAACGAGGCGGATGTGGATCCCGGAGCCTGCTGCCCCCTACGCTTCCTGCTCAAGTGGACGATGAAGGATGGGCAGAAGGTGGCCAACGCGCGCGTACTCTACCAACGGTTCAAGCACCGCGACGTCGCCGAGGGCCAGCTCGACAAGGAGGCGCCGACACTCAGCAGGCTCGGCCGACACACGGTCATGCTCTGGGCGTCTCTAAGGAAGTGGAGGTTGTTCAGCGCGGACGTCAAGTTCGTATTTCTGCAGGCTGAGGGCGTGAGCGTACGCGGATTCAAGCTGTACGCAAGCCCGACGAAGGAGATGAGGGAGATGATCTCTCACCAAATCGGCCTGCAACCTGGACAGCTGCTCAAGATGATCAAGGCGTGTTTCGGTGACCCGCGGTCGCCCAAGCACTATCGTTCCGACGCAGTCGCAAAAGGGATCGGGCTCAAGAACCACAAGCTCGAGGATTGCCTGTTGTTGTCGTTGCGCCCAGCGAGGGTCGACGACGACCCGTTCGACGCGCGCAGCTTCGAGGGCCAGACCTACGTGGTGGATGGCCTCATCGGCAAGCACGTGGACGACTTCATCGGGTGCGGCGAGGGCGAGACGAACGAACAGGACCTCTACGCGAAGCTTGACGATACCGAGTGCTTCCACTCGCGGCATGGGATGCTCAACGAGAAAATCAAGTTCGGGAAGTGGGATTTCGGACCGAGTCTGGTTTTCACTGGAAACGAAGTGGAGCAGTCTCTGAGTACCTACGGCGTGACCCTCAAGTTCGAGAAGTACCTGCACGCGGTGAAGCCCATCACCGTCGAGAAGCATCGGATAGTCGACCCCACGAGTGCGCTGTCGCCGAAGGAGCTGACGAACTGCAGGACCCTGAATGCCCAAGGAGTGATCATAGCATCGGCTACTGTGTCCTTCCGAGCTTCGGCGACAGGTCGAGCCACCGTGCAGGACCTCTTGGATGCAAACAAGGACTTGCGCTTTCTGAAGGCCAACGCTGACGTAGGGCTGTACTTCGGGTGTGACAAGGCATGGAGTCAAGTACGAGTTGGCAACTACACCGACGCAAGCTGGGCGAGCCGACGTGACGGAAGTTCGCAAGGAGGCTATGCAATCTTCATTGGCCCCGCGGACGAGCTCGACGCCAGCACCCCCGCACCCTTCGTGGCCATGGAGTAGGCCTCGAAGAAGGTGCAGCGTCTTTGCAGGAGCTCGCTGTCAGCGGAGGCACAGGCAGCAGCCTTGGGTGCGGACTCGCTGATGTGGGTGAAGGTCTACCTGGCGTAGAGCCTGCGACCCGACCTGGAGCTCGAAGGAGCGATGGTGTACCTGGGAGAGTCGCCGTTCAACACTGACGCGAACTGTCTCTACGACGCGTCGCGCTAGGCGACGGCAGGCCTGGGCATCGCGGAGAAGAGGACGGCCATCGAGGTTAAGATCGTGAACGAGCAGATGGCAGAGATCGGCGCTACCTGGGAGTGGGTGAATACGCAGCAGCAGATGGCGGACGGACTTACCAAGCTCTCGGCCCGCCAGATGATGGCCGACGTGCTACGCCGTGGAGCGCATGCGCTACGATATGATCCTGATTCCGTGGCCGGCAAGAAGTTGCCCAAGAGAGCCATGGAACAACGCGACAAGGAGCTGGATGACGCCGGCGAGGCACTACACGACACCCTCGAGACACCGCCTGTGACGATGACGAAGGCGAAGGCGAAAGCCAAGACCAAGCGCCATTTTGGCGCGAGTGGAGCGAAGCTGGCTGCAGCATTGGCAGCAAGCACAGGCAGCAGTGCGGCAGGTCAGGTGATACAGTACACGCCCAGCGGCGTTAAGCTGTTCAGTCCACCGACGACGGCCGACTGGAACGACATGATTCTGAAGATGATGTTTTCGATTTCGTTTTTCCGCCGCAAATGACGCACCCTTCGACAGACCTCCTGCAGCACACACACCAGCTGGCACTGCGAAATAACTCGCATTGCCATCAAAACCGTAGACATGGCCGGAGCGAGGAGGAAGGAGGACGAGGGAGAGGCGGACAGTGAGTGGGCAGCGTGCTCGCCAAAAGCGGCCGCCACGCTCAACGCTGCTTGAAACCAGGGAGAGGGGCAGAAGCAAAAGGCCACAGGCGAAAGAGGGAGATGGGAGGAAGGCACTGGGCTGCAGTACCTCAGCGCGGCAATCTAAACGGTCGCAGCCGTACGCTGCGCACTGAAAGCGAAAACTGTCAGTAGCCCCAGGCTCGGGCCGGGTGGGAAGACAAGGAAGAGGAGGACTACAGCGAACTCAGAAAGCAAACTCGCGCGTGCGTAGGCCGGTCTGATTGGACGGCGCCCGCATCGATGCCCTCACGAGTGCAAACGTTGGAGACACGAGGAATAGAGGAAGAACGGGGCACGGGGCGACGAGAGAAGGGCGAAATCTGCTGGGTGTAAACACTCGCCAACGAAATGCTTGCAACCTAAACGGGAGAGAGCGGGCATGCGCTCTCCCGGCAGCGCGTGTAGCAACCGCGACGGCTAGCAAGAGTGGCGAGCCCAGAGCATATTGTATCCAGGGTCGGCCATCAGCGAGCGCAAAGGGGACCTCACGTTATGCCCATGCACGCGGTGTGCGCACGCGACACCAATTCGAAGGCGCGGGGGGAGGGAGACAGGCAGAAGGAGGAGGAGAGGAGGGGGCAAGTGCGCGCTTTAGCCGAGCGTCCCCAAACAGGAGGGCCGCCGACGCCTCCAAACGTCAGGGCGCCAACAGGGTGGCACTACGATCCCACGGAACAGCACGCTCGCACAATGGCCTCCGAAACTCTGGCTGCTGCATTCAGGGGGGGGCAAAGAAGAGACCGGAAGAGGAGAACGTCGGGGCAGCGCTCTGCCGTGGGTAAACGGAGAGCAACAGCAGACTTGAACGTACCTCGAGGGGCCGCGACGCTCGCCCAAGTTCTGAACTATCGTGGCCCGATTGAAGCGGTCCACCTCTAACTCGGTCTCCTCCTCCCATCCTCCTCCTCCTCCTCATCCTCCTCCTCTTCCTGATCATCCTGGTCCTCCTGATCCTGGTCCTGATCCGCATCCTCCTCCTCCTCCTCCTCCTCCTCCTCCTCCTCCTCCTCATCATCATCATCATCATCATCAGCATCAGCATCATCATCATCATCATCATCATCAGCAGCAGCAGCATCATCATCGTCAGCATCATCATACTCATCATCATCATCATCATCATCATCATCATCATCACCATCACCATCACCATCACCATCACCATCATCATCATCAGCATCATCAGCAGCATCAGCATAATCAGCATCATGACCATCATCATCAGCAGCAATCATCATCAACATCATCATAATTGGCATCATCATGGTCATTACCACCACCACCACCATCATCATCATCATCATCAACATCATCAGCATCATCATCATCAACATCATCATCATCACCATCACCATCAGCATCATCGTCATCATCATCATCATGATCAGCAGCATCAGCATCATCGCCAGCAGCAATAATCATCATCATCAACATCATCAGCATCATCAGAATCGGCATCATCATCATCATCTTCATCATCATCATCATAATCATCATCATCATCATCATCATCATCATCATCATCATCATCATCATCATCATCATCATCATCATCATCATCATCATCGGCAACATCACCATCATGGTCATGATCATCATCACCAGCAGCAATCATCATCCAGCATCCTCAGCATCATCATCACCATCACCATCACCATCATCAGCATCAGCATCACCAACATCATCATCAGCATCATCATTACCACCATCAGCATCATCATCATCATCAGCAGCAGCATCAGCATCAGCATCATCATCATCATCAGCAGCAGCATCAGCACGACCACCATCAACAACATCATGACCATGTTCATGCCGAGTATTATCAGCGTCTGCGCCACCATCAATATAATCAACATCATCGTTGCAACCATCACCTGCATCCTTGCACATCTCCCCTCGGATGTCGATGCAAGATCAGCCTGGCAGCGGACTGCATCGGATCGGAACGAGCATCGAATCGGGCCGAATCGGTTCGGAATCGAAATCGAATCGAACTGGCTGCTGGCAGGTACACAACTATGCTGTACAAACATGGGGCCGCATGGGATCGCCCAAATATTTAAATCAAATCAATCGGATCGATCCGGCCAGAATCGGTATCGCATCGAACCAATCAAGCCGAAATGGACCCTGCCCGAGGTCGGCGACACCCATGCTACGACGCAGGGCAGGGCAGGACTCGGAGGCCAGTGGCACCAAGTGCGAGCAGGCGGTGGTCCAGGACAGCTGGCACGGATGCTGGACCCTGGGGCGTTTTTCCCAAGACCCACTTTTCATCGGGAGCCGTCTCTTGACGGTCCGGGGAGGCCGCAAGCGGCGGAGAGATTCGGGATGCCTCTCCCTTGGATCCCCCCCTCTGTCATGGTGGGAGGAGGGCGGCGAAACGATCCCCCCTGGACAGCCTGCAGACAGCGAGACCGGCATCGCCAGGCCCTCGGGACGCCTTCCCCCCCTCTTCGCCCGTTGCCCCACCCCCGGGAGCCATGCAGGCCATGGCGAGGTCGTTGTCCGCGATTGCCTTCGAGAACTTCGAGGGGTCCTCACCCGGGGCGGGGCCAGGCAGGCCTGCCCACCCCCTGGGGGGACATCCCTCCTGGGGTATCGGGGTCCACTTCCTCCCCCGCTCCCTCTTCCTGTAGGAGGGGCTCAGCAAAGGGGGGGAGGGGCAGGGGGAGGAGGAAGCGGAGGACGAGGAGTGGGAGTGGGCGGAAGAAGGATCGGGCAGGGGCGCGAGGACAGCGAAGACAACGACGGGGAAAGGGAGGGAGGGGGACTATCACAGCTTCAGGGGGAAGACCAGGGGGTTGGTCGACCCGACCCACCCGGGCACTTTGGGCTCCGATGGCCATAATATCGTCCTCTTCGTTACATGGCCTTTGGGGTTCTCTCGCGCTGACCCTTCCGCTAAGGAATCGGGCGGTGGGAATGGGACGGTTGAAACGGGGCGCGGATTTCTTGAAGTCTGTTGGGTGTCGTACTTGCAACAGGAACGACCAGGCACCCATGGAACAAATTACGTATGAACTCTCCAGAGCAGTCCTCCTTTAGTCGCTTGAGGTTGCTCTCGGTGTGATGGCAACACAAGCTGCAAACCACGAGAATAGACTGCCCTGCCACGTGATCGCAAGCAACAAGGTCGCACCGCCTGGGAGCCCCGATACGGGCGGACAGGGAGGCGGCGCTCCCAGGACAGATCTCCGGGGCTCTGGACTTGCGCGCGCAATGTGTACGAGCACGCGCGTGGCAGATCAAGCAGGGCCCTTGGTTATTTAGCCGGCCCCACACATGCGAACGTTTGGCATGGGGATCCCGGGCGCCAGCGGGATGTCACGGGCGGCGGAGGCGGCGCAAGCCAATTCTGAACACCTCCCGGAGCTACGACGAGAGGGCTGCGGCTTCGGGCTGGCTCCCTGGAAGCCTTCTTCCCAGTCGTGGACGCAGGTGAGGCCCACGAGGTGGGCGCTTCAGCTCAATCTTGAATCCTGCAAAATCTGAAGTTCTTGGGGCGGCAGCTGTCAGCCCAATCTCTACCCGCCGATAAAAACCAATCGCGTGAGCCATGGTGCAGCTCGATACAAGCACGGTGAGATTTCATTGACTCGATCTGAAACCTGAGAAAGCTGAGCTGGGCACGCGCGAGCACTGACACTCCAAAAAACATGTCCTTCGTACTTACGACGGAGTTCTGACTGACCGTCAGAATGCCCCTAAAGTCAGCGATGGCTCTCGTGAACCTTGAAACATTGCAGCAATATAGAATCCTAGGTGCTGGGGGTCTCCGACTACGCCCGAGACGCTGGCGACAAAATTCCCAGCCTCGTCATCTTCGCCTTCGGCAACCGCCCAAGATGGGGCGCCGTGAATCTTGCGCCCTGGCTTCCCAGCGCTGCCGCCGCGGAAAACCTCTCCTGCCGGAGCCCGCGGGGTCTCGCGGCAGCGGGCCTGGGCGAGCTCTGGAAACCGAGACTAGAGGGAAACCCTAGGTCCTGACCCTCACCACCCCCGCCCTGAAGACGCGCCCCGCGGAGACTCCGGGCACCGGGGCTCGGGCGCAGATGGCGCAGCAGCGATTCGCTAAACATTCCGCGCATGTCGCATTAAACCCTGGCGCAGGTGGGGCCCCAACGTCTTCCACGTGCTGCCTGAGACCGATTCGCCCTCCAGAGCTCGGCGCGCCAACGACGCGTCGAACGGCCCCTCCAGACCGAGCTTGGATGACGCGGCCAGCAGCAGCAGGGCGCGCCGCTGCTCGGGAAACGTCTTCTCGACAAAAGCGGGTGGGGCGGGGGCGCGGGGGGCGCCTGGCCAACCGCGCCCTCGCGCGCGAATGGGTCGGGCACATGCCGCGCCGGGCGCCCGAGCGAGGGGGGCGCGGCCCCTGGGGGCCCTTGGGCTCGGCGCCAATGCTTCGGCAGATCCTGGGCCAAGTGCCCGGCTTGCCTCCGAAGGTCTGTGATCGCAAGGACCGCCGCGCAAGGGTAGCGCGACGCCCCCGAGATCAGATTGGCCACGTAGCAGCAGGCCGCGCCCATGGCGGCGCCACAGGAAAGACCCCCAAGAGTTATCAACGATAAAGACCAGGACCAGCTAGAGCGCTGTGGCCCCGCGACCTTGAAGCATAAGGCCCCGGCATCTCTGAGCTCGAGATCTGTCGCGCCCGCGATATCGGCGCCGCAGTGGGCGGCCAACTTGAAATCTGCGACGCCAGCGTTCTTCGCGCCGGTCCCCGTCTAAGGGCCCCAACGCGCTGGGGCCGTTTCCTCAGTTTGATCGTTAACTTCTCGAGGGCCACCCGGGCCTTATTCTGCATGGGGGCCCCCGCCGCGAAATCGACTCCAAGGCTTGGCGCCGAAACCTGGTTCTCGCCGGGCGGGCGCCAGCCCTGGCCCGGCGCCCCGGCGAGCTTCTTGCGCGCTGCTGCGCATGAGCCGAGAACTGCGCCTTCGCGCGGCGTAACTGGACAATCGAAGTCGCCCCCGATAGACGTGCAGCGCGACGTCGGCACCCCCGGCCAAGTCGGAGACGAGCCAGCGCAGATTGGCGCTGCCGCCGGTCGGCACGAAGTCGCCAATGGAAATGGACCGCTCTATCGCGTGGCGCTCTCGCACCCTGAAATGAACCGGGGGGCGCCAAGCGCGCCTGGGCGCTGAACGCTGCGAAAGAGCACCCCGCGGGGCAACCTTCAACAGCGCGGCCTGCGCAGGTAGCGCGCCCCTTTCGCAGCATCTCTGAGCCCACCGCGCTGGTTCATCAGGGGGCGCACGCGATGGCCTCGGGGAATCCGCTGCTGAGGGCCCTTGATTTCCACTTACAGGCTCCAAAAGATCGCCCGCGCGCGGAACATTTGATGTCGGGGCCCGCTCGGCCCCGAGGGCCCGCGCATGCGCCGTTTCCAAGGCCCCCCCCCTCGATTGATGAACCATGCGCTTCTGGTTGTTTTTTCCCAACCATCCTGTGGTGTTGGGTCCTCGTTTTGAAGAGACGTCGCCCCGCGTTCTCCTCCTCCTCTCCTCCTCCTCACCTCCTCCCTCCTTCCTCCTCCCTCCTCCCCCTCCCTTCTGGCACACCCCTCACACGTTTCGTGGCCCCATAGGGAGCTCCACCGAAGGCCCCAGTGGCTGCGCCCGCATGCGGTTCCACCCCCCATTCTGGCACACCCCTCACACGTTTCGTGGCCCCATAGGGAGCTCCACCGAAGGCCCCAGTGGCTGCGCCCGCATGCGGTTCCACCCCCCATTCTGGCACACCCCTCACACGTTTCGTGGCCCCATAGGGAGCTCCACCGAAGGCCCCAGTGGCTGCGCCCGCATGCGGTTCCACCCCCCATTCTGGCACACCCCTCACACGTTTCGTGGCCCCATAGGGAGCTCCACCGAAGGCCCCAGTGGCTGCGCCCGCATGCGGTTCCACCCCCCATTCTGGCACACCCCTCACACGTTTCGTGGCCCCATAGGGAGCTCCACCGAAGGCCCCAGTGGCTGCGCCCGCATGCGGTTCCACCCCCATTCTGGCACACCCCTCACACGTTTCGTGGCCCCATAGGGAGCTCCACCGAAGGCCCCAGTGGCTGCGCCCGCATGCGGTTCCACCCCCCATTCTGGCACACCCCTCACACGTTTCGTGGCCCCATAGGGAGCTCCACCGAAGGCCCCAGTGGCTGCGCCCGCATGCGGTTCCACCCCCCATTCTGGCACACCCCTCACACGTTTCGTGGCCCCATAGGGAGCTCCACCGAAGGCCCCAGTGGCTGCGCCCGCATGCGGTTCCACCCCCCCATTCTGGCACACCCCTCACACGTTTCGTGGCCCCATAGGGAGCTCCACCGAAGGCCCCAGTGGCTGCGCCCGCATGCGGTTCCACCCCCCATTCTGGCACACCCCTCACACGCTTCGTGGCCCCGGAGCTCCACCGAAGGCCCCAGTGGCTGCGCCCGCATGCGGTTCCACCCCCCATTCTGGCACACCCCTCACACGTTTCGTGGCCCCATAGGGAGCTCCACCGAAGGCCCCAGTGGCTGCGCCCGCATGCGGTTCCACCCCCCATTCTGGCACACCCCTCACACGTTTCGTGGCCCCATAGGGAGCTCCACCGAAGGCCCCAGTGGCTGCGCCCGCATGCGGTTCCACCCCCCATTCTGGCACACCCCTCACACGTTTCGTGGCCCCATAGGGAGCTCCACCGAAGGCCCCAGTGGCTGCGCCCGCATGCGGTTCCACCCCCCATTCTGGCACACCCCTCACACGTTTCGTGGCCCCATAGGGAGCTCCACCGAAGGCCCCAGTGGCTGCGCCCGCATGCGGTTCCACCCCCCATTCTGGCACACCCCTCACACGTTTCGTGGCCCCATAGGGAGCTCCACCGAAGGCCCCAGTGGCTGCGCCCGCATGCGGTTCCACCCCCCATTCTGGCACACCCCTCACACGTTTCGTGGCTCCATAGGGAGCTCCACCGAGCGCCCCAGTGGCTGCGCTCGCATGCGGTTCCACCCCCCCATTTCGGCACACCCCTCACTCGTTTCGTGGCCCGGGGGCGCCACCGAAGAATATATCCACAATTGCGGTATTCACAACTACGTATGGTTGGGTCTTTCGTCCGGCTAACTTTCCCATGTCCGCCGTCCTGTCAGAATCTCGACCACGCGCGCCAAACAAAGGGAAGCAAGCCTATGGCGGGAAAGATGGGCAGCCCAGCCAGTCGGCCTTGCGATGCTCAGATAACACCGCGATGATGCTGCGAACCGTGGTCGGGAACACTCAGATCTGTCCGATGGTTGCCATCAATCTTGCAACTGACTCCGATGCACGATACGGAAGCAGATATAAGTGTCTGGGTGAAATCCGCCCCGGGTCTGAGCCGAGGATTTTGCTTCTGGCAGTCGAACGACCACTGCTGGCGCTGAGTCGGAGGGCCCTGCGCCCCCCCCGACGGCGGGGCGAACTCCTGCTCCGTCGCGGTCGCGTGCCAGAGCCCCGACAGCCCGGCGGCGTCGGACTGGGGAAGCTCAACAATCCCTACCTGGAATCTCTTGAGCGCCGGGCCGTCGACTTGGAGGTCCAACGACGAGACCACTCAACCCACTTCGCCATAGCTTCTGTGGCCCAGGAGTCCCAGGATGTCGTTCCGCTCCGGCGGCCCACGGCCAACTCTGGTCACGGGGGTCGGCCCATCGTCATGCTCTATTCCGAACGCCAGGTCCGCGATCTGGCACCACGGCTCCTATGGCTCGCCTGACACTGGCCGACAAGCGGGCGAACTGCTCGGCTCCTCTGAATTCGGGGTGGGTGGGTTTTGCAGGCTACTCACTGTCTCCACGCAACAGAAGCCCCCATCCGCATAGGCGGCCCCCGGACGACATCCACGACTTCGTTGCTCAACCATCGAACCGACACCGAACGCATTCTGCCCTGGCTTCCACATCCCGAGCAACGCCTGGCGCCCATTTGATCTTCGACGCGGTCGCTCTTGGTCTGGTCGGCGACTTGATCGCCCCGCCCGCCCTGAAAAATGGTGGGGCGCGCCATGTCGCCCGCGAAATACTGATGCGCGCTGCCCAGCGCTGCCGCGCCAACTTCGACCCTGGACCCCCCCTCCACGACGGCCCGTCATGCGCGGGCCCCGCGGGCCTCGAGGCACCAAGGGGCTGGGCTTCTTCCAAAATAGGCGCCGCAAAGGACTGGCAGCACTGGCGATTGGCCAGCGCAGGCCCGCGGGAGCCCAGCGGGCGGCGGCCCGAGAACGCGGGCCCCCCAGAGGTCCCGACCACAGCGCGACGAGGCGAGGCAGTTGTCGATGGCGGTCGACGACCCCATCATCTTGCGCACAAGAGTTAGACGCAAAAATCTTGAGCATTGGAACCAGCTCTTAGCTCTCACTGCATAAGTTTAAAAACAAGCAGACACTCAATCGACGCACTGATGCCCCCTGCAGAAATCAAGGCCTACTTGGCGGCGCCCTGCATGGAGCATAGCCACCCCAGCAATGTGCTCGATAAGTGCCCGTTGTAGCTGACCCCGCCAGCCAGGTTGGATTGGCACTGATACCGGAGGACCGTGGCCCCGTTGTTCAAGCGACACCGCCGCGCGCAATGACTCTTCAATCCGCGCCGCTTCCAGATCAAGACCCCTGCGCCTTGGGCGCGGCGCCCCGCGGGGCTGAGCGCGGCTGGCGAGGCGTCGCCCGCCGCCCCCTCTACGGCGCCACTGGGCGACGAGCGGAAGGGCCTCTTCGAGGCCCCGAACCTCCAGGCCGCAAATGACGATGGCGTCGGCATCGCTGGATTTGGTGAAGCGACGAACCAACCTCCAACAGCAACCGTTGATCGCGGCGATGCTTGCGTCATCCACTCGACGGCCCGCTGCGCGCAATGCTTTGGCCTAGGCCACCCGGGTCTTGGCCGAGCCCTCTTGCGTGCTTTCTGCGAGGCTGGTTCCCGCGGAGATGAGGATTTGGCCAAGTGCTTCTTCTGCTGTCTTCGCGCACTTGCCGACGCTGAGGTCCGCCATCGCCCGGGCGCTCTTGCCCCCCCCCCCATCGGCGGGATAGGCGGCTGCCCCGCCGGCCGCCCAGGCAGCGGCGCTGCCGGGGGCCACTCCGCCACCGACGGACGCCATAGCTGCTGGCGCCGCTTCGCCAACTGCCCCTGCCGCGGGCTGCGTTAGCTGTGTCTGCCGCTGTCGATGGCGTTGACGGCGTCGCTTTCGATCGCGCCGGCCCCCAGTCTCCGCGCGGCCGCCCAGCGGGCAGCCCGATGGCATTTCAAACTCCTTCCGACGGGGCCAGCCCAGAGGCTGGCTTGCCATGTAGGCGTCCAGCGACTGCTCCTGGATGAACTCCTCGAGGGCCGCCCGCGCTGCCATCCTGAGCCGAACTACAAATCTGAGACCTCCATGTGAAGGTCATCTGCGCTCTGTAGCGCCTTCTCGTAGTCCTCGACAAGCTTTGCCGCGGCCTCGGGGGATTCGTCGAGGTCGCCCTTCGCCGTCGAGAACTTCCCCTCTGCGACCCCCAGCTGATCTTCTGGCCAGCGGCACCTTTTCGTCTTGCTCCAGAACTGGACCGCCGCGGCTCCGACGGTGACGGGGCCCTGTTCGCCCGGCGCGGCTGCGCCTCCAGCTTCGCGATGGGCCTTCGCTGCCGCTGCGGGGCTCGACGAACGAGGGGACCATCTGCTCGGGAATGATCTGTCACGGGCCGGCGCCCCGCGGGCGGACGGCGGCCCTGGGGAGTTGCCTCGGCCCCGGAAGGCCGCGCCACGCGAGTTGCTGCACTTGAATGGTTTGTCGGCCCAAATCCATCTTGCGCACTCGTCGCGTCGGCAGCGGACGCAGCGCCGCCGCCGACGCCCGCGCCCGCTGCGACCCCCCATCGCGCCGACCAGACTGCGCCCAGAAAGGCGTCGCCTGGGCTGGGCGCGCCTGCTGCCCGAGGGGCCGCTAAGCAGGGCCCCCGAGCGGAAGAACGCGGCCCCGGGAGCCGGGCGACGCGGCCCGGCGCACCACCTCGTTCCTCATTGGGCCAGAATGTTTTGAACCAGGAGGGGAGAGGGGGGGGGGGGCGGGGCGGGCGAGGGGGGAGGGGATTTTTTGGGGGCGGCCCAAGGGAAGCGCATTCCACGGGGCAGAAGAGCTGCGGCGGGCGCGGCAGACGCGTTCCACTCGGCTTGCGACGCGAAGAAAGAAATTCGTCGTCGCGTCGGCGGGCATGTCCCACTCGGCTCGAATCACAAAGACCGGTTAATGGTTGCTGGTGTCGGCCGCCAACAAATCAATGCAGAGTGCCACTATGGACGCACCAGCGCAAGAAAGTATAGTCACGCTGCAAACGCCATCCTTCGAAACAGACTGGACCCAGCGCGGCACCGCAGTTCCAAGGCGGGGGGGAAGGACGGAAAGGGGGAGAGGGGGACTGGGCACGGTGGTGGTTTGGGCCAAAGGCCAACTAAAACAATAACTCACTCCACATAAACAATCGTTTCCGATTCGACCACGTTTCCGTGAAGGTATTTTATGGAAAGGTCGCGACTTTCGCGCCCAAGTTGATAATTGCGTCGGAGCACCAAAGACACAATCGCTCCGACAGCTCTAAGCGCCCGGCGGGGGCGCACTGGTCACGCCTCTTTTCCCTGATCGCCTCCCACATTAGCCTTGCGGGCGCTGTCCAGCGCATCGTCGACGGGGACCTGGGTGTATATCGCGTCTTCGAGGCAGCTCTTCAGATTCAGCTTCATGGACAGGCTCCGAGTGACGCCGGTGGCCTCATGTTCCTGGCCCACGAGATCGAAGTCGCCCAGGGCGCGCTCCTCTTCGCCAGGTGTACATCGATCGAGATCAAGAGGCTCATCAAGTCCATCCTCTTCAAAATATCGACACCACCGTTCGCATTGAGCAGCAATGTCTTCGCCTCGCCGTGCGCCAATCCTGTGATCTTGTTCTGGATGAAGACGTCTGCGTGAACCTGCAGGCGCTGGGAGACGATTGCGTGGGTAGGGGGCCACATGCCAACCCTATCCCTACCCCCCACGATTTCTGAAGGGGGTAGGGGTCGGGTTCGTATGTGGCCCCCTAGTGGGGCACCTCCTGGTCGGGCGCGGAAAAGGGCCTGGACAGTCGTCAGCTCTACCAAGCTCAAGGCGAACAAGACAAACAGCAATAATAGGGAACCACGAAGCCTAGATGGTGCCACCACGGATGCATCCTGGCTCAGCTCGTTTCCGTATACTTTGCAGTTCTACGTGAGGTGCATGACGTACATACCCAAGAGGAAGCACACGCTCATAGAGTCAAACTGCATGAACCACGCCATGACGTCGCTCCACCATAGTACGGGCTCCTCGACGTCATCCAAATCATCAGCATCGCTGTCTTCGTCTTCGCTGTCTTCGTAATTTTCATCTGGGCGATACGTTTCTGGGACCGTGAGGAGCAGGAGAAAGAACGAGACGAGCCAGGTCACCTACGTAATGTTGATGAGATCGCATATCTGGTGAGCGAGCGACTCCTGAAAGCACCTATTCCAGTTAAACGAATACCAATTCATGCCGCTCCCAGAGAACACTCTGTTGGTTGACAATCATGGGTGTCCAGTTCCCCATCTTCGGGATTACTGTGTCGCTGTGCGCATCCCCTTCAAACCTCTGCAAAAACTGCGATGTGCGATGCCACATCCACGCATAGAGTGCGCCCAACCCGATCAGGGAACACGCAGCAAACGACATCAACACATCAACGCAAGTGAGGTACGTGACACAGTACGGAAAAAAAACATCATCGAGGTACATATCAAACGTCGTTTCCATGAAGGTCGCAATAGCAACGATGCCGAATACCATGAGCTCAGTGACAACCCTGCCGAAAATAATATTGCTGCAGCGGTTATTCTCAACGGCTCGCTGTGAAATACGGGACGCGATCGATGAGGAGCCCGTAGAACACCACTCCCGCAAAGACGTTCAAGAACTAGTCGCTGTCAAGCGCCTTGCTCTTCAACTGGAAGACAAGGTCACCGCCACCACCTGCGGCCTGCCCGAGCCACAGGCTGCATGCGAGGCTGGCAGCGGCCAGCCCCACCGCATTGCCCTGCCTTGGCTGCCACGTCCAGACTGCTGGTGCGCCACGCTGACGGGAGAAGTGTGCCTCCCCCCCCCGGAAGACCCTGAATTCACGATCCCAGGAACACTTGGATCGTGATCCAAGTGTTTCGGGCGCGCCGCGCCCCGCGGAGAGCCCGAGACGACAGCCCGAGTCCCCTCCCCGAGTCTCCTCCCCGAATATCATCCCCGAGTCTCGTCTCCGAGTCTCCTCCCCGAGTCTCCTTCCCGGGACTCCGCCAGAAGTCTCCTCCCCGAGACTCCTCCCCGAGTCTCGTCCCCGAGTCTCGTCCCCGAGTCTCGTCCCCGAGTGTCGTCCCCGAGTATCTTCCCCGAGTCTCCTCCCCGAGTCTCCTCCCCGAGTCTCCTCCCCGAGTCTCCTCCCCGAGACTCCTCCCCGAGTCTCCTCCCCGAGTCTCCTCCCCGAGTCTCGTCCAAGTCTCGTCCCCGAGTCTAGTCCCCGAGTCTAGTCCCCAAGTCTCGTCCCCGAGTTTCGTCCCCGAGTCTCCTCCCCGAGTCTCCTCCCCGAGTCTCCTCCCCGAGACTCCTCCCCGAGTCTCCTCCCCGAGAATCCTCCCCGAGTCTCGTCCCCCCGAGTACCCTCCCCGAGTCTCGTCCCCGAGACTCCTCCCCGAGTCTCCTCCCCAAGACTCGTCCCCGACTAGTGTCCCCGAATCTCGACCCCGAGTCTCGTCCCCGAGTCTTGTCCCCGAGTCTCGTCCCCGAGTCTTGTCCCCAGCTTCCACCCCCCGACTCTCGTCCCCGAGTCTCGTCCCCGAGTCTCCTCCCCGAGTCTCGTCCACGAGTCTCGTCAACGAGTCTCGTCCCCGAGTCTCGTCCCCGAGTCTCGTTCCCGAGTCTCGGCCCCGAGTCTCGTCCCCGAGTCTCGTCCCCGAGCCTCCTCCCGAGTCTCCTACCCGAGTCTCCTCCCCGAGTCTCGCCCCCGAGTCTCCTCCCCGAGACTATTCCCAAATCACCTCCCCGAATCTCGTCACCGAGCCTCGTCCCAGAGTCTCGCCCCCGAATCTTCCCCCGAGTCTCGTCCCCGAGTCTCCTCCCCGAGCCTCGTCCCCGAGTCTCGCCCCCGAGTCTCCTCCCCGAGACTATTCCCAAATCTCCTCCCCGAGTCTCGTCCCCGAGTGCCCCCGACTCTCCTCCCCGACTCTGCCTCCCGGAGTCTCCTCCCCGAGCCGCGCCGACTATGTGTGTTGTACGTGCGCCTGTGGAACACATATACGTGCGCATGGATCCATGTCGTTTGCTCAATGTCTTTTTTTCTTTTCATATGGCTGTGTATTGAACAATGTGCATATTCGGATGGCTGTGGTTCAGGGCGTGTCTGATGTCAAAGGTGCGCCTGTGGCTCAGGGCATCTCGGATCACACATTTGCTAGGATGTCTCAGGCGAAAGTGGCCGGACCACCATGGGGCAGGGCATCTCCGATGTCAGAGGTGCGAGGATGTTTCAGAAAGTGGCCTGACCACCTCAGCTCTGGGAGTCTCGGAACCCAGAATTGCGAGGATGTCTCGGGCAAACGTGGCCAGACCACGGGGAATGTAGGAATCCAGAATTGCGAGGATGTCTCAAGCGAAAGTGGCCTGACCACCTGAGCTCAGGGCATCTCGGAACCCAGAGTTGCGAGGAGGCTTCAGGCGAAAGTGGCCGGACCACCATGGGGCAAGGCATCTCTCAGGTCAGGCGAAAATGGCCAGACCATCTCACTTCAGGGCATCCCGGAGCCCAGAGTTGCGAGGATGCCTCAGGCGAAAGTGGCCAGACCACCATGGGGCAGGGCATCCCCGAGGTCAGAGCTGCGAGGATGTCTCAGGCGAAAGTCGCCAGACCATCTCACTTCAGGGCATCCCAGAACCCAGAGTTGCGAGGATGTCTCAGGCGAGAGTGGCCAGACCACCATGGGGCAGGGCATCCCCGAGGTCAGAATTGCGAGGATGTCTTCGGAGTCCTCCAAAAACCGTTCACAACAACATATCGCAAAAGCTCGAATCTCCTCCCCGACTCTCCTCCCCATCTCTCCTCCCCGACTCTCCTTCCTGACTCTCCTTCCCGACTCTCCTCCCCGACTTCCCTCCCCGTCTCTCCTCCCCGAGTCTCTCCTCTGGGGCTGTCCAGTGTTCCTTGTTAGACAACACTTGGATCGTGATCCAAGTGTTCCCTGGTGAGAAAAACACTTGGATCGTGATCCAAGTGTTCTGGGATCCTGAATTCAGGGATTTCCCCCCCCCCCCCTCCCCCCCCTTGGGCAGGTACGTGCGTGGTCAAACATCGCTTGATCCCAATTTGCTTGAGCCAAAATGGCTACGGAAGGAGGAGGAGGAGGAGGAGGAGGAGGAGAAAGAGGAGGAGGAGGAGCTTCGGGCGAGAAGGTTGCGGAGAGGGGACCTGGCAGCAACAGAGGCCTGCTGCTCTGGGGGCGCTGCTGGCATGAAAGGAAACGGGTCCTGGCAGAAACGGGTCCTCGACCCCAGGGGCTTATTTTCGCCCCGAGCCGCTCTTTTACGGTCCCGGGATGCCCTGGACGGGCCCCTGCACCCGAAAACGGCTAGAAAACACCAAGACCCTTTTCCATCAGGACCACTGTCCTTCGTGGCGAGAGCGGGCAGGATCCGCCAGCATGGAATCGGGAAGCCGGATCGACTTGGAATGTGCGTCGCATCGGGCCGCACCGGCAAGGGGTCGGAATCGAGTCGGATCGGCCGCGCCAGGAGGCACAACACCGACATGCGAGCACGTCGTCGGAATATCGGACTCGAGTCCTGGCCGAAATCGACATCGAACCAAGTCGATCGGAGCGAAGTGGGCCCTGTCACCGTGACCGCACGACGCGGGCGCGCAGGGCCGCCGAGGGGCTGCCCAGAAGGGCGTGAAGCTTCGAAGGGACACGCCTCGCCGCGCAGTGGTCCGAGCCTCCTGTCGGGGCAGACGACGGACGGGGATCCCCCAACATCCACATCTCCGTGGGGGGATCCCCATCTCCATGGTGATGGGGATCCCATCGGGGGATCCCACGGGGAGATCTCCATCTCCCCCCCTCTCCACGGGGGTATCCCCATCTCCTATCCCCATCGTCATTCCCATCCCACCATCCCATCTCCCCATGGGGATGGTGTCGGGGGGATCACCCTGAAGGGTTTTTGGTCGAACCCTCCCCCCACATGACAGGAAAATGTTGATTTTGTGCACGGGCCTCTTGACGGCACGGGAACCCCAACAATACTGCGAAGATGGCTAATTCCTGGGCGACGGCCACCGCTGATGACCCGGAGGGTAGCAAAGGGGGTTGGTAAAGGGGCCCAGGGACACAAATCCGCTGACCCCAGAGGCGTGTGAGACTCAACTGTTCACTTGTGGATCACTTCCTCGGGACATGTGTTTTTGCGAATTCCCACCCGAAAACTCCCGGCCCCCCTCCTCCCAAAACCGTCCTTAGCTCCCCACCGCGCCCACACCCCCACACCACCCCCACCCCACGAGAGCTTTGTTTTTGGGACCCCCCACACGACAATTCCTGGCCCCAAACCGACCTACGCCCCCCACCACGCCCCGGCACGCCCACCACTCGAGAGCTTTGTTTTTGAGACCCCCCACACCACAATTCCTCACCCCAAACCGACCTACGCCCCCCAGTGAGCCCTGGCGCCCCCGCCCCTCGAGAGCTCTGATTCTGGGACCCCCCACGGCAATTCCTCGCCCAAAACCAACCTACGCCCCACCGCGCCCCGGCACCCCCACCCCACGAGAGCTCTGTTTTTTGAGACCCTCCTCACGACAATTCCTCGCCCAAAACCGACCTACGCCCCCCACCGCGCCCCGGCACTCCCACCCCCGCGACAGCTCTGTTTTTGGGACCCCCCACGCGACAAGTCCTCGCCCAACATCGACCTAGGCCCCCCACGGCCCCCCGGGCACCCCCACCCCAGGAGAGCTTTGTTTTTGAGACCCCCCACCGCGCCCCGACACCCCCACGCCACGAGAGCTCTGTTTGTGGGACCCCCCACACTACAAGTCCTCGCCCAAAACCGACCTACGCCCCCCACGGCCCCCAGGCACCCCCACCCCACGAGAGCGATTTTGGGACCCCCAACGCGACAATTCCTCGCCCGAAACCAACCTACGCCCCCCACCACTCCTCGGCACCTCCACCAGTCGAGAGCTCTGCTTTCGGGACCCCCGAACGACAATTCCTCGCCCAAAGCCGCCCTACGCCCCCCACCGCGCCCCGACACCCCTTCCCCACGAGAGCTCTGTTTTTGGACCCCCCCACACTACACGACAATTCCTCGCCCAAAACCGACCTACGCCCTCCACGGACCCCCGGGCGCCCCCACCCGACGAAAGCTCTGTTTTTGAAAACCCCCAAACAACAAAACCTCGCCCAACGCCGCCCTACGCCCCCCACCGCGCCCCGACACCCCCACCCCACGAGAGCTCTGTTTTTGAGACCCCCCACGCGACAAACCGACCTACGCGCCCCACCGCGCCCCGGCACCCCCACCCCACGAAAACTTGTTTTTTTGAACCCCCCCACGCGACAATCCCTCGTCCCAAACCGACCTGCGCCCCCCACCGCGCCCCAGCACCTCGCGCACCTCCACCCCGCGACAGCTCTGTTTTTTGGACCCCCCCACACGACAATTCCCCCTCCAAAACCAACCTGCGCCCCCCACCGCGCCCCGGCACCCCCACCCCGCGATGCTTTGTGAGAGCCCCCAAACATCAACTCCTCGCCCAACGCCGCCCTACGCCCCCCACCGCGCCCAGGCACCTCCACCCCACGAAAGCTGTGGTTTTGGGACCCCCCACACGACAAACAACATACGCGCCCCACCGCGCCCCGGCACCCCCAACCTGCGAGAGATCTGTTCTTGAGACCCCCCACGCGACAATTCCTCGCCTAGAACCGACCGACGCCCCCCACCGCGCCCCGGCACCCCTGCGAGGAGCTCTGTTTTTGAAACCCTCTACACGACAATTCCACGCCCAAAACCGACCTGCACCCCCCACCGCGCCCCCGCACCCCCACCCCGCGAGAGATATGTTTTTGGGACCCCGCACGCGACAGTTACCCCCCAAACCGACCTACGCATCCCACCGCGCCCTGGCACCCCCACCCCACGAGAGTTTTTGTTGTTTTTCTTCTCGAAACCTCCGCGCGACAATGCCTCGCCCAAAACCGACTAATGCCCCCCATCGCGCCCAAGCCCTCCACCCCACGAGAGCTCTGTTCTTGGAATCCCCCACAAGACACTTCCTCCCCCGCCAAACCTCTGTTTTTTTAGAGCCCCCAAACAACAACTCCTCGCCCAAAACCGCCCTACGCCCCCCCCCCCGCGCCCCGGCACACCCCACCCCACGAGAGCCCTGTTCTTGAGACCCCAGACATGACAATTCCTCGCCCCAACCGACCTACGCCCCCCACCGCGCCCTGGCACACCCCACCCCACGACACTTGTTTTTGGACCCCCCCTTACGACATTCCTTGCCAAAAACCGCCCTACGCCCCCCACCGCGCCCCAGCACCCCCACCCCACGAGAGCTCTGTTCTTGAGACCCCCCACACGACACTTCCTCCCCCCAAACCGACCTACGCCCCCCACCACGCCCCGGTGGAAATGTTTGCACCATCACTACGCCCCGTCACCCCCGCCCGACGGGAGCTCTGTTCTTGAGCGCCCCCACCCTACAATTCTGAGCGCTGGACCGACCGACACCCCTTCCTCGCCCCCCACTACGCCCCGACACTCCCACCCCACGAGAGCTCTGTTTTTGCACACACACACAGACACACACACACACACACACTCACACACACAAGGCCTGCAAGTTTTGACCCGAGACCGACCGCTGCCCCCCTCCCCCCAGTACGCCCCGACCCCCCCGCACCACGAGAGCTCTAAAGAAGGCGGCGGCAGCAAAAGCTTTCGCAACAAAAGCGAAAGCGCCACGAGAAAGGACGAAAAAAAAGCGGACGCAACGAAGGCGGCCGAAACAAAAGCAACGAAGTGAAACTCCGCCGCGGTGCATGTTCAGCTCAAAAGTCATTCGATGCCCCTTGCGGCCGCCGCTGCCCCGCCGTATTTCATGAGCATAAATGCGAACCACCCCTCCGCTCATATGTGGTGGGCGCACGCCATGCATGGGACTGCGAGGCCAGTGTCAACGACCTCCCACCAAATTCCCAATGAGACCCGAAAACCAAGAATACGGGATGCCACCGCAGCAACGACCACCGCGCCCGGATAACACCGCCAACGAAAACAAGGGCTCCCTCGCACGTAGGAGCGCGTGCGAAACTCCCAAGAGCACTTAATGATATAGGGGCCACGGTCGAAGGGCTCCCATGGAGTCGGCGGCAGAGGCGGCAGCCTTTGAATACAAATAGACACGAATCCCAGGTTTCCCCATTTGTTCCATATTCTCTGGGATTTCGTCTTCCCCCCAACTTGCCAGATTTTCGTGCATTTTCCTGGGAGTCGACGATTCATTGTATCTGTGTGTCCCCCTCCTGGGAAGGGGCACCAGCGCCCACCGCTGGGGTGGCAAGGCCGAGGTCAGCGGCACGCAGCAGAGACCCCACGGCGCCCCCGGAGAGGAGGCGGAGGCTCCTCGAAGACTCAGGCAGACAAGTTCCTCGACGATCTGCTTATGCAGTGGCTCGTTCCCCTTCCCCCCCCCTTTCTAAAAGGGCCTAGGGACACACAAACAACTGCACACAAATCCCAGTATTCCCCATATGTTCCCACATTTGGGAGGTCTTCGTCTTCCACCCCACTCCTCATATTTTCCTATTTTCCTGAGAGTCGACGGATAATTGTGCCTGTGTGTTTTTACCTCCTGACTTTCCCTGTCCCGATCCCCGCTTTCCCAATCTCCACCCTTGCCCAATCCCCCCCCCTTGTCAGTCGAAACGACCCGAGCCCGTGGCACAGCTGCAGGATCTGCACGTCGGTCGTCGTCGTCCGTCGTCGTCGTGGTCCGTCGTCCATCGTGCGTCGTCCGTCGTCATCCGTCGTCCGTCGTCGTCGGTCGTCGTCCGTCGTTAGTCGTCCGTCGTCCGTCGATAGTCGTCCGTCGTCGATCGTCATCGTCGTCGTCCGTCGCCGCCGCCAACGCCGTCGTCGTCGTCATCGTCGTCGTCGTTGTCCTCCGTAGTCGTCCATCGTCGTCCGTCGTCGTTGTCGTCGTCGTCGTTGTCGTCGTCGTCGTCGTCGTCGTCGTCGTCCGTCGTCGTCGTCGTCGTCGTCGTCCGTCGTCCGTCGTCCGTCGTCCGTCGTCAGTCGTCGTCGTCCGCCGTCGATCGTCCTCCGCGGTCGTCCGTCGTCCGTCGTCGTCAGATGCCTTCCGTCTCCAATAGCCAATCGTCCGTCGTCCGTCGCCCGTCGTCCGTCGTCCGTCGTCTGTCATCCGTCGTCCGTCGTCCGTCGTCCGTCCTCGTCGTCGTCCTCTGCCGCCGCCGTCCGTCGTCGTCGTCGTCGTCGTCGTCGTCCGCCGTCGATCGTCCTCCGCGGTCGTCCGTCGTCCGTCGTCGTCAATTGCCTTCCGTCTCCAATAGCCAATCGTCCGTCGTCCGTCGCCCGTGGTCCGTCGTCCATCGTCTCTCATCCGTCGTCCGTCGTCCATCGTCCGTCCTCGTCGTCGTCCTCCGCCGCCGCCGTCGTAGTCGTCCGTCGTCGGTCCTTAGTCGTCGGTCGTCGGTCGTTGCCCGTCGGTCGTCCGTCGTCGATCGTCAGCCGTCGGTCGTCGGTCTGCCGTCGCCCGTCGGTCGTCGATCGGCCGTCGGACGTCGTCGTCGTCGATGTCGTCGTCGCTGCCGCCGTACCCGCCGTCGTCGTCGTCGTCGTCGTCGTCGTCGTCGTCGTCGTCGTCGTCATCGCCGTCGTGATCATCGTCGTCGGTCGTCGTCGTCGTCGTCGTCGGTCGTCGCTGGTCGTCGCCGTCGTCGGTCGTCGTCGTCCATCGTCGCTGTCGGTCGTCGTCGGCGGTCGTCAGTCATCGGCCGTCGGGCGTCGGTCCCTGGTCGTCCGTCGATCGTCATCGTCGTCGTCGTCGTCGTCGTCGCCGCTTCGCCGCCGACACCGTCGTGGTCGACGTGATGGTCACGGTCGTCGTCGTCTACGTCGTCGTCGTCCGTCGTCCGTCGTCGTCGTCGTCGTCGTCGTCGACGTCATCGTCGTCGTCGTCGTCGTCGTCGGTCACACGGTCGTCGGTCGTCGTCGCCGCGTCGCCATCATCGTCGCCGTCGCCGTCGCCGTCGTCGTTGATGGAGCTCGATCTTCGTAGTCGCCACCGCTCCTCCAGGTTTGGCCGATGTGGAGGCCCTGGAAAGAAACATGTTGACGCCTCACTCTGACTCGTGGATCTAATGACCCGGGTCAATCCAAACCGGGGTCAGTCAGGCGTTGCAAGATCCCGCAAGATGCTGCAGGACCCTGCGGCATCCTGCACCCCAACCCGGGTCAATGCGACAATGCGACCCTGGTCCTGCGGGATTATGCAAGATCCAGCGCTCTGACTGACCCCCGTTTGCATTGAACCCCGTCTCTTGAGCCCCGGCTGACTTCCGCGGACCCGCCGCCGGCTCCGTTCTGCTGGCTTCTGCTGGCCTTCCGCCCGAGACGAGATGCGCCGAAGACGAGATGAACCGAAGGCGAGATCCGCTGAGGCCCTTCCTAGATCGCGCCAGGTATTCCCTGCAGGTTCATGGGCTGCCTTTTCGGACCGCTCTTGGGGCCTTCGGGAGTGGGGGCTACCCCTCTCCTGGAGCTGGGCTTGTCCGCCCACAGTATTGGAGCACGGTGTGAAGATTGTTCCAGAGTCAATTTCCGGCAGGACGGTTGCAGAACCGCTGCAGCCAGGGCGGGTGGATGCAGGCGGCGGCGGCAGCAGCCGCATCTCCCCTGCGCAGCCGCTCCCCTCGGAGTCCTCACAAGAGGCCGCGCATGCAGGAGCGTACACTTGATGGGCCTGTTTTCCACCACCACCACCAGAAGTTGGAGGAGGAGGAGGAGGAGGGGGACCCCCTCCCCCTCCTACCTATGGTGGTGGTGGAAAACAAGCCCACTAACACTCCTGCGCCGAGCTCGGGAAGACGACCACTGCGGGGCTCACGCGCACCCCTGGAGAAGGCTCGGGCGAGGATGCCGGGGCCCGCCCAACGCCGACGCGTCGGCCGGCGCGGCGCGCCCGTCTCTGCGTTGCGGAGGGGCGGCTGCGCTCCGTGCTGCACGTGTTTTTGTCCGCCATGTCTTAAGTCGGGCGTGTCGCCCTACAGGCGGAGTTTAGGCGAAAAATGGAAAATGCCAAAGAATACGCAACAGCAATGAAACATGATATAAAAAATCGTCCCCAGACTAACTATGTTTTGACTACTTTTGATCATTTCCCCTGCAGAGGGACAGGCCCGACTCAAGACGTGTCAGTGGCCTCTCAATCTTTGAGCCTGTGGGTTGGTGGGCGGAGCAAACCCAGAGAACCCCCTGCGGTCCACGCTGGTCGCCATGTTGTACATGCTCATCGACTCCACGCCTCCAGCGAGCCCCACGTCGATCACGCCCGCCTGGCAAACAGGAAAGAGGGAGGAGGAGGCGGAGGGGGAGGGGGAGGAGGAGGAGGAGGAAGAGGAGGAGGAGGAGGAGGAGGAGGAGGAGGACGGGAGGAGGAGAAGGAGGAGGAGGAGGAGGAGGCGGAGGAGGAGGCGAAGGAGGAGGCAGAGGAGGAGGAGGCCGAGGAGGAGGCGGAGGAGGAGGCGGAGGGAGCGCCACAGCCTCACGCTTAGGTTGGTCGAACGCGAAAAGCAGGAGGAGGAGGAGGAGGAGCCGCCCAGGCCCGCCCACAATTCACACACCGATGTGCAGCCTGCCCCATACACCTCCATCCTCCCACGACCTCCTCGAACAGCGAACACGGAGCTGGGGATCAGAAGCAGGAGGGCTCATGCTGCTCCCAACGCTTCTCCCCCGTCTTACCCTTCATCGTCCTTAAGTTGGCCCTCATTCCCATCCTCGTCCTTGTCGTCGCCCTCCTGGCCCCATGAGGGCTCTTTAAGAGCGTCCGCAAAACCAGCAGCAGCAGCAGCAGCAGCAGCAGCAGCAGCAGAGGCAATAACAGAGCCAGCAGCAGCTGCAAGCAGCAGGCGTCCCCTCCACATCCTTCTGGCACGTAAAACGTCAACCCGATCCTCAAACCTCGAGGCTCGAGGTCGATCCCCGAGCTTCCCTGGCCTTGATGCTGGCAGCGATGTTGGCGACAGCCTGCAGGCCGCTGCTGCACTGACGGTTCACGGTGCTCAGCGGGGCCTCGTAGCCGATGCCTGCCGGCGACGGAGAATACAACCCAGACATGCGACGTCGCCAGAAGTCCCGACCCTTTCCCCGGGACCGGATTTTCGTCCCGACAAGTTGTTTGACGGCCCCGGGGCCCAGCGAGGGCCCCTGGGGGCCGAAAACTGAAAAAAACGCCCGTCCTTATTTTTTCACGACGCCAGCACGAGAGGCGAGAACGAGAGGCGGCACGTCGTGCCGTGAGCGGGCGGAAAGAGGCGCGTCCGTGGACGAGTGACTCCCAAACAGGCCTGCTTCTAGCGGCTTCTGGGGCTCGGCAGGAGGCCTCCCAAACGATCCTGGAGGCACCCCGAGCGGCCAGGTCGGTCCTCCGGGGCCCAGAGGGGATACGGCGGAATCGTGCCGTGACGTCACGACTCGCGCGTGAGTTTCCGACACCGCCTGGATCGATCGGCCTCGAGCGATCCCGCCCTCTCGATGATTCGTACAGATCGATCGATCTCCTGCCGATTCCAGGCCACCGTCGGCGTTCAACTGTGAACGCCCATGCTGGGGTCGTCGCCGCGTCGACGCGGCACGAAGCTGCCGTAATGAGCGGAAGCCCCATCGGCAAGGTCGGGGAGCAGCGCGCCCGTGGGCAGGCGTTACTGCTGCCAGAGCCTTGCCGTTAACGGGCCTGCAGTAAGACAGGACTCCCGGGTGGGGCCGGAGCGGTTGGGGTCAGAAGATCGCGCCGCATTGCCGATGGATCGGCGACTCGGCGCCATCCGATTTTCTCCATCCCGACGTCGCAGATGCGCCGATGCGGTGCGATCCTCCAACACCATCTCTTCTCCGGCCCCATCTGGGAGGCCGCCCAATAGGGATCGAGGCCCCTGTGTGGGGGGGGCAGCTGCTCCCAGACTCAACCACGACCCTGGCCCGAGTAAGAGCCTAGCGAAAGACCAAACTAACCTGAAGTCCCTTCGCATTCCAGTCTCGACCGTACTCTGCTCGGCAGCCCGTACCTGTCCTGCTTGGCACCTGACTGGGCGTCTCTAGGGGTGGTCGTGGGTGGGCGTCTGCGTCTTGGCGGCTCGAATAGACGCGGCGCTGGCACAAAGGTGAGCCGACCTACTCGGGCAGTCGACCAGGTCTTGATGCAGTGTGAGGGGGCGCGTAGAGGAGCCAAAGCAAGGAGAGGGGGGGAGGTTGACTATGATGCCGACGACAACGACAGCGAGGACAGAGGTAGGGAGAGGGACGAGAGTGAGGACAACGGCGGAGACGACGACGAGGACAAGACGCGGGGATGAGAAAGAGGAGCAGGAGGAGGAAGGAAGGTGAAGGAGGAGTGGGGGCACCTAGGAGGAGCAGGAGACGAGGATGGAGAAGAGAAGAGTGAGGAAGGAGAGAAAAAACGAGGGAAGGGCCAGGAGGAGGAGGAGGAGGAGGAGGGCCTCCTTTCCCTCCCATCGCCCCATCTTTCCTCCTGCGCTCCCTCGTTCCCTCTTCTCCCAATCTCTCCTTGCCGCATTTCCGCTCCACCCCTCCTTCCCTCCACTCCATCTCTTCCTGGAGCCCCCAAGGTCCCCGTGGGAACCTAGACGAACCGCCTGGAAGACCCCACAGGGGACCCAAACCACAGAAGAGCCCTTCCCCTTCTCAAGCTCTGCCCCCTCCTCGTTCCCCCTCTCCTCCTTCACCGCCTTAACCTCCTTCCTCCTCCCTATTCCTCCCTCCTCATCATCCTCCTCCTCCCCCTCCTCTTCCCTCCCTCCCTCCCTCCCCTCCTCATCCTCCTCCTCATCCTCCTCCCCCTCCTCCTCTCCCCCCCTCCCTCCCTCCCTCCTCCCTCCCTCCCTCCCTCCCTCCTCCCTCCTCCCTCCCTCCCTCCCTCCCCCCCCCTCCTCCTCCTCCTCTCTCCTCCTCCTCCTCCTCCTCCTCCTCCTCCTCCTCCTCCTCCTCCTCCTCCTCCTTCTCTTCCTCCTCCTTCTTCTCCTCCTCCTCCTCCTCCTCCTCCTCCTCCTCTTCCTCCTCCTCCGCCTCGTCAGCTTCATCCTTCCCCTGTTATCATCCTTGTCCGCAGCAGCAGCCTCATCAGCAGAAGCAGCATCATGATCATCAGCATCATCATCATCATGAACATCAGCATCATCATCATACCATCATCAGCATCATCATCACCATCACCATCACCATCATCAGCATCATCAGCATCACCAGCATCAGAAACATCACCATCATCATCATCGTCACCATCATCACATCATCATCGTAATCAACATCATCACCACCACCATCATCATCATCAGCATCACCACCACCATCATCATCATCATCACAATTCATTACCATCATCATCATCATCCTTAACATCCTCATTATGAACATCATCAGCAGCAGCATCACCATCATCTACGCATCATCACCATTATCATCACCACCATCATCATCACAGGCATCATCACCATCATCACCCCATCACCATCATCATCATCAGCAGCAGCAGCAGCAGCATACGAAGCAGCAGCATCAGCAACATAATCATATACTCAACATACAAAGTATCATCATCATCAGCAGCAGAAGCAGCACCATTATCAGCAGCATCAGAAGCACCAGCATCGTCATCATCGTCATCAGCACCATCATCATCATCATCATCAGGAGCATCATAATCATCATCAACATCATCCTAATCGTCGTCATCATCAGCATCATCATCGGTAGCATCAGCATCATCATCAGCCTCAGCTGCTGCATCAACACAATCATTATCCGAATCGCCAGCATCACCATCATCGGCAGCAGCGTATCGTCAGAATCAAATTAATCATCATAGTTATAACCATCACGACCACAATCACCATGACCATCCGCGGCATCAACATTATCATCATCATCGGCATCATCATCAGCATCGCCATCAATCTCGTGAGTGGCATCAACATCACAATCATCATCAAAATCATCATCATTATCATCAACAACATCATCATCCCCATCATCACCATCGACCACAACATCGTATCCGTCAGCCCCAATATCAGCATCATCAACATCATCATCATCTTCATCCTCATCGACTGCATCAGCGTTGCCAACCGTATCACGATACACATCATCAATGACGACAACATCATCCTCACCTCATCAGCAGCAGCATAATACTAATCAACGTCATCATCACCATCACCATCAACATCAACATCACCATCGACGTCGTCGTCATCGCCGCCGTCGTCGTCACTGCAATCATTGTCGTCGTTATCCGCACCATCATCATCATCATCATCATCATCATCATCATCATCATCATCGTCATCGTCATCGTCATCGTCATCATCATCGTCATCAGCAGCAGCAGCATCGTCAAACTAATCATCAACAAGAACACAATCGCCGCCACCATCATCACCATAATCAACATGATTGATTAAAGTAATCGTCATAAGCAACGTGGTCGTCATCGTCACCGTCATCGTCGTCGCTATCGGCATCATCAACATCATCACCATCCTCAGCAATAGCATCGTAATCATCATTTTCATCATCATCAGCGTAACGATCATCAGCGCAACCAGCCTCACCATCATCATTCGATTAGTAGTCCGCTGCATCATCACCAATCTCTATCATTACCATCATGTTCACCATGATCATCATGACCATAAGCATCATGGTTCGTTCATGCTATCAGCAGCGCAATCAAAATCACCACCATCATCCGCAGCAGCATTAGTGTCAGCATGAACATCAGCATCAGCATCTGCCTCAGCATCAGCACCAGCCTCGTCATCATCATCATCATCATCATCATCATCATCATCATCATCATCATCATCATCCTCATAATCATCATCATCATCATCAGCATCCCCATCATCTTCAGCATCATCAGCATGAACATCATTATATTCTTTATCACCAACATCACATTCATCATCATCACCGTTTCCATCATCATCATAATCATCATCAGCAGCATCATCATCTTTAACAACATCATCATCATCATCATCAGAGCTAATCACCATCATCAGCAGCATCACCATCAACATAATCATCATCACATTAATCAGAATCGCTACCATCACGAGTAACATCATGCACATTGCTATCGCGTTCATCACCACCGCTGGGCCAGCGCGACCCCCGCCCAGCGCCCTGCATGCCTCCCATAAACTGCGCCATGCGGGAGGTCACCGCACCTGGGACGCAACGGCATTGAGGAGGGAGGACAAGGACGAGGCAGGATCAAGCATCGAAGATCGAATAGCAAACACAAAAGATGTTGAACGTCTGAGACCGTGGGCCTACCCCTGTGGACCTCAGGGGAGGCAGAACATGCAGTAAGAGATGAGGGCGGTACTTGACAGCCAAATGCGCGCGGCAACTAATCAACTCTGACAGTAATGGGAAAGGCACCGGGTGTGCGCGGCACTTAAGCAACTCTCGCAGTACCCATATGTTGCCCTCCTCATTTTAATTCAGTATCTCGCTGCGCCTTTCGCGTCTCGATGCCATCGGGAAGGACGTAGGAGGAGGAAAATGATAAGAATAATAAGAATACTGCAAATAAGAAGAAGAAGAAGAAGAAGAAGAAGAAGAGGGACATGCAACGGACGCACAAGAGGGATGATAATGAGGAAGAGGCAAGAAGGACAAGGATGAGGTCGATGAAGAGAAGAGGTCCAGGGAAGAGGATTAGCAGGAGGACTAAAAAACAAGGAACGGAGGAGGCCAGAGCGAAGTAGAAGGGGGAACCCTCCAGCCTTGCCAAACCTCCCCCCCTGCCAGCCCGCGCTGGCAGCGTCCTGCGCCCGGCTGGGACACGTTGCCAATCTGGATGTCGCCGATCGCCTTCGGGTCCACCTGGCGGGCCCCTCGCGAAAGTGGGGGAGGAAGACCAGCTACAGGAGCGTGTGCATTGCCTGACCGACCTTCCAGCCGATGCAGTCATACACGCAATGGATGCTAAGCACCTGTTCCCCGCGCTCCATCAGGCTGATGCCGAACGCCGCGTCGGGAGACATCTGCGAGAGCACGGGAACACCAGAGGCCGGAAGGATCTGGCAGGATCTGGTAGCACCAGGTACTTACACGCATCCCCTACGCCTGATGCGTCACACGAGGCCACTTCGCGACGGTGGGTGGACTAAAAGTGTCCACACGTGTCTAGCCAAGACCTTGAGTCAGCAAAGCACGTCGGACCACAATGTACACCTCCCTTCCCCTAATTGGGGGGAGAGGTGCGAAGCAAGGGCATTTCGCAGTTGTGGTTGTCATCATGTTGCATCGCCTTACCGCCACGAATTTGGACACTTTCTGTCCGGGCACCAGAGCGCGCGGGCTGGGCAAGTTCCGCCCCTCCAGCTGCACCCTGGTGCGCCGAAGAGGGGCAGGAATGGGGGGGGGGCCGTACGCATCATGGCCCGATTCCATCAGCGCAGGCGCCTCCTCCTCCTCCTCCTCCTCCTCCTCCTCCTCCTCCTCCTCCTCCTCCTCCCCCTCCTCCCCCTAGGACGATTGGGGGGCCAGGGGACGCGTCGAAGGAAGAAGAGGGGGCCATGCAACCTGGAAGATATGCCATGAGCCTGGCCATGCTATTCACACCCCTCGCCGTCACCCACCCAACCACCCCGCTCGTGGACGCCCCCGATGCACCTGCCGTGCCCATCGTGGGGGAAAGATCGGTGAGCACGCCATCCTCACGTGGCGCAGGAGGATCTGCACTGGTCCTGGGCCCAGGATTGGTCAAGGTCGGCGTGCCGTATAGTTGGCATCTTCCGAGCAGGGGGGGGGGACAAGAGCCAGGAAGGAGGGAAGATCGAAATGCCGTGTGTACGTGTTTGACCCCTTTGGAGCCTCCTGATGCTTCCACCGTCTCCAGAGGCCTCTGCGAGCCTCCAGGGACCTCTGGAACCTCTGGGGGGCGTTTTCTCCACACCTCTGCCTCTGGGGGCCGCTCCCCCTCCTCCACCCCCAGGAGAGCGTTTCTGTATGTTCGGCGATGACGGGCGTCATGGGGGGGGGGCCAGGGGGGGGTATGACGTAACGCCCGCCCCCCCCGCCGTGTGGCTCCGGCACCACAGCCGCGCCCGCGCGCACGACGCGACGAGCGACGAGCGACGAGCGACGACGACGACGACGACGACGACGACGACGACGACGCGAGCAGCCTGTAGGTGGCGATCTGCCCCCCTGCGCCTGTGTACACCACAACGCTCGCGTGCACCACAGCGCGCGTGTACACCACAGCGCCTGCGTACATCGCAAGAACCGTGTGCAACGCAGCGCCTGTGTACACTGCCGTGCTTGCGTACACTGCAGCGCCGGTGTACATGTGCACACCAGAGGCAACCATGTGCAACACAGCGCCTGTGTAATCCACAATGCTTGCGTGCACCGCGGCGCCTGTGCACGCCACAGCGCCTGTCTACACCACAGCATCCGCGTGCAACGCAGCGCCATTGTACACCACAGTGCCTGCGTGCATAGGACAGGTAGAAGAAGCCTGTACGTGAGGGTCTGCTGCGGAAGCGCCATGCCAGGAAAGTGCTGATAATCGAATGCGACGTTGTTCCCTCTTCCCTTCTCCTCCACTTCCACCTCCTCCTCCTCCTCCTCCTCCTTTTTCTCTTCTTCCTCCTCCTCCTCCTCGTCCTCCTCCTCCTCCTCCTCCTTACCCCGCGCTACAGCACACGTGCGCAACTCAGCGTGCACAGCAGAATGGTCTATTGAATCGGCCCACTTGGTTCTCGGACGGCCAATCTAGCTGGAGTTTCCTGGACGCGGATGGGAGGAATTACGGTGATGCGGGCGAACTCGGAAGGACTCGTAGATTCCCCTGGCGTTCCCTTGTCCACAATAGGGATGATGTTCTGGTGTGTTCGGTGGAATCCACAAACGCTCCATTTTGTCATAACGATTCCTTCTAACATTCTACATACAACAGTGGTGCTGTGTTGCACACGGTTGCGGTGGTGCACCCAAGCGCTGTGGTGTATACAAGCACTGCAATGCACGCAGGCATTGTGGTGAACACTGCTGTGTTGCACACGGCTGATGTGATGTACGCAGGCGCTGTGGTGTACACAAGAGCTGTTGTGCCCGCGCGCGCGGTGACACAAACTGACGCTGTGTTGCACGCGGCTGCTGTGGTGTACATAGGCGGTGTGGTGTACACAGGCGCTGTGGTGCACGAGGACACTGAGGTGTACACAGGCGTTGTAGTGCAAATCGCCACCTACATGCTGGTGCCACCCGTCCTATGGCATTCCTAAGCATTCCCAGGCGCCGCCGGCGCGAAGCGTGACGTCATCGACCCTCTCCACCACCCCCAAATGATTGCCGTCATCGGCCCGGAATAAAAAAACTGGCTCCAGCCGCGTCCGCGCGCACGACGACGATGAGCGACGAGCGACGACCCACGAGCCACGAGCCACGAGCGACGACGACGACGACGACGTCGACGAAGACGTCGACGACTGCGGACCAGACTCCTATGTGGATTCCTGCACGGACACCTGCGCGGATCCCAATACGCACGGCGGCAGTGCCCGGAGCGCACTGGGGGGGAAGCGTTACGTCATAGGGGGGGGGCCGGGGCCATGACGCCCGTCATGCCCCAAGCAATAGAGAATAAAGGAATGGTCTCAAAAATAAGCAAAAAACACAACGAGAAGCGGGTCCTTTAGCATCGAATCGGGAAATCGGATGGGATCGGAATGTGCGGTGAATCGGTCCGCATCCGTCTGGAGTCGGAACCGAATCATATCCGCCGCGCACAGGCGTACAACGACGCCATGCGAGCATCTGACCTCATCGGATCGTCGGAATCCGGGAAGCAAATAATCGAATCGGATCGGGAGGGTCGAAATTGATGCCGAATCGGATCGATCGAATCATGACCCCGGGGGATAGAGCGAGAGAGGAGGGCGACGACATGAGAAAGGGGAGGGGGCGTAGAGCGGGGGCGAGGATGGCGGGGAGAGGAGGGGAGGAGGTGAGAGGTGGCGGAGGAGAGATGGGGAGAAGAGAAGAGAAAGAAGGGCAGCCCGTCCTCATCCTCCTCCATTACCCACTCGCTCTCCCCTACAGTTGCTTCCTCCTCCATCTCCTCCTCCTCCTCTTCCTCCTCCTCCCCCGTCCCCCCCCTTCCTCCTCCTCCTCCTCCACCTCCTCCTCCTCCTCCTCCTGGTCCTCCTCCTCCTCCACATCCTCCTCGTCCTTTTAGCCCCGCATTTCTGAAATCAGCTGGCGCGGCCGCCCCAAGGGGGTCCAACGCCGACCCAAGAAGTCCGCGCAGAGCGCCGAAAAATGTCGAGTCGTCGATGCCCCTCTCCTTCGAGATGCCTGCCGCCGCCCCGCCGCTCTCCCGCACCCCTCCTGCGCGCTGCCAGCGCACCTGGCTGCCGGGCGCCCGCTTCGGTTGCGCCGTCTGCTCTAGGTATGACGTGCCAGGGGGAACCAGTCGGGGATCTCCTGACCTGGGCCAATCCCGACCCAGGTCAGCCAGGCCTTGAAGGATCTCGCAAGATCCTGCGCCCAAGTCCGGGTCAAAGCTCCAGCCCCAGGGCTCTCGAACGAGAAGTGGGGACTGGCCTGCAAGGGGGGGGAGGAGGGAGGAGGGAGGAGGGAGGAGGGAGGGAGGAGGGAGGAAGGGGGAGGAGGAGGAGGAGGAGAGGAGGAGGAGGAGGAGGAGGACGGAGGAATAGACGAGAGACGAGGAGGAGGAGGAGGAGGAGGGAGGAGGGGAAGGAGGAGGAGGAGGAGGAGGAGGAGGAGGAGGAGGAGGAGGAGGAGGGGGAGGAGGAGGGGGAAGAGGAGGAGGAGGAGGAGGAGGAGGAGGAGGAATGGGAGGGGGCGGAGAAGGAGGAGGGGAGGAGGAGGAGGAGGAAGAGGGAGGAGGAGGGGGAGGAGGAAGAGAGGAGGAGAGGGGGAGGGAGGAAGGGAGAGGAGGAGGAGGAAGAAGATGAGGAGGATGAGGTGGAGGAGGAGGAGAGGAGGGGGAGGCGGAGGAGGGGGAGAGGAGGATGAGGGCGGAGGGCGGAGAGCGGAGGGACGGAGGAGGGAGGATGGAGGAGGGAGGAGGAGGGAGGAGGGGGAGGAGGAGGAAAGGGGGGGCGGGGAGGAAAGAGAAGGAGAAGGAGAAGTAGGAGGAGTAGGAGGAGGAGGAGGAGGATGATGGAGGAGGGGAGGGAGGAGAGGGAGGGAGGGAGGAGGGAGGGGGGAGGAGGAGCGAGGAGGGAGGAGGAGGAGGAGGAGGAGGAGGAGAAGGGGAGGAGTGGAGGAGGAGAGGAGGAGGAGGAGGAGGAGGATGAGGAATGGGAAGGGTGCGGAGGAGGAGGAGGAGGAGGAGGAGGAGGAGGAGAGGAGGAGGAGGAGGAGGAGGAGGACGAGAGGAGGAGGAGGAGGAGGAGGACGAGGAGGAGGAGGAGGAGGGCGGAATTCCCGAATTTCCGCTCCAGCCGCGGTGGCTGTTGTCGGAGGCGGGTCCGCGTTGCGCGCGGGCCGCCTCCGCTCCGAGGGCCGCGTCCCAGAGGGTCGCCCCCTCTCCCTGCGCGTCCTGCGGAGGCACAGGAAGCCGCGGTGGAGGGCGGCCGCGGGCCGCCGCCGCTCAGACGGCCGCGTCCCTGGGGACCGCCCTCCCTCCATGCACATCTGGCGGAGGCGCAAGGAACCGTGCTGAAGGCCTCGTCGGTGTCCTCGTTCCACCTCCGAATCCTCAGCACCCCGCGACGGACCCCCACGGCAGCTGCCGCGGCCATCCGAAGCGACATGTTTTCCAAGGAGGGCGGCAACACCAAACAAGTTGTCGTTCTGCTGCACGTTGATGCCGTGGTACTGGGCCTGCGTTAGGTTCTCGATGA